TTTAGGGTTTAGGGTTTAGGGTTTAGGGTTTAGGGTTTAGGGTTTAGGGAGCACTAAGAACCCTCCCTGACTACCATTCTCCCCACGAAGCGTATACTGTTGTTAGTCTTGTTTCTCCAACTGATTTTCGTCTTATCGGGTTCAGGATCTTTGGTTCCGGGCTTGTGGTTTAGAGATTGGGGAACCCTAAATGCTTAGCCATTAACACCATCGCTTAGACTACCTATGCAAGCCTAAAGAGTTGTGTTGAGCGTGAGCTGCACCTCCAGTGCCGGTGCAGTACCCCCTTCTCCCTTCTCCCATTCTCTTTTACCAGTCCAACATGGGGTCGGCCCCTCCCAAGCCCAAAAACCCACTACCAAACCCAAGTTCCTACCTGGCCCTGCGCCCTGTTGTGCTTGCTGGCACCCCCTGAACCTGGCCTCCCTGGCCCTCCTGACCCCTTATAAGGCATTTGCTCAAACCCAAAACCTGGTTGACCCGCTTGGGCCCTTACCCCGCCCCATGGCCCCGGCCTGCCCGACCCCCCAACCTTTCCAGAAACATCTCCTTCCACCCGTTCGAAGGACGGGGGTGGAAAGTGGGAGTTTAGGGCACTAGCCCGAAACCCTGAAAGGAGAAAAGTTGGGTGGATGCCTGCGTAGGCAGGGGGTGGGAAAAATGGAACAACCCAACCTTTCTGGTTGTGGTGGCTCCAACTTCAATATACGCGCCACGACATATGCCGCCCCCTCACACCCCCTGGGTGTGTTGGGGTGTCATCTCCGCATGAAATCTACCGCCGCGGCGTGGCGAGAGCCCTAAACCCTAAACCCTAAACCCTAAACCCTAAACCCTAAACCCTAAACCCTAAACCCTAAACCCTAAACCCTAAACCCTAAACCCTAAACTGGCCCTAAACCCTAAACCCTAAACCCTAAACCCTAAACCCTAAACCCTAAACCCTAAACCCTAAACCCTAAACCCTAAACCCTAAACCCTCATCTCCTTGATCGCGCCCTCCCAGACGAAGTTCACATCTGCGCGATCGCGGAGGAGAGCCCTCACCGTGTCACAGCAGCCCGCCACGCATGCCTGAGGGTTTAGGGTTTAGGGTTTAGGGTTTAGGGTTTAGGGTTTAAGGTTTAGGGTTTAGGGTTTAGGGTTTAGGGTTGTGATTTAGGATTTAGGGCTTAGTAGGGTCTAGGGTTTAATTAGGGTTTCAGGGTTTAGGGTATGCCTGACTGGTGAAGGGCTCGCCTTGCCCAGAGGGTCCATGTGTGAATTAGGTACCCCCAAGACCCTATTCGGTATGGTTTCTGGGTACCAAAGTCCAGAATAGTACTACACATCGACCCTCTGGGTTCTAAGAACCCCGACAGGGGTCACCAGAATCACAACCAGAAAAATCGGTAGGCTCTGGGTTCTTGAGGTGTGGGTGTGGGTGTGGGTGTGGGTGTGGGTGTGGGTGTGGGTGTGGGTGTGGGTGTGGGTGTGGGTGTGGGTGTGGGTGCGGGTGTGGGCGTGGGTGGGTGTGGGTGTGGGGGTGTGGGTGTGGGTGTGGGGGTGTGTGTGTGGGTATGGGTGTGGGTGTGTGGGTGTGGGTGTGTGTGTATTGGGATCGACCAGGGCGCACTCGGCACTCACTCACCCTCGCCCGACTGAGTGGGGTTGGATGAACACTTGGCAAGACGGCCCAACTTCTCAGATCCAGATCCACAAGTCTTCCGAAAGCTCGCCGGAGAAAAGGCTAAACAAGAATGACAATTCTAAATCAAGGACCCAGCAGCATAAGGGTCGTCCCACACGCACACACCAACGCAACGCCAGCAAACACGGGGGGCCACGGCACGAATAGCCCAGCCCCCACAAGCTGAAGACGACACACCTTGCAGTATCCCCTTGGTGCGATGGGGCAGCGCCCACTTGCGGCACCACGCCAGGACGAAGAGGATTCTTAAGGTTTAGGGTTTAGGCTCAGGGTAGTCTACAAAGCAAAGTGGGGCTTGAGGGCTGTCCAAAAGTAGGGGTACCCTTTTTGTGGATAGCCGGGATTATGTTGTGTATTTGGGGTATATGACGGGTGCCCCTATTTCGAGCAACCTCCAACAATTCTAAGCCTTTTATGTGCTCTAATATGGTCATAATTGGGTTACAAGTACAGTTATCCCTAAACCCTAAACCCTGAACCCTAAACCCTAAACCCTAAACCCTGAACCCTTAACCCTGAACCCTACACCCTGTTGGGTTCTAAGTGCAACTACTATTTGGTTCGTAAGTACCATGAACCTCCAAGTAGGCGTCGGGATGATTCTATGGAGCGACGACTCTTCACCGACTCTGTCCCTTTAGGGTTTAGGGTTTAGGGTTTAGGGTTTAGGGTTTAGGGTTTAGGTCCCTACTTGGCCTCGAGGTGATCGGGAAGGTTTCTTTTTTTTTTACGGGGCCTTCGAAAGGGAACCTAACGGCCCCGCCACCCGCCCCGCCCAAAAAAAAGGGGAATAAGGGCCTCCTCTGGGATCTAGTAGCCCTAAACCCCAAACCCTAAACCCAAAACCCTAAACCCTAAACTCTTGAGTTCCCCTTCAGAAGCCCTTGAAGATCGCTGGCTCTGCGGCGAAGCTGCCACCATGAGCGGGCTCAGGCCTACAGCAAACTCCAGCAAGTTTAGGGTTTAGGGTTTAGGGTTTAGGGTTTAGGGTTTAGGGTTTAGGGTTTAGGTTTAGGGTTTAGGGTTTAGGGAACATGGTTTCAGGATTGTTAGAGCTGGGATTCCCAATGGTATACCTCTTGGGGGTATGGGGATAAGGATGTTCCAACTTTTTGGGGTTTACGGTACGTTGAGTTGCGCCAGGGGGGAAAGGGCGAGCGGAAGATTTGGGGGTTTTGGGGTTTTGGGGTCTTGGGGGTTTTGGGGGTTTTGGGGGGTTTTGGGGGGTTTTGGGGCCATGGGGTTTTGGGGGTTTGGGGGTTTTGGGGTTTTGGGGTTTTGGGGGTTTTGGGGGATCTTGGGGTTTTGGGAGTTGGGGGAGAGTTGGGGCTCTAGAAGCAGTTAGTAGTAGCGACCGGTGCTTGTGTAGGCATGACAGGCCTTTGAAGGAATAACCCATAATAGAAGCCCTACTTGGAGGTTCAGGGTACTTAAAACCCCAGCCATAACTGTACTTATAAGCCCCCTTAGTCCCCGAAGTAGGCAATGAGTAGCCTTAGAACAGGGGATATAAGTACCCATGAACCTCGAAGTAAACCTCATACCCCCTGAAGAGGTTGGGGCTAAGGGCGCCAGCTGGTGAGTTCGAAGGAAAACCATACACAGGGCTTAGGGTACCACCTCGGCAAGGTAGGACACTCTACACCTACGCAGACTCACCCTTCTATGATGCTAGGGTCTAGGGTCTAGGGTCTAGGGTTTAGGGTTTAGGGTTTAGGGTTTAGGGTTTAGGGTTTCGGGTCTAGGACCTAAAGTCAGATAGGTCGAAGGAAATCCCCCCAACCCCCTCCCTGGCAGCTTGCCCTTAGTGCTTACAAGGCCTAAGCCGACCGCAACCTTCCCTAAACCCTAAGCCCTAGACCCTAAACCCTAAACCCTAAACCCTAATCCCTAAACCCTAAACCCTAAACCGACCGCAACCTTAAACCCTGAACGGTGCCGCACCCAAGACACCCTAAAGGGAGGAGGAGACCCCTAAGCCCTACATACCCTAAGCCTGTATACCCTAAAAACCCCGTAAACACGATAGACCCTCTCAACCCTGCAAACCCCATAGACCCTGCACACCCTATAAACCCTATGAACCCTATAACCCCTCCAGACCCTGCAAACCTTGTAGACCTGCAAGCCCTCTCAACCCTATAAACCCTACAACCCCTCTAAGCCCCATAACCGCTTTGCAAACCTTATACACCCTATAAACCCTCTAAACCCTGCAAACCCTACAAACATCTAAAGCCCTAAGCCCTACACGCTAAACCCTAAACCCACACCAAACAAACCCTAAACCCTAAACCCTAAACCCTAAACCCTAAACCCTAAACCCTAAACCCTAAACCCTAAACCCTAAACCCACACCAAACAAACCCACTGTGCCTCGTCCCTTGTGATCCATGGCGCCGAACTGGTAGGTGGCCTGCGCTTGGGCTTTACTGGCGCTTAGCAGGGTTTAAGGTTTAGGGCTTTTTTTAATGCAATGACTGGGTCTAGGGTTAGGGTTTAGGGTTTAGGGTTTAGGGTTTAGGGTTTAGGGTTTAGGGTTTAGGGTTTAGGGTTTAGGGTTTAGGGTTTAGGGTTTAGGGTTTAGGGTTTAGGGTTTAGGGTTTAGGAAAGCCACTGGGACCAGAACCCTAAAGCCTAAATATTCCCGACTACGAGCCGGCGGTAGGGTCGGTCGAGGGGGTTCGAACTTTGGGGCTTGCAGAGCGCTCAACCCTAAACCCTGAAGACTAAAACCCTAAAACCCTGAACCCCTGAACCCCTAAACCCCTAGACCCTAGACCCTAGACCCTAAACCCTAAACCCTAAACCCTAAACCCTGAACAGCCTAAACCGAAAGCCCCGTGGTCCCGGACTTCCCGAGATCCAAGCCCGAGATTTCGGATTTGAGGCGTAGCGGGGCTCCATACAAAAGCCATGCTGCCCTCTTCGGGGAACTGGCATGGTCGCTGCCCGCCGTTCCGACACGATGCTTGGCACAAGTCTCGCCCCCAAGGGCGCCCGACGTGGGAGTGGTGTCCCAACTTTAGCCAGCACGATAGCCTTTGAAAGTGCTTGCTCTACAGCGAAGGTTTAGGGTTTAGGGTTTAGGGTTTAGGGTTTAGGGTTTAGGGTTTAGGGTTTAGGGTTTAGGGTTTAGGGTTTAGGGTTTAGGGTTGAGGAACACAAACAACTGGCACCACACCGATGCCTGCAGCCCTAAACCTGAAACCCTAAGCTTCTTTCCCCGGAGGGGAACCAACCTCTAGTCCTCACACACACGCCAAACCTTTAAAGGGGGTAGGGCAACCCTATAAACCCTACATAAGCACTATGAAATCCGTTCTAAGATGAGCTCCTGGAAGTGGTCCGTCTGCAGCCGCCGGGGTGTCTCCAAATGTAGGGAGTCATCCGTGGACTCCATGTCCTACAGAGGGTTTAGGGTTTAGGGGTTAGGGTTTAGGGTTTAGGGTTTAGGCTTAGGGCACTTCGCGCGGACCCCCCCCCCCCCCACCCCTGGAATACCCTTGAAGTAAGCCGCTTAGTTGTTAGGGGTTTGTAGGTTTCTTTTTGTTTGATTCATTCAGGAGTATCGAACTCAGGTGAGCCTGGTAAAGGGGGGTTAGGGTTTTTGGGGTTTTTGGGGTCGCACCCCCGGGCCTTGCATGGACCTTCCCCAATACCCTTGATTTAAGCAGCACCTAGAGCGAGCTACATACCCTGTTCAAAGGAAAGACAGTTCATCCCCTGTACTGTAGTCCTTGTACCTAACTTGGTAGAACAAAGGGACCCATTTTTGGGTTGGCTAATTACTTTATTAAGGAAAAAACCTAGTGAGAGTTGTGGAGCCTTTTGTTGTAGAACCCCTTTGTTAGGGGCAAGCAAGGACTGGCGGGGGACCTGAACACTGATCGCTCCAGGTGATCGTAAGACCGTTCGTGCTAAATCGTCCGCGAACACCCTAGGCATTGATGAGCCCAACGAACTCAGCAAGATCGACAGGACTTGGCCAAGTCTGCTGCTTCTCAACAGGGAATTTGGCTTGTATGCTGGGAAGCTATAGCGCAGACTTCGCTGGTCGTCAGGCACTGTTTCTAAACCTCCTTCCATCGACTGGCAACATTTAAGAAGACCCAAACCCCAAACCCCAAACCCCAAACCCTGAACCCTGAACCCTAATACCTAAACCCAAAACCCGAAACCATAGACCAGGAACCTTATCCCCCTAACACTAGCTACTGAGGGCCGCAGTGGGCGCTGACTATATTCGCAGATTCGCAGAAAGACTACACCTAAGCCCAAGGACCGTAGACCCCAAACCGTAAGCCCCACACCCTAAACCCCGAACCTACAAGGAGGGGCCCCCGAGTTATAAGTGGAGTTATAAGAGCCCTAAATTGGGTTATAAGGATCCTAATTAAGGTTATAAGGCCCTGAACTACAGTTAGTTTAGTAAGGGGGCCCCTCCTTGTAACCCCCCCAGCCCTGGAGAACCGGCTTCCTGGCCCCTAAGCTGCACTCTGAGGCGGCGACGGAGTCGTCGATGACTGTTCCGAGCTTGTCAGACTTGCCGAGGACCCTGTCTGTTTCGGTTTGGGGTCTACAAGGGGACCCCCTTCCTATACTAACTGTAGTTAAGGGACTTATAACCCCATTTAGGATCCTTACAACCCAATTCAGGGCTCTTATAACTCCACTTATAACTCGGGGGGCCCCTCCTTGTACCTGTTTTTGCTTTCGGGATCACAGCACAGGTCGGAACCCTGTCCTGGAGATGAACACGGTTGCCAGTGAAGGTTTGGTATGTTGTAGAAAGAAGCAAACTTGCCGCAGATAGCAGTGTTTTGGGCATGTTCGCGAAAGGCCTCAACGCTTGTGACCGCTTGTCTGGTTGCAACAACATCAAAGATCCGTCGTAGATGGTTCATGAAAGGCCCAAACGCTGAACATTCCAGCATTGCGGGGATGTTCGCAAATGGCTTGTGACAGCGCGTCTTGTTCCAACAACGCCTAACATCATTTGCCGCATCATATAAATACGATGCACAAACGCTGCAAATACCGGTGTTCTTGGGGCATGGTTAGAGTAACATGGTCGCAGTAAGGTTGCGCCCGCTTTAGTATCGTTAGGCCCCACTATGGGCAGTTCCGGCATATTTCTAGAGGGCACCCCATGTTGCCAAGGGTTACCCGCCATTATAGGAAGTTGCTCGCCTGGGGACCCTGATTTGGGGGATAAAAGGCTTGTCATCTTAAAAAAGAAGCTGAAGGCTTGTGCACCCTGCTAAACCCTAAACCCTAAACCCTAAACCCTAAACTGGAAGGGTTTCGGGCCCATTTCAGGCTTCACCTGGGGTTTAGGGTTTAGGGTTTAGAGGGTTTCGGTCCCCTTTGAAGTCCGAACAGAGCTCCCTCAGGCAAAGGCCTTGGAGCTCCTTCGCACGTAATTTCCCCCCCCCCCCCAGGGTTTAAGGTTTAGGGTTTAGGGTTTAGGGTTTAGGGTCAAGGGTTGAGGGTAAAACAAAACCACGAAAGCCTCAAACAAGACCTTGCGCGGTTCGCCCCCCGCGTGCATAACCTGCAAACCTGGGGCCTACACCCTTGACCCTCAACATGAGCTCTGAACCCTAACCCCTGCACCATGAATTGCAAACCTTAAGCCACAGAGCCCAAAACCCTAAACCCTAAATCCTAAACCCTCAACCCTAAACCTTAAACCCTGAAAGCATGCCTCGACATCATGGCTTTGTAGAACCGCCAGGTGTTGACCTCCCCGCATCGAAGCAGATTGTCCTTGACGCAGGGTTAAGGTTTGGGGTTTAGGGTTTAGGGTTTAGGGTTTAGGGTTTAGGGTTTAGGGTTCAGGTTTCAGGTTTCAGGTTTCAGGGTTTAGGCTGAAGGGTTAAGGGTTGAGGGTTGAGGGTATAGGGTTGAGGGTTCAGGGTTTAGGGTTTAGGCTGAAGGGTTAAGGGTTTGAGGTTTAGGGTTTAGGGTTGAGGGTTAAGGGTTTAGGGTTAAGGGTTAAGGGTTGAGGGTTTGAGGTTGCATGCAAAACTTGTCCGAACCTCCGGACTGGCAGCCTAAACTCTGAAACCAACACCTTGGCTGCACTTAGGGGGGGTTAGGGCTTAGGGTTTAGGGTTTAGGGTTTAGGGTTTAGGGTTTAGGGTTTGGGGTTTAGGGTTTGGGGTTTGGGGCTTAGGGCTTAGGGTTTAGGGTTTAGGGTGTAGGGTTTGGGGTTTTGGGTTTCGGGTTTGGGGTTTCGGGTTTGGGGTTAACTTTTAGCTACCTTATTAAGAAGCCCAATAAAGCCAAAAAGGCTAAGGATCTAAAGTTACAGTAAAGCACCACAAAGAACACCTTCACCCTGGAGCAACAAATGCGCATTTGCAAAAACGGACAATGCGACGGAACAATATGTCATTTTTGTGGGTGGTTCTCCCCAGAATTTACAAGAGAAATGATCCACACATGTGCAGCAAATGTTGCGATGTAAACTTCTGGATGTCCAAAACAACAAACTCTTGCACCACCCTAAACCCTAAACCCAAGACCCCAAACCCTAAACCCCAAACTCGAAACCCTAAACCCTAAACCCTAAACCCTGAGACAATAAGCCCACGGCAATGCAGCACCTGCCCTGCCAAGTCTCGCATTTCAGCTCAAGCAGCTGCTTCGTGAGTCTCCACACCGTTGCACGATCCTGTGCTGTGTGCATGCCACGCAAAAAAAGTTTAGGGTTTAGGGTTTAGGGTTTAGGGTTTAGGGTTTAGGGTTTAGGGATTAGGGTTCGGGATTTGGGGCTTGGGGTTAAGGGTTTAGGCGGTTTAGGGTTTAGGGGGGGGGGGGGGGGGGGGGATTCATACGGCTACCACCACGTAGAACTGCAGCTACCCGACCTATAGTCCCAGGTAAAACTACCCATGAACACACGACCTATAGTCCAGCTATAACTACCCATGAACAGAACGGTTTCAGGCCATGGGTGAAGCTCTTGGCTAATGCAAGTCCAAGCTAGCTCCTAGCCGTCAAACTATGTGCTTGCAATCCGTCTTAGGGTTTAGGGTTTAGGGTTTAGGGGTTTAGGGCTTAGGGTTCAAGCCAATCAAACCCCGACTGCCAGAAACCCTCTGGACCCTACAACCCCTGTGGGTGTGGGTCGCGATCCTCTTCTACCGTGAAGGCCCCATCGTGCGGCCAGTTCTGCAACCAGTCCTGAGGCAGGCTTAAGGTTTATATAGCCCTAAACCCTACAGCCTAAAGCCTAAACCCCCATCCTTGAGCTGCAGTTGCAAGTATATGCTGGTTGGGATTTAGGGTCTAGGGTTGAGGACTCTAACTACAGTAGCCAACCCGTTTTCAGAAACCTGCTTTCGATTCCTATATTAAGGCCCCTTTCAGAATGGATCAACCCAGTTCAGCAACACATGGTTAACAAACCGGTCTAGCTAGCGTTGAACCCTAAACCCCAACGTCATAAACCCTAAGCCTTCTTGAGTAAGTGCCCTAATATATATATATATATATATATATGGCTATCCTTGGGTTGTAAGTACAGTTACAATTGGGTTATTAAGTACCATGACCCCCCAACTAAACCCGAACCCTAAACCGCAAACCCTAAAGCCTTCTTGAGTCATTTGCGCGGTTTGGGGTTTTGGGTAGCTTAGGGTTTAGGTGAAGCCGTACCAATGACGTCCTTGGTAATCCCTCACACCCCCACCCAAGATCACCCTTACGCCAAGGTGCGGCACTGCTGCTGGAGAAGATCCTGCGAATCCAAGATTGGGGGCCTTGAAAATTAGAATGGGATGTATTGTCAGACTTCAGCAATCACCAAGCGACCCGCGCATGGCACGGTACCATCTGCCCCAAACTGAAAGGAAACTGAGAGGGGGCGCGTTCTCAACCTCTGAGTTGCTGAGTTCATAAGCCCCCCAAAAGTGTACACTTTCTGCTCTAATTACAGGGGAGCTTTTGCATCCAAAAGTGTGAAGTGTACTCATTCAGCTACTAAGACGTAGATACACAAGTGCAAGTCCAAGAACCTGGTTTCCGGAAAACGGGCTTGGAGGTTTTGGGGGGTATCCAAAGCCCTAATCCCCAAACCATCGTCGGTTTAGGGTGTCCTCACCCGAAACCCAAATTCAACCCTATAAACCCAGCTGCTGCAAGGGTCTAGCGGAGTCCCCCGAAGGAAGGAAGGCAGGAAGAAAGGCAGCAAGGAAGAGCGGCACGCGAGAGTACTCGCTGCCCTACAACCACGTCCCCCCCCCCCCCCCCCCCCCCCGCCCCCCACCCCCCCGCCCCCCTGCGCTTCTCTGATGCGCCCTCCGAAAACGTAGTCTAGCGGAGTCCATCGACTTTCAGGCCACGGGCTGTGCAACCCCAAATTGGGATGTTCCCCCTTATACTATATTAACAGTCCTGAGTAGGGATGATAGGGGGGTACTAGAATCCCTATTAAGGACTGTTAGTATAAGGGGGAACATCAACCCCAAACCTTAACACCGCTGGGTTTCGTGGGAAGTGGGCTTACCCTAAGGGTCCATGTACCTTATTATTATATATTTGGGTCCCAAAGTCCTCATATATAGGAAGCACTTTTAGGCCCTAGTATTCCCTGTTGAGGTACATGGAGCCTTAGGGTTAGGGGACAAAGCCCTCAACAAAAACACGCGACTCGCGACGTCCCCCCTCAACAACCACGTTTGTTGCAGACCTCCTGGGGCCAGAGACCTCAGCTGTCTGAAAGGCAGATTGGGGTTTAGGGTTTAGGGTTTAGGGTTTAGGGTTTAGGGCGGCAAGCAGCTGGAGTCCCGAACGTTTAGATTAGAGGCCCCTCGGGACCACGGACACAAGCAAGCAAGTGCATACCTCGTGTCGCTGGAGTGCCCAAACCCAAATCTGCTCCCTACTTTTCCAGCTACCCAGGGGAGCTACTGCAAGGTTAACCTGTGGGACCGTGCAGGACATATACTACCCCAGAATGGTCCAAAGGTGGCTTGCTCGACGACGAAGGCCCCAGCCCCGCGTTGTGCGATTTAGGGTTTGCAGGGTTCAGGATGTCGGTTGCCAATTGCTTCCTGAAGCCTAGGCCAGTTTTGGCGCTCTAAGATTAAAAAAAGATATCTTGCGGAACGCAGCGCCTCTTGATCTCAGACAGGGAAACGCCGAGACCCTCATCCAAGCCGACTTCTGGAAACCCCCTAAACCCAAAACTTCATAGGGACGAGCCTTCAATCATCCCTCTAAGCTTCCCACACCCCCCCACACCCACACCCACACCCCACCCACACCCACACCCACACCCCCCACCCACACCCCCACACCCCCACACCCCCACACCCCCACACCCCCACACCCCCACACCCCCACACCCCCACACCCCCACACCCCCACACCCCCACACCCCCAAATGCCAGGGAGAGACCACCAGCAGCGGCTTGGGCTTGGCAGACAGCGCCGCAGCTGTTCGCTCCGCGCGACACCATCCTCGTCGCGAAGCATGAGACCCCCCGAAAGCCCGAAGTTAAGTGATAACCCTATCCTCAACCTGAATTAGTACTAAAACCCCAAGCCTACACCCCCTGAGTAAGGACACTTGGTTGCCAGGGAGCCCCTCAGCATCCCCAAGCCACATCGTGAAGGTTTCGGGCTTGAGGGTTTAGGCTCAGGGTTTAGGGTTTCGGGTTTAGGGTTTAGGGTCTTGGGAGATCCGAAGTCCCTATAAACGATAGGCCCCTAAAAACTTGGACCCCAAACCCCTGCAGGGCCCAAGGATGCTTTGGCCAAGGAGATGTTAAACTCCAAAAGCCCTAGAGACCTATGTAAGCCCAAAAAACCCACACCCCCTGAGGCTCTCTCCCCAAATCCCAAAACCCTAAACACTAAACCCTAAACCCGAAACCCTAAACCTTAAACCCTAAACCCCCCGAGGCTCCCCTGGTGGCCCAGGAGATGTAGTTCATGGTCGCTCCGGTGTCTGCGTGCTGGATCGTGGGCGCCAGGACCTGGATTCCCAAGAGCATGGGTTTAGGGTTTAGGGTTTAGGGTTTAGGGTTTAGGGTTTAGGGTTTAGGGTTTAGGGTTTAGGGTTTAGGGTTTAGGGTTTAGGGTTTAGGGTTTAGGGTAGCCCAGTGACCATATTACAATAAGGGCACCTTTTTTGGGGCTTGGCTATTTTTAATAGGGGGACCTTGCACCAAAAAAAGGGAAAAAAAGGTATCACTGGGCCAGTCCTAAACCCTGTCATAAGACGTAAATATTCTGATTCATGATTTCAAATAAAAAAAATGAATGAACATACAACTGTTACTGTTAAGTAGTATTCGTAAATAATGGCATAGAAGAACATTCTTGAAAGATATCCTCAGACAATACTCGTGAATAACATGCTTAGATGATGGTATTGAACCATGTTATGAAATCATGTTTTTGAATAATATATTCTGACCTACATACATTCACTGTGACGGGAAACCGCGACTGCGGAAAACCACGGGACGGCATGACCGGGTATGACCGGGTATGACTCGGGCGTACTCGGGTGTATTCGGGCGTACTCGGGCGTACTCGGGCGTACTCGGGCGTACTCGGACGTACTCGGGCGTACTCGGGCGTACTCGGGCGTACTCGGGCGTACTCGGGCGTACTCGGGCGTACTCGGGCGTACTCGGGCGTACTCGGCCTGCAGTCGCGGAACGCGGCCGCAATGCACTTCTCAAATACACTACATGATATTCCTGAAAAAATTATCTTCTTGGACTACTATCCTGCTGAATGATTGTCAGTAATATAGTTGCTTCCCGGAAGGGTGGCAGGGTTTAGGCTTTCGGGGTTTGCTGGGTTTCAGGGGCTTTCGTTTCCAACTGTCGTCCTCATTCTTCTGGGTGACCTTTGGGTCTTTCGTTGGACCTCCCTAGGGCGTGCTTCGTCAAATCGCCACCCTTACATGAATCCCGGGTGGTTAGGAGGGCTTTGGCGGGCGGCTATAAGTCAACAGACGGGCAGAGAGAACAGCCCAGAGTAACCCTTTTGTACAGGGCTGGGCTTTGAAACCCTAAGCCCTAAATTCTACCTGGAGGTTCATGGTGCTTAATGACCCAATTACAACTTTCCTTTTAACCCAAGTATAACCATATTTGGGCACTTGAAAAACAGTTTTTAAGTACAGCTAGAACTGGTTATAAGTACCATGAACCTCCAAGTACAGAAAGTGCCTCCGTCGGCACCTAGCTGAACCGTGAACCCATCCGTGCCAAGGGACAATGACAAAGTCCGCGGCATTGCAGTATGCGGGGATGCTGTCCACAGCCGCCTCAGAACGCGTCCCTTTCTAAATTTTCATTGGGGGAAGCCTAGTATACCCCTTACAGCCCCCATAAACCCAAGGGCCCATGCTGCAGAAGCCCTTTACAAAAGGTAAGGGACCCCAGCAAGGGAAAATGTGACTTCCCTTAGAGTGTCTAAATCCTAAACCCTAAACTCTAAACCCTAAACCCTTGGGGCGTATCGGGCCTCTGGTTCAGGGTTTAGGGATTCAGGGGTTCAGGGTTCAGCCTTGCATCCTGAAAGGGGGTGTAGGTTTTTAGAGGTCTAGGGCTTTAGTAGGGTTATTGTTAGGGGCTTGGGGATTCAGGGGTTCTAAGCTACAGCCCCCCTAAACCCAAACCCTAAACCCCAAACCCCAAGCCCAAAACCCTAAACCCCAAAAAACACGAAGGCCTGGCCTGAAGCTCCGGGGTGTTGGTGACGCATCCTTCCCGCAAGAGCTATGGGATCTATGACCAGGATTCGGTCTGGGTTTAGGGAGGCTTCTGGGTTAAGGGCTTAAGGCATGGGGTTTAGGGTTTAGGGTTTATGGTTTAGGGTTTAGGGTTTAGGGTTTAGGGTTGAAGTTAGGCTCTAGATGTGCGGAAGTTGCTCTGAAGGGGGCCTTTCTTTTGAGTTTCCATGAGGAGGTTCCCGTGCTTGTGGATCTCGTGCGGTAAAGTAGCAGCCGAGAATGATGAATAAGGTTTAGGGTTTAGGGTTTAGGGTTTAGAGGGTAGGGTTTTGGGTTTGGGGTTTAGGGTTCTGAACCCGAAACCCTAAAGTTTAGGACCTAAGCTTTAGGTCTAGGGTTAGGCTTTAAAGTCTGGCTTTCATGGGGCGGGTGGCGACGGAGCGAAGGGGCGGGGAGGCTTCTCAGACAACAGACTGGGCACAACATCCCTTCCTGTCGGTCTCCTTCTAGCCCAAAGAAGCCTAAATCTGGAATCAATCTTGGCTGCACTTAGCAGGGTAGCTAAAAATTCATTTTTTAGCAGCCTTCCTAAGAAACCCAATAAACCCCAAAAGGCTAAGGATCTAAAGTTACACTAAAGCACCACAGAGAATCAACCTCCCTCCACAACTCCCCACCCACGGAGTCCAAGGAGCGTACAAACTCTAATTCTCAAATAGCCTGCTTAAGGCCCTGTCCTCTGTCATCCACTTGCGGTATACCGAAGAAGTCGTACCAAATGTCCCAGTCTAAGCAGTTCAGCTGCTCCTGTGCCCGAGGGGCGACGGATTCCGGGGGTTCTAGGGCTAAACCCTAAACCCTAAACCCTAAACCCTAAACTACCCCAAGAAAGGCTGAGTGCAACAATAGCACATCGAAGCACTGAGTTGCTGAGCCTATAAGACCCAAATAAGTGTACACTTTCCGTTCCATAGGGGTTTAGGGTTTAGGGCTCAGGGTTCAGGGTTTAGGCGTATTGTAGCAGCCCAAAAAGTGTAAAGTGTACTCATTCAGCCACTCAGAGTAAGATAAATCACAGAATGTCGCGCGAAGGGCACCCAAAGTTTCTCTAGGACCTGATGCAGCCGTCAGCAGTAACCTCTGACAGCGGCTAACTAGTCATAGACTTAACCCTACAGCAGGGCCTAAACCCTAAACCCTAAACCCTAAACCCTAAACCCTAAACCCTAAACCCTAAACCCAAGGAAACATCTTCCTGAAGTTCCGCATCTTGCAGGGCTCTGCCCAGAACAGCTCCATACATGGTCACTTCTCTAAATTCTGGTCACTTTCTTGGGTGCACTAGCTTTTACTCTACTCCCCTTAGAACCTTGATAAACATAATATCTTTAATATCCTCTTGAGTCATATATAAATTAGAAATAATTCCCAAGGGGGATATAGTTTAGGGACCTGTGTAAAACAGTGAATTCAAAAGGGACCATGGTTAGAGAACTGAGCATAGGAGAATAGGGGCCCACGGATACTTAGAACCAGTATGTTGAAGAGTTCAAACTCGAACAGTACAGGTATGATGAGGGGATGCGAAGGAGAAGCGACAGACTCTTCAGTCGCACGGCGGCAGAACCTGATGTCTAACTTGATCCCCCAGACATATACCCTAAGTCGGGGTGCATTTGAGGGCCCTCGAAGCCTCTAAAGATTAAGACCCTAAACCCTAAACCCTAAACCCTAAACCCTAAACCCTAAACCCTAAACCCTAAACACTAACCAACCCTAAACATCCTAAAGCCCGACAGCCCCATACCCCAAAACGCCCTAACACCGCTGACAGCCTCCTCGCTTGGCATTGGGACATCGGTGCCGCTTGACCTGCAGTCGTCTACACGGTTGGGTTTAGGGTCTAGGGTCTAGGGTCTAGGGTCTAGGGTCTGGGGTCTAGGGTCTAGGGTTTAGGGTTTAGGGTTTAAGGTTTAGGGTTTAGGGTTTAGGGATCTAACTCATGCGACCTTCTTGTTACCCTAAAATCCTCACAAACCCAATGTTGAAAAATGCAATATCCCAAGGCCCTACCTGGCCTGAACTAGGAACATCCAAGAAGAGAGACCTCACAAGTGACTCCCGTTAGCACTTGGCCCTGACGGTGTAGGGTTCAGGGTTACTGCCGGTTGAGGATGTACTTAATAGATTTCAACCCTAGACCCCCTAAGCCTCAAAGGGCTTTGAGCTCTTGACGCAGAGTAGCCCACTGGGAAAGCAAGGTTGACTTTCGGTGTTGCAGAGGCCTGAACTCCTGCAAAATACCTCAGACCCTAAACCCTAAACCCTAAACCCTAAACCCAAACCCCAAACCCTAAATCATGTTCAGGGTTCAGGTGCCGGGTTTAGGGTTTAGGGCTGAAGGTATGTGCCACCAATTGATGGTAAGGTTGAGAGTCCATAGGGTTTCGGGTTGACGGTTTATGACGGTTACTCTAGGAGAACCCTTAGACCTAAACCCTAAACCCTCAACTCTAAACCCTAAACCCTAAACCCCAAAGAAGTCACTGACAGGGCACTCCGCAATGGTGTCCTTCCCAACACGCAGCTTACCGGCCGCGATGTCCTGGCTTTTTAGGGGTTTGAGGATCGGATGCAGGGCTCCGATGAGGCACCCTAAACCCTAAACCCTAAACCCTAAACCCTAAACCCTAAACCCTAAACCCTAAACCCTAAACCCTAAACCCTACGGCTCTCAAGCCGGAGGAGGTCGCACTTATCGTCACTTTGGGACTTCGGCCCAGTGCTCGTGATCTGTCCAAGCTCCACCAGCCGCCCAATCACTCCATCGATGAAGGCAGAGGCGAGCCCCGGGCTCCAAGTCAAACATGTCCCCGAGGAATGGATTTGGTTTGCTGCCCATGCGCGATTATCGGCCGATCCGAAGACGCACTTCTTCACATTGACCAGGATATGTCGCAAGTCTCGCATCTTGGCCACCTTGGGCGCCAAGATCCGCCAGGCAGCCAATACTTGAAGGTTCATGGGACTTAAGAACCACTTCTAACTGTACTTATAACCCTACTTATAATTGGGATAACCCCTACAAGGCCCTTTAGGGGTATTATAAGTGGGGTTATAAGTGCAGTTATAATTGGCTAATAAGTACCATGAACCTTCAAGTAGACCCGGCCCACCGTCCGTATGCACTTGATGCACTGCTTCATGCAAGGGAAATCCAGCCTGGTCTGCGCGCCTGAACATGCACGCCAGCATTGGCTGGAGATCGTTGTTTAGGGTTTAGGGTTTTAGGGTTTAGGGTTTAGGGTTTAGGGTTTAGGGTTTAGGGTTTAGGGTTTAGGGTTTAGGGATACTTCTCTTTCGGCAGGACGCCGAACATCACGGTGGCTCTAAGGAGCTGAGGAAGTAACGAGGATGAAGCACGTGGGGCACGTCATCCCCGCAACTGCCACCATCACTTTTGAAGCTTCAGGGTTTAGGGTTTAGGGTTCTTTAGGGTTCTTTAGGGTTCTTTAGGGTTCTTTAGGGTTCTTTAGGGTTCTTTAGGGTTCTTTAGGGTTCTTTAGGGTTCTTTAGGGTTCTATAGGGTTCTATAGGGTTTAGACTTTAGAGTTTGTGGTACTGAGGTATCAACAAAAGGGCTGACTGTTACGAGGATGAGGTGCATGGCCAGCGCCATCCTCGTGACGGTCGTCACTTTGGAACCCTGGTTTGGCGTTCACGCCTCAAAAGTGCTGACGGTTGCGAGGATCACGAGGATCGTAGCTGTCGTCGCTTATGAAGCTTCGTTTACTGTTCGCGTCTATAAAGCACTGAACACCTTGAAACGGACTCAAACCCAATGCACCCCATGCAGCAATGCACCGTCCCCCTACACCCTAAACCCTAAACCCTAGATCCTGATCCCTCAACCCCGAAGCCCTAAACCCCAAAACCCTAAATCCTGATCCCTCAAACCCCAATGCCCAAGGAACGCACTCCCAAAGACCCTACTTGGAGGATCGGGGCACCGAGTAAGGAGGGATAAAAGACACCTTACTTGGGGTATATAAGAAACCAAAAGTGTTGTTACCTTACTTATAACCCCGCTTGCTAAGGCCCCTGATCCAAAGAGCCACATATCCCTGAAGTAAGGAATACACCTCATTTTTTCTCGGCATCCTGAATACGCTTTAAGGTAAACCCTAAACCCTAAACCCTAAACCCTAAACCCTAAACCCTAAATTAAGGGCCATTGGGCTCTTTGAGGCTTCGAGGGTCGAGGTCAGCTTACGGGACTTGCGATGATGAACCCGAGGTTGAGGAGGTTAGGAGCCTTCGATTCGATGGCTTGGTAAGGGGAGTAGAGGGTTTAGGGTTTGGAGAGTTTAGAGGGCTTTGTTGAAGGGTTTAGTTAAGATTAGATTAGGGGAGTATAGGGTTTAGGGTTTTTGCTTAGGGTTCAGGGGGTTCCGAGGGTTTAGAGTGTTTAGTTTAGAGGGACTAAGGGGAGTATAGGGTTTAGGGTTTGGAGAGTTTAGAGGGCTTTATTGAGGGGTTTAGTTAAGATTAGAGGGTTTAGGGGTTTTTTTTAGGGTTCAGGGGCTTTCGAGGGTTTAGAGTGTTTAGTTTAATAATTAAAGGGGTTAGGTTTGGGGTTCAGGGCTAAGATTTGGTGGCTCCTTGAGGACGCCTTGCAATACCCGCATCTGTTCGCCACGGGGGTCAGGATGGCGTCGTCCAGCCCACTGGTGGGAGATCAAAACCACCTTTCCTTGCAACAAGTCACACCCGAGGTTGCTGTTAGGGTTTAGGGTTTAGGGTTTAGGGTTTAGGGTTTAGGGTTTAAGGTTTAGGGTGTAGAGCCTAGGGCTTCGAACCCAATCCCAAAACTTGCCCAAAACCCTACAACGCCTGAACACACTCAAGCCCTGCTAAACCCTGGCAGGACCTAAACACTCGGGTCTTGATGTTGGGGGTTAAGGGTATTGGCTGAGGCGGGCTTCGGGAGGCTAAGGTACCTTGTAGTGCATGGGGGTTGAGGCGTTTAGGATCTATAGGGTTTAAGGTTTAGGGTTAAGGGTTAGCATCTATAGGGTTTAGGGTTTATAAGGTCCAGGGCTGAAACGTCAGGCATTGCTTGCTACTAGATTTGGGGGTGTAGAGTTCCCCTGAATGTCCAAAGCGAGCACCCCATGCCTGGCAGTATGACCCCCCACGCCCTCCCCGCGCCCAACGACGCCCCGAACTGAGGGGACCCCTCACATCCCCCGAAATAGAGTACCTTATCGGAACCCCCCTCGGGAAAGGGTACAACTCTTTCCGAAAACCCAAATATTTTGGCAAGCCAGAACCATAAGTCAGAAGTGGCCCATTATTCATTTCCAACACACACACACACACACTCACACACACTCACACATATACACTTACCGGCAGCAAACGCGGTGGTCGCGGAAGCGCACACACATTTTCACTGAACCTGAACCCTGAGGTTCCAAGTACCTTATTATTATGCACTTGGGCCCCAAAGTCCCGATATAGGAGGAACTTTAAGGCCCAAGTATTCGCCATTTAGGTACATGGACCCTTAGGGCAAGGGTTTAGGGTGAAGCGGGTGCAGGGGAGTTCTCGTCGCGGGCTTGATACAGTAGGCATCAGGGATAAACCCTGAACCCTAAACCCCTAAACCCTAAGCCCTAAGCCCTAAGCCCTAAACCCTAAACCAAACTGCATCATCCAGCCTAGTGTCTAGGGTGTCCATCCCGCCATTGGACTAGGTGACCCTGCTCCTTCATCTTGCTGTGAGGAAGCAGGGGTCCTGTGGCTTGCTGTTAGTTACAGGCAATGGAGGAATCAGTTACCCTCTATATAATCCCATAAAAGGGGAGAATCACTTAAAGGGCATCATATAGGATACCTTCTTCCCCCATTCCCGGTAACCAACAGCAAAGTGCTAGAGCAGCCGAGGCGTAGACTCATGCTTCTCAAAACGCAGACCCTTGTAAGGATCTAGAAAAAATACCGCCCCTCCCAGGTTTAGCACGCTACGCTACTGCTGCGTCATCTATCGCCCTAAGCCCTAAGCCCGCAGCCCTGCACCCTAAACCCCGAAACCTTCTCAAAGCTTTCGTAGGGCGTACTGCACTCGCATTGGGAGGGCTAGGCGTGATATCTCTGCTGCTTCGGCCCTTTACGCAGGACCTAGGGGTACCTCGAATAACCTTTATTATACCGAAAAGAAGACAAGATGTATCTTCATCATTGGGCAAGATCCTCTTTAAGGCTCAAGGCTACTCTAGGTAGTGTTTAGGGCTCATATCTCTGACCCTCGAGCCAAATACCGAACGAAACAATGCCACCCCTGCATGGGATTGGTTTATGGCTTTGGGTGTAGGGTTTGCAAACCCTAAACTCCTCTATCTAGGGGTTTCGGGTTTAGCGCTTAGAGTTTAGGATCTCCGCAACAACAGCTATCCAGTACAACATGGGCCTGTTTTCAGCGTTTGTTTAAATGGCTTTTCAGCATTTGTTAAAATGGCAATGCTGGGGCCTAAATAATTAGAATAGGGTTTTGGTATAAATAATAAGGGACCATACGGGAAAACTATTAGTACTTGTTCCGACCCCTACATTATGTTGGGTAGCTTGTTCTATCACTGCGTATCCTGTCTTCATAGCCACTCAGGCTGCTTTTGGAAACTCAGGGCTTTGCCGTTGGACAGGTCAGTGAAAGGCCTTTCTAGCGGAAGAAAACCTAGGTACTGCTGAGCCTGGTCTAACACAAGGGTCGGAATAATTCCTAAACCAATGTCCTCATGGTCCCTACATGATTATACTGTACTAACCCCCCCCCCCACCTCTCCCCCCAAAAAACAAAAAAAACTACTCCAATTTCTTAAGGCCCTTATAGTGTCAACCCTAAACCTAAACCCTAAACCCTAAACCCTAAACCCTAAACCCTAAACCCTAAACCCTAAACCCTAAACCCTAAACCCTAAACCTGCTGATCAAAGGGCTTCAAACATGGAGTCGTTAGCAATTGGTGAGAATGGGGAATGGCATCCAAGAAATATTCAGCATACCCCTTGCGCATACCCCTTACAGTCAAGTACCGGGGTATGGTAAACTGCTTCCTTATGTTTTCCTTTTACAGGTTAAGGGGTATGGGTTTGCGGTATGTTGAATTAGCAAACCCTAGCACCCTAAAACCCTAAAACCCTACAAACCCTAAACCCTAAAACTCCACATCCACCTGCAGCCCCACCCGAACTTGCTGGCCTTTCAGACTGAGGAGTGTCCTGTCAGTCAGAAACACTTGGAGGTTCATGGTACTTATACCCCAATTAAAACTGCAGCCCTTTAAGTACCATGAACCTCCAAGAAAGAATGCTTAGGGCTCTGGGGGTTTTGGGGTGCTGGAACTTTAAGGGTACATAGGGGAAAGAAGGCTTAGCCAGTTGGGGGTTGTGGGGCTGTCGGATTTCAAGGGAACTCAGGGGTTAGGGGCTTCATTAGGGCGTTTGGGGCTTTAAGGTTCTAGGGTTAGGAGTTCAGGGGTGTAGGGGTACTTAGGCGTCAGGGGTTTTAGGTTCTGTGGCAGTTTAGAAGTTTAAGGGGCTTAGGCTACAGAAGCCAGCAGGGATCTAGGAATCTTCAAATCTTCATGGCAAGTGACCAGCATGGCCACAGAAAGCTTCTCTTGGGGTTTGTGGCTTGTAGACCCCGAAACCCCAAACCCTAACCCTAAACCCTAAACCCTAAACCCTAAACCCTAAACCCTAAACCCTAAACCCTAAACCCTAAACCCTTGCTGTTCGGGCCTGCTGGCTGAGACAGGCAGGATGCTCCAATCAGGCCCCGTTGTGTGTTCGTGGTAGACTTAGAGCGGGGTTTTAGGGTCTAGGGTTTAGGGTAGAGGAATTAGGGGAGTTTAGGGTTTAGGTGTTTAGTGGTTGAGGGGTTGAGTTCAAAGTCGTAAGGGAAACAGGCAGGACTGTTTTGAAAAAATGACAATTGCAGTTGCAAAGATGCTTGCAAGACTTTCCGACACTGACTTGGTAGCCCAGTAGCCATATTAATAAGGGCACCGTCTTTGGGGATGGTAACACTATAAGGGGACCTTAACCAAAAAACAACAAGGGAAATGGGTACTGTACCACTAAGCCACTACCCCCCTCTATACTACACCCCAACCTGAACTACGCTTAGCCTGAACTACCTCAATTCTGGGGGGCACCTGGGGTGGGGGGGGGGGGGGGGTGTAGTATAGAGGGCGGTAGTACGGGAACTCATGAGACACTGATGTCCTGCGTTTGCCTCTACAGCTGCGCCGTTTATGCAGTCCGCTCCTGCCCTTCAGGTCCATGCATGCAGTGCGGGAGCCCTAAACCCTAAACCCTAAACCCTAAATCCTAAATCCTAAACCCTGAATCCAGCCTCTGACCCCCCAAACCTGAACCTCGCCCTAAACCCAACCCCCAGCAAAGCCTAAAGTGTCAAAAACGCCCAAAGCGCCCTAAACCCTAAACCCTAAACCCTAAATCCTAAACCCTAAACCCTAAACCCTAAACCCTAAATAGCGGAGGGGTTGTAGGGGAACCCATGCCGCGCCTGGCCGGAATGAGCCACATGGGAAAGTCCATGATGAGCTCAACGGATGCCCGCGCGAAGTCCTTGGAGGCACGACTGCATCAAGGGGCCCTAAACCCTAAACCCTAAACCCTAAACCCTAAACCCTAAACCCTAAGCCCTAAGCCCTAAGCCCTAAGCCCTAAACCCTAAACCCTACACTGCTTCCGACATCTTCAGACAAAGCGTCTGACGGTCTTGCCAGTGCCTTCGACAACGTGCCCAACGTGCCATGCGTATCTGTCGACATCTGACGACCCTGGACGTTGGGCCGCACTCGGGCAGCGGTAGGGGAGTCCCCCGCGGGCTGAAGGGTTTAGAGTTTAGGGTGTAGGGTTTAGGGTAAAGAGTAACCCTAAGGGTCCATGTACCTTATTATTGTATACTTAGACCCCCAAAGTCCCTACATAGGAGGTACTTTTAAGGCCCAAGCGTTCCCTATTTAGGTACGTGGACCCTTAGGGTAGCCTATCGGTATTTTCGGAAAAGAGGGATAGGAGCCACTACCAAGGCTTCATCTCTCCCTGGTACTGAACTACAAGGGTCATTCTAGGTACGGTGTATAGTGGTTAAGCGCGGTTGAGATTTGGGAGGGAGGTGGGTTGGTTCCAGCTCTTTGGTAGAAGTCATGCGTCTGTGTTCATTTTTTGCAGGATCTGGACTGTTTAAGCTGCCCTCCAAAATGACAGCAAAACGCCCCGCCCGCGCAGCAAGTTCAGAAAGTGTCGTCTTCAGGACGACTGCTTGCCCATGCTCAAGGGGTGTTGAAGAACCAGGCGAATTTCAATTACGCATATCCCAAGGCCTCAAGGTATCACACGCAAGCCCCAAACCTGCACCCAAGCCCTCAACTGCCTAAACTCCCTAAACTCCCTGAAGTCCCTAAACTACCTAAACTCCCTAAACCCTCATCACTAAACCCTGAACCCTAAACCCTCCCTAAACCCTGCACAGAACTTCATATGCCTAACCCTCTCGCGTAACCTTTCAAAACAGAATTGCCAACGAAGTCAACTGTGTTGCTCTAACGATGTATACCCGTCTTTCCAAAAAAAGCGGAGGTGAAGAAGGGGCCACGGAGTGTCCTAGAAACCGCGAAGCCCCCTAATCCCTAAACCCCTAACCCTAAACCCTAGCCCTAAACCCTAAACCCAAGGGCCACTGGGGGATTGAGTTGCGGCCTGCTGGACTCTAAAGGCCTGAGCATGGTCCCTCACAACTTCCCTCATAGCTAAGCCTTTTTGGGGACTTAGGTGAGTTGGGGTTTAGGGTGTAGGGTTTAGGGCTTAGGGTTTAGGGTTTTGGTTTTAGGGCTTAGGGTTTAAGTTCAGGGCCATGCCCCGCTACATCAGCCGTCTGATCTCTAAAGCATCGCGCCTCGCCCCGAACTACGGGAGGGGCGTATCAACAACAGGGACCCCAAGGGCCGAGGATTTCGACCGGAGGCCCACAATACAACTGTACCGAATTCCCGACTTCACAACCAAAGGCCAGTCATATAGGTATAGCCCAAACCCTCTGCCCTGAACCCCAAACCCTAAACCCTAAACCCTAAACCCTAAACCCCTGGACCCTCAACTGCTCCGGCACCTTGTTTGGTGGGGAGAGTTGCCGATGCGTCGAAAGAGTCGTCAAGGAGGAACTGGAATCATTCCTTGCGGATGAGGAGAAAGATTGATGCTGCAGCATGCAGGTTTGGGGTTTGGGGTTTGGGTTTGGGGTTTGGGGTTTAGGGTTTAGGGTAGTATAAGGGGGAACATCCCAAGGCATAGGGTTGCGGGTGGGACTAGGCTTCATAGTTATAAGGGTTACCAGTAGATAATATCCTTGTGGCAGTTTTAAAAACAAGTCAACATCCCCTCCGCCCCCACCTCCCCCGGGTTTAGGGTTTAGGGTTTATAGGGTTTAGGGTTTAGGGTTTAGGGTTTCAACGAAAATTTTGTGTTCGCTGCCGAATCCAAGAGGCAAGGACCAACCGGACCCCCCCTTCGACCAAGTCGTAGAAAACAGCTTCTTCGCTGGGCTTGGCTTTACAAGTTCTTAGAGCTTTCGGGTTTATATAGGGTTTAGGGTTTAGGGTTTAGGGTTTAGGGTTTAGGGTTTAGGGTTTAGGGGGCTTGGCTTACAAGTTGTTAGAGCTTCTAATTCTAAACTCTAAACTACTTGGAGGTTCATGGGTAGCTGTTAAAATGTTAAAAGAAAAAGGTTCTAGGTTCCCTAGAAAAAATTCATAATCACCCACAAACATACTCGTACCCCCACTTACAACCACAGTTGTAAGTATCCATGAACCGAACCTGCAAGCAAGCCCTAAGCGTCCGTGAGACCGCTCACCTCTACTGTATCGCTTTTTTTAAAGATCAGATTACTTCGGGCCTCATTCTGCATCGGGGGGGGGGGGTAGGTAGGATGGGCGTAGTAAACGGGAACGATGCAATCTCCAAGCCGCTAAGCGAACCTGACCACCCCAGAAAGCAAAGACCTTGCGGGGTGTATCTAGCACAACCCATATACCGATGTAGCTTAGTTACCGGTAGCTTCCGCTATGCAAAAATGTAGGCGAAATACTCTAGGCAGGGTTTAGGATTAAATGTCCTCAACAGAGAAAAAAAAGCCTCGTCACAACAACAAATGCGCTGAGGAATAACGTTACCCCGTCTTGCCAGGAAGGCACTTGGTCAAGGTGTGTTTGCCGACAGTGTCGAGGTTCGAAATGGTCTCAGCATCAGGGGTGCCTCAGCATCCGGGGTGCTTTGTACTTAGACCCAGGAGTAACCTGGGATTGAAACGGGTGCCCTTTTTGGTTTAAGGCAATTTAGAAGGCAACCCAAACCCTGAAAAACTGGAATAAGGGCCTAGTCTGGGTCCTATAGATAAGCCTGGCGGAAACGAGTTTAGGGTTTAGGGATGTTTAGGGTTTAGGGTTTCGGGGTTTGGGGTTCAGGAATTTAGTGGTTTGGGATTTAGGGATCTAGGGGATTGGGGTTTAGGGGTTCCGGGGTTTAGGGGGTTTAGGGGTTTAGGGCTTTCGTTAGAGTGAAGGGGCGTGGCAGCCTGTGGCGAGGGGCTGCAGAGAACCAGCTGCCCTAAACCCTAAACCTTAAACCCTAAACCCTAAACCCTAAACCCTAAAACCGAAACCCTAAACCCTAAACCCTAAACCCTAAACCCTAAACCCTAAACCCTAAACCCTAAACCCTAAACCCTAAACCCTAAACCCTAGAGGGAGAGGAGGACTCGATCCTACACCGCAGCGATGGCAGGCGTTGGTCCCCCCCAAAGGTTTAGGGTTTAGGGTTTAGGGTTTAGGGTTTAGGGTTAGGGTCTAGGGCACCTACGGAACTTCCTGTAAAAGGGTACACGTCGCGGTTTGCTGGAGCTACCAGACATTGATCCCTAAACCATATATGCCCGAAACATTAGGATTTGTTAGGGCTTAGCGTTGAGGGTCACCCTAAACCCTAAACCCTGTACCCTGCTGGGGCCGAGAAGCTCGATGCCGACTCCAAACAGGCCAGTTGAGAGCCCATTCCCGGCAGCGCTTGCACGGTGGGGATTGGGACCCAGCACCGCGCTCAATGTTTATAATCTTATAAGGAGCGGTATGTGACGGTATGCCACTCACCATTAACAGCAATTAAAAAAAAAAATGCCGGCCGTGTTTTGAAAACGCTCTTAATCCGCGCAGCCATGTCTGAACATCAAAGCCTCACCACTCACACGACTGAACCTCTTTATGTCTTTCCTTCACGCAGCAAAGGGCCACCCTACTAATCCGCTCTGCTCCCAAAGGAGGAGCCTGGAAAACCAAGTGGCTGCGGTCGGGTGTCTCGAATCTTGAGCTCATCTCTTGCAAGTTCTGGGGTGCAAAATGCCATAAGGCATCTCCTGCTGTGCACACACGCATGTAGCATCTGTTCCTGCATAGGTCTCCTAAGCCCTGGGTTTAGGGTTTAGGGTTTAGGGTTTTGGCTTCGGGCCTGAACCAAGAAAGCAAAGGGCGCCCAACTCTCTTAGGGTAGATTCATGGTCCCTTAGCACGGGCCCTTAAAGGGGGACCCCTTATATATCTCATATATAATATTATTATATATATATATACCCTACACAACCCTAGGGCCCATACTTCAGAACCCTTTAAAGGAGGTAAGGGCCCATATTAAGGGCAGGGTCCCCGTTCGGCGCCAGCCATCAAACGTCCTCCCAATTGTGATCTTGAGGCCTCACGTCTCACATGCACTTCGGAGTAGAAGGCGTTGAGAATTAGGATTTGGGTTTAGGGTTTAGGGTTTAGGGTTTAGGGTTTAGGGTTTAGGGTTTAGGGTTTAGGGTTTAGGGTTTAGGGTTTAGGGTTTGGGGTTTGGGGTTTGGGGTTTGGGGTTTAAGGGGTTTAAGGGGTTTAAGGGGTTTCGGGTTTGGGGCATGCAGCTCATGAGCCTCAAAGCAGGGATCGGCGCTGAGGGGGGCTTGGGGCTAACCCTAAACCCTAAACCCTAAACCCTAAACCCTAACCCCTAAACCCTAAACCCTAAACCCTAAACCCTAGCCTCCTTTTCAGCAATGCCGGCGCGTGCCGAGGGCAGACATCCGTTGGCTAGCCGTGGTGAAGGAAGAGCGCTGCAATCAGACCGGCGACTCTGTGATGATCTGTGCCAGTGCGGTTGAGGGGTAGAGGGTTTGGGGTTTAGGGTTTAGGGTCTAGGGTCTAGGGTTTAGGGGCGCGGGTGGGTTTAGGGGTTCGGTGTACTGTCTGTTTAGGGAACATTGGGTCCTGGGTGGGGATGGAGGGGGCGGGGGTGGCCTAGACCGCTAGCGGCCTCTAAACCTGGCGCAGCCGTGCCCTGCCATCAACCGCTACTAGGGTTTAGGGTTTAGGGTTTCGGGTTTAGGGTTACCCGAGGGTAGCCTCGGCCTAGGAATAAACGGGGTAACCTTTTGGTATAAAGGGGCTTATCAAGGGAACCTAAACCCGAAAACAAGGGCATAAGTATAGGGCCTACGCCTACAGACCTTCTGGAATTTGCTGCACCTGGCAAGACCTCCTTGTGATATAATCCTACTTGGGGGCAGGGATGATTGTAATTTGCAATTAAGTGCCATGTTGCGTCGCAGTTTGAACCCTGAACCCTGAACCCTGAAGCCTGAACCCTGAACCCTGAACCCTAAACCTTATAAACCCTAAATCCTACTCCTCAACTGCCTGCGGCGCTGCCCGCCTTCTCTACAAGGCTCACGGCTTGCTGCTGCGAGCCTGACAAGTGGCAAGGGAAGAAATCGATGGGGATTTATCTAAGATACACAGCCCTAAGCGTCCAAGGTCAGTAGGGTTTAGGGTTTAGGGTTTAGGGTTTAGGGTTTAGTCCAGGTACCTAAGTTGGGAGTACTTGGGCCTTAAAAGTACCTCCTACATAGGAACTTCGGGGCCCAAGTACATCGTCAGAAGGTGCATGGGCCCTTAGGGCAGCCTTTGCGAACTTTGGAGGATCTCCGCAAACAGTTGACCTTCCCGATGCTCTGGGACCCTAACACAGGTATCAGTTGGGATGTTCCCCCTTAAACTAACAGTCCGAATAGCGATTATAGTACCCCCTATAGAAGTCCCTATTAAGGACTGCTAGTATAAGGGGGAACATCCAAAGGCATCTAAGGCAATTAGCAGAACTAAGTCCGGCCCCTTCAGTTCGGCAGTATCATGTCAAGCCTATGGGGGGGTAAGGCTTCCCCATGTCCAAACTCACCCTTCAAAGCCCTAATGATAATCCCCCTACTAAAGTCCGACTGTACAAAAACCTGTCATAAAACCTCGTGTAGCGGCCTTTTTTGAACAGAAAGGGAATGCCTTTTTTGAACAGAAAGGAAATCATTGTGGTAGTTGGTATGGGGACAGAGCTGGTAGCTAGTTAGCCTCCTCCACCACACCCTAGAGCGACTACAGCCAAAATAAGCCTAAACCTAAACACCAAAACTCGATACTGTAAAACCTGAAACGCCAAACCCGCAAAACCCAAACTCTCAAACACTGAAACCCTGAAAACCTTGAAGCCTGAACCCTGAAGCTCTTAAACCTTCAACCCTACACCCCCTTAAACCCCAAATCCGAAGACCGAAGCACTCTTAACCCTTAAACCCTAAAACGCCTTAAGCCCTAAACCCTAATACCCTTACACTCTGAAACCTTAAGTCCCCGAAAAACCTTAAACCCTAAACCCGAATACCAAAGCATTCTTGAACCTTAAACCCTAAAAATCCTTAAGCCCTAAACCCGACTGCCCTTCCCCTCTGCAACCTTAAACCCCCTAAGCAAAACCTTAAACCACAAACCCTAATACCCTTGCACTCTTACACCTTCAACCCCGAAAAACCCCCTGAAACTCTAAGCCCTAATACCCTTACACTCTTACACCTTCAACCCCCCCAAACAAAAAGCGTTAAACCCAAAACCCTAAACATAATACACTTACACCCTTACACCTGAAACCCACCAAAAACAATTTGAGCTCTTCAACCTTAAGGCCGGCAGCCCCTTCAGCCCTTTTAACTCTTGAGCCCTCAAACCTTGAACCCTAAACCCTAAACCCTAAACCCTAAACCCTAAACCCTAAACCCTAAACCCAAAGAGCTCTTAATCCTTAAGCCCTGCACCCCTTAAGCTGGATGGCCTCTGACGGGCGCGCAAGCGAGGCCGGGTCGCAGTAGCCGTCCTGGGTTTAGAGTTTAGGGTTTAGGGTTTAGGGTTTAGGGTTTAGGGTTTAGGGTTTGGGGTTTAGGGTTTAGGGTTTAGGGTTTGGGGTTTAGGGTTTAGGGTTTAGGGTTTAGGGCTTAGGGTTTAGGGCTTAGGGCCTATGGTGCCTACCTACATGTAAATAGCTTCGGGTCTGGGGTGTATTCTGTCTACTTCTGTCAGCCCGAAGCCCGAAACCCTCGAGCTGATGGTCAAGGGTCGGAGGTTTGGGTACGGGGCTCCACGTGAAAGGGGGTTTGAAAGGTTTAGGGTTTAGGGTTTAGGGTTTAGGGTTTAGGGTTTAGGGTTTAGGGTTTAGGGTTTAGGGTTTAGGGTTTAATTAGGGTTTAGGGTTAGGGTTTAGGGTAGGGTTTAGGGATAAACCCCCAAATAGTAAGATTCCCTTATAATCAGGACCCCAATAAGGCACCCTCAATTTCGGAAACCCCCCATGTGTGCGTTTAGGGTCTCTCAACCCGAAACCCCAAACTAAAGCCTAAACCCAGTGGATTTCGGTTTCTGGAAGTGTCGGAAGGTTTAGGGTTTAGGGTTTAGGGTTTAGGGTTTAGGGTTTTGGGTTTTGGGTTGAGGGTTTAGGGTTCAGGGCTTAGGGACTTTTGAGGGCCTTTTTGTTGGCGGGCTTATCGGGTTTCAGTTTCTCGGCCGCAGGGGTTTGCGTGTGGGGTCAGGGGTTTAAGGGTTAGCCCTAAGGGTCCATGTACCTAAATGAGAAATAATTACTTGGGCCTCAAAGTACCTCTGCATAGGTGCTTTGGGGCCCAAGTAATTACATCATAGTAAGGTGTGGTATGGTTCGCAAGTCGAGGCTTGTCATTTCATTGCTCAGAGGCTTTATAGGGATTAGGGTTGGGATCCTAAACCCTCGACCCTAAACCCTAAACCCTAAACCCTAAACCGAGTGTAGTTCAAAGCTACGCTGGTTGTGTTGGTCCCGACTTCTTGCCCTGGGCGGCCCTGCGAAGACTGCGGCGGGGCTGTGGCCGGCGAAGCGGTCGACAGAGCTGGGCCTAAGCGAAAAATCCCCAAGGGTTTAGGGTTTAGGGTTTAGGGCTTAGGGCTTAGGGTTTAGGGTTTAGGGTGTAGGGTTTAGGGCAGCATCTCAAGCTCAAGCCCTCACAATAAGACATTACCTTAGAACCCTAAAACCGATCCCTTGAACCCTAAACCCTTGTCTTCAACCCCTGCACCGTCAACCCTATTTACGCCTGGCCGTTCGGAGTTGCATTAGGGTTGGTGCCTGATTGTTCGGAATTGCATTAGCTATACATAAACCCTAAACCCTAAACCCTAAACCCTAAACCCTAAACCCTAAACCCTAAACCCTACAGGCTATACAGGTTTAGGATGAGGGCGCTCAGGGGGGCAGGGCTTTGGGCATTAGGGCTTAGGTACCCGAAGCCCTGAACCCTGAAAACCCGGTCTCGAGGAGTTGCGTTTGAACCTTCCTAAACCCTAAACCCTAAACCCTAAACCCTACACCCTAAACCCTTACCTCGAAACCCGAAGCGCTTTGAAGAATCGAACCCCAGCCTTGCAGGTTTACGGTTTAAGGGGTTTAGGAGTTTAGGGTTTAAGGGGTTTAAGGGTTTAAGGGTTTAGGGGTTGAGGGGTTGAGGGGTTTAGGGGTTAAGGGTTTAAGGGTTTAGGGGTTTAGGAATTAAGGGTTTAGGGGTTTAAGGGTTTAAGGGTTTAAGGGCGTAGGGCAAAGGGTTTAGGGTTAAGAGGCAGCCTCAAATTCTGTCGTCGGTGGTGTGCAGTCTATCGTAGCTCGTTCATGGTAGCTGCCAGGGTCTGTAGTATACAGCATGGTTCTAATGCTGGTAAACTTCTAGGCTGTTGTAAGGAATTTTGGGATTCCTAGGGACCAAGCGGTTTGGGGTTAAGGATTGCCTAGGGTACATATACAAGGAAGGGCCCCCTAGTTATAAGTGGAGTTATATTAGCCCTAAATTGGGTTCTAAGGATCCTAGATTAGGTTCTAACTCCCTGAACTACAGTTAGTATAGTAAGGGGGCCCCTCCTTGTAGGATTTAGGGCGTTTAGGTGCTGAGTTTTGGGTCCAGGGAGGCTCCGAAGCGAGAAGCCCGCTGAGAAATCGGCTTGCCAGTCTGTCCAGCGGGCATCTGGCAAGACTTCGAGGGCTCCGGGGGGTATTTAAGGGCTGAGGCTGGGACATGAAGTAGGGTATATATTCCTGGTTTATAGTTGGGATAGTAATAAAAATTTAAAATTTTTATTCTTATTGAGTTTAAGTACCCATAAAAATGTAAAATGTTATCCCACTATGACAAAGATTCCTTGTACCCCCAAAAACCCCCAAAAGGACACCAGGTAGAAACACTCACCAATGTTTAAAAAGGAGCCTTATATACACTCACCAGTGACAGTAGTATAAACCCTACTTCATGTCAGGTTTGAGGGTTTGAGTATAGCATGGCAGAGTTTAGAGCTTACGGTTTCGGGTTTAGTGTTTGGGTATAGCATAGCAGGCTCTGGAGCTGAATCCGGGATGGGCGTGATGTTCGCGTCTTTTTCTCAGAATGCATTCAGCTGATCGGGTGCCAAGGTTTTGCGCGAGCACTCAGCAAGTCAGGCCAGTCACGGGTAGTTGGGTTCGGGCCCCAGTTTGTGGAACCCTAATGCAAAGGACATCGAATCTGCATGGGCTGTAGTTTCGAGTTTAGAATTTAGGGTTTGGGGTTTGGTTCGATGTTCGCCGCACTGAAGCCCAACTATACCAATCTTAGGGAACTTCAAGGCCTTATAAGTGGGTGTTAAGTCTCCTTGTGATTAGGCTTTCAGTACCCTGAGCCCTTAAGCAGCCCTAAACCCTAAACCCTAAACCCTAAACCCTAAACCCTAAACCCTAGGGTTTAGAAGGCACCTAGAGTGACTTATACCCTTAAGAAGAAGAAAACAGAACTTGAACTATTGGTAGGTGTGTACATTAGTCCTTAACCCTAAACCCTACACCCTAAACCCGAAAAAACCTTCGGGGCGGGACGGTGGGACCGGTTACCAGGAAACCCTAAACCCTAAACCCTAACCCCTAAACCCTAAACCCTAAACTATGGTCCCTTTTTGGGACCGGTTACCAGGGTCTGAAAGTTCGCAAACGAGCCAGGTGAGCCGTCTTGAACCGGGTGTCCACCAAGTCCTTGGGTGCAGGGGTATAGGGTTTAGGGTATAGGGTTTGGGGTTTAGGGTTTAGGGTTTAGGGTTTGGGGTTCACGGTTGGAGGACTAATCAGGACATGGTGCTTCTGGGACTCTGAGTCTCTCGGATTCGCAGACACTTTGTTGCTGCTGCCAACTGGCACACACCAGAAAACGCATCCACCGAAAACGTGGGACAATAAGCCTTGCGGCTGGGTAGCTTATGTTGCAGTTGTAATTATACGGGAATAAGACGGATAATGTCAGGCATTTTTCTGTTCCCGTACTGTAGCATGGGGCTTACCGCGCAGCTTTTGTCTAGGTAGCCAGTCTTCGAATTCCCATGTATAGCAGTATGACAACGTACTCCCAAAACCTTCAAAACCCTCTTCAGCATGCTTGGAAATACCCCTAAACTCTAAACCCTAAACCCTGAACCCGAAACCCTAAACGCCCATGGTACCAGACCCTGGAGCCCAGGCGATTCTCGCGGTTTAGGGTTGAGAGTTCAAGGCTTAAATTTAGGGTTTAGGGTTTAGGATGGTTTAGGGTTTGGGGTTTAGGATGATTTAGGGTTTAGGATGGTTTAGGGCTTAGGGTTTAGGATGGTTTAGGGTTTAGGATGCTTTAGGGTTTAGAATTTAGGATGATTTAGGGCTTAGGGTTTAGGATGATTTAGGGTTTAGGATGGTTTAGGGTTTAGGGTTTAGGATGGTTTAGGGTGTAGGGTTTAGGATGGTTTAGGGTGTAGGGTCTCCCATTGCAGGTGCGGCACATCGGGCCGCAGCTGGATGCCGGATGGTGCGTAGCAGTCATCCTGACATCGCACCGTGGAGTTCGCAGGTTCCCTAAGGGTTTAGGGTTTAGGGTTTAGGGTTTAGGGTTTAGGGTTTAGGGTTTAGGGTTTGGGGTTTAGGGTCTAGGGTTAAGGGTTTAGGGTTTAGGGTTTACCCAAATAGGGAGTACTTGGGCCTGAAAGAAACCTCCAAAACGGGGACTTTGGGGCCCAAGTATACAAGAATGAGGTACATGGACCCTTAGGGCCTAAACCCTAAACCCTAAACCCTAAACCCTAAACCCTAAACCCTAAACCCTAAACCATACGCCCATGAACGCGGAGATCGCGGGTCTGTAGGGCAGATGGCTTGCATCGAGAAGCCGATTTACCTCTAGTCAAGAGTAAAGAGAGTTTAGGGTTTAGGGTTTAGTATTTAGGGTTTAAGGGATCCCTGAACCCTCAACCCAAAACACTAAACAGCCAGAACCCAGGGGCAACTACCGGAATTTGGTGGCGAGCTGGCCCCCACTCAATGACAGAACCCGAAACCGTGTCCTAAGCTGACTGAAAAACCATCAACCAACCCTGTGGAACTAAACACCCCCCCCCCCCCCCCCCCCCCCCCCCCCCTGAACCTCAAACCCTCAAACTCAAAGATCTCCTAAAGGAACGTTCCAGAAAACATTCCTGAAGCAAGGCGTGTTGGACCTTAGTCAACCCATGATTCTCAACCCTAAAAACCCTAAGCCCTAAAACCCTAAACCTTCATTAACCCCGAGTTCTCGACCCTAAATCCTAAACCCTGAACCCAAAAACCCAAAACCCCATAAACCCTAAACCTTCATTAACCCCGAGTTCTTGACCCAATCCTAAACCCTGAACCCAAAAGCCCATAAACTTTTCTCAACTCTCAGCCGCCGGCCCCAAGGGTCTTCAGCAGACCTTTCCGTGGCGCCTTCTGGCTCAAACGCTGCACCTGCTGAGGAGGGTGTCAGGCTGAGGGCTGCTTCGGGTTTAGGGTTTAGGGTTTAGGGTTTAGGGTTTAGGGTTTAGGGTTTAGGGCTTAGGGTTTAGGGTTGAGGGTTTAGGGTTTAGGGCTTAGGGTTGAGGGTTGAGGGTTTAGGGTTTAGGGCCTAGGGTTTGGGGTCATAAACCGGTTTAGGTTTAGGGTCTAGGGCTTCAGGCTTACGATCTGGGGCCGGCTTGGTGTACCTGTTCTTCATGCGGAAGTAGTGATTAGGAACGCAGGATTCCGTCAAAGCGCTTACAGCTCAAGCATCCTGCACTAGAAGCCAGGAATTCTGCGCTGTTCAGATACGTTAAGGACATTCGGGCAGCGGTGCAGTTGCCTCTACCCAGCGCTGGTGTCAGAGTGCCTTTGAACCCTGGACCCTCAACCCTCAACCCTAAACCCCCAAACCCCCAAACTCTAAGGCCCTGAAGGGTTTAAGAAGTGCTAGGAACCTCCAAGTATGGTCCTAAGGGTCCATGTACCTCATTCTTCTTATTCTTCTTATTGTTGTTATTACCATTATTATTCTTGTCATTACTGTCATTATTATTGCTGTTCTTGTTATCATTATTCTTCTTCCTCTTGTTTGTATATATACTTGGGCCCCAAAGTCTTTATATAGGCAGCACTTGAAGGCCCAAGTATTCCATATTTAGGTACATGGACCCTTCGGGGTTGTCGATTTCAGCCCGAAGCCAGCTTCTCCAGATGCTGAGGCCAGCGCCCCTCCGGACCTCAGGGTTCAGGGCTCGGGGGGTTTGGGGGCGAGGGCTTTTAGGGTTTAGGGGGTTTAGGGTTTCGGGTTTAGGGTTTAGGGTTTAGGGTTTAGGGTTTAGGGTTTAGGGTTTAGGGTTTAGTCCCGGCAAAAGGGTCTTCAGCATGGAAGGGTTCCCCTATTACCCTCTATACCTATATAAGGGGTATAACCCCTTTTTATACCTTATATAGTCCCGAACCCCTTTTTATACCTTACATAGTCCCTATATACCTTAGTAGCCCCTAAATAACCGTCCCTAAAATAGGTCCCCCTTTAGTCCCTTGATATACTACCCCCCCTAGGTTCCCCCATGATTAAGGCAAGTTGGGGATAGTTAAGCTCATGAAGGTTATTTTAGGGGGGGACCCAGGGTGGGGCACTTGGAGGTTCATGGTACTTACTGACCCATATTATATCTGTACTTACAACCCAATTATAACGGTATTGGGGCACAAAAGGGGCTTTTTGAGTGTGGTTTATAAGTACAGATACAATTGGAATCTCCAAGAACCCCCCTCTATACTGCCCTACCCCAGGTTCCCTTCATTAGCCTAAACTATCCCTAACTCGCCTTGATTATGGGTGGAACCAAGGGGGGGGGGGGGGGGGTGGGAGTTCATACAGCACCTTCATCTCTACGAGGGCGTCGATGAAAACCTCATCCTGCGTCTGGAGCTCGGCCAGGAGAACACTGGCGAGGCGGGCCTTGTAATCCAGGTTCGTGCTCTGTCGTGTAGCTCTGGTTGGTCTTCGCGGAGCCAGGCATAAAACGACCTCAATCTTTGGAAATTCACGAACGCATACGAGGGCCTGAAACCCCAGTTCGCTGTGTCTAGGGAGGTAAGCCCCCGCTTCTCCACAAAGCCAAGGTAGCCCCAATTCCGGACTCCTTGGTCACGAACGTCGGACTTAGGGTTGAGGGTTTAGGGTTTAGGGTTTAGGGAACATCATCAACATTTGGAGGAAAGAGCCCAGGATAGAGGGGGGGGGTATAGTACGGGATCTCACGAGGTCTAGCGGCCAGGATCTTATTCATGTTTTCGGGCCATCCGAACAGTTAATGTATCAGTTCTTTAAACTTGAAGTTGGCTTCTGAAATCGTGAACACTCTCAAGCCTCCACATTCAACCTCCCCTTTGCTCCCATCTAAACCTCATGAATCCTAGAATAGAATAAGGTTTTTAGTGAGTGTGCCCATAGAATAGTAAAAGAAAGTCTTAGTCCTCTAGCCGCGCCCTAGCCTGCCAAAGCGCGATCCGAATACCTCTAAGCCTTAAAACTTCGAAAACTTCCCTGAACCCTGCTACAAACCCTATAAACTCTATAAACCCTACAAACCCCATAAACCCTATAAACCCTATAAACAGTAACCCGGAAACCTAGACCCTTTGATCACCTTCTCAGCCCTCCCTCGGACACACACAGGGTGGGGCCCCCTAGTTATAAGTAGAGTTATAAGGGCCCTAAATTGGGTTATAAGGACCCTAAGTTAGGTTATAAGTCGCTTAACTACAGTTAGTATAGTAAGGGGGCCCCACCCTGTAGGCACGGATCTGAGCTCCACGCGGAGGAGGGCGCTGCCAGGGCACGTCTACCTCCAGATTGGGGCTTTACTTGGAGGTCCATGGTACTTACTGACCACATAGTAATTGCACTTATTACGCAAATTATAAACATATTAGGTAATTAAGGGGCTTATAAGTGAGTCATAAATACAGTTATAATTGGTTGTTAAGTACCACGACCTCCAAGTAGGAGTTTAGGGTTTAGGGATTCGGATACCGACAGAGTTGGGGTTTCGCGTTTTGGGGGGATGGTGGGAGTGGGAGGCAGCAAAATTCAGGGCCAATTCCTTCAGTTCTCTTGCTTTGGGCAAGCAGGTTGTGCCTCCCAGCTGATTTCGAGCGCAGTGGCGTTTGCCAACCCTAAACCCTAAACCATAAACCCTAAAGCCTAAACCCTAAGCCCTAAACCCTAAGTCTGAAACTGAAGCCAGCATTCGCCAGCCTGAACGAGGCGTGGAACGTAGCCCTGGTTGCCCACATAGACGCCATCCTAGCGGTACCGAACGTCGCGCTTACCCAAGGGCTCCTATGTAATTCCTTTTCGGGTTAGTTATGGGGAATTCTAGTATACTACCCCAAAACGTACTACATAGGAGCCTTTGGGTAGGGTGTAGGGTTTATTGGTTCATAGGGTTTATTGGCTCATAGGGCTTAAGGGTTTAGGGTTTGGGTAAGGGTTTAGAGTTTAGGGGCTGGATGCTTTAAAAGTGGCTTCCGTAGGGTCTGGTTGCGACATGCTTTCCTTGCTAGCCCAATGGTCAGGGTCTGGCAAATCAAGTAGGGGGTTTAGGGGTTTAAGGGGTTTAAGGGGTTGATTGGGTTTATAGTGTTTACAGGTTTTCTTAGGGTTAGTCTGATTAGAAAGAATGTTTTGGGCGCTGAAAAATTTTCCAGGGGAGTGATAACATTGGCAACGACTTGGGCTCCCCTCAACCCTAAACCCTAAACCCTAAACCCTAAACACTCTGGACATGAGGATGGCATGGGGGAAGTTCTAGTCTCAGGGCATTCTCCAGCTCGAGTCACGTTAGCCTGAGGCCAAGCCCGTCGTCATCTCAAGCCGGCGGGCGCACCCTAAGGCCCTAAACCCTAAACCCTAAACCCTAACCCTAAACCCTAAACCCTAAACCCTAAACCCTAAACCCTAAACCCTAAACCCTAAACACTCTGGACATGAGGATGGCATGGGGCAAGTTCTAGTCTCAGGGCATTCGGCAGCTCGAGTCACGTTAGCCTGAGGCCAAGCCCGTCGTCATCTCAAGCCGGCGGGCGCACCCCAAGGCCCTAAACCCTAAACCCTAAACCCTAAACCCTAAATCCTAAACCCTAAACCCTAACCTCCAAACCCTCAACCCTGTCCTCGCCGTTGATCTGCGCCTTCCTCACTGGCTTGGTGCCATCCAGCCCTGCACCGTCGAAGCCCTTGTACATGACTGACATGGCGGACATGGCTCGGATATTGCAGAGAGAGAGAGAGAGAACGCACTGGAAGCTGCACATATTCTATGGTATTATGAATGTTAAACATGCATTCTATATTACGTATATCGACGAATGCACTATGATTTACATTATGCCTGGTTATGGTTCTAGGGTTTGGGACTGGGCTTGCGAGTGGTAGAGAGGCTTCACACAATAGATTGCAGCTCGTTTATGTTGTTTTCTTGTTGTCATCCTCTTTTTGTTGCGAGCTTGTTTTGTTCCACACCATTTCTGCAACCATCCCTGCCAGGGGCTGCATTTTTCGCACTTTGAGCAAGCTATCCATTGGCGGCGGCATCTCGGGCAATCGGACACGCAGTCTCCATTTGATCCTCTGCGATGGTTTAGGGTTTAGGGCTTAGGGTCAAGAACCTACCTTCCTCAAAGCCTTATGAGCCCCAAAGAATGCCGACAGGCCCTGTAAGACTAGAATCCCAAAGCCTCTCAGCCCTATCAACCCACAAGCATAAGCTTACACACTTTCCAAGCTCTGTAAACCTGGCCTGTGCCATATGCAGCGCACGAGAGCTTACTTTTGTCGGCTGCCGGCGGATGCCCGCTTTGTGGCCAAAGTGAAACATAAAATTCCTAAGCCAAAAGTGGTTTTGCACCTCTGGCTTCGTGCCGCGTCCGGCTTATGGCTCAGTGTGGACCTGCCTCTACGGCCATTGCTCTTGGAAGAGCAAATGCAAAAGCCAGGCTGGAAACTGAGGTCGCAGAACAGCCATCATCGTGGCCACGCATGCCTCAGCGTCCGCCTCGAATACCTAAACCACCTGAATCCACTGAAGCCCAAAACAACTGAAAACTAGCCTAAACCCTTAACCCCTAAACTCTACACCCGAACCCCAACCCTAACCCCCTAAGCCCTAGCCCCTAAACCCTACAAACCCTGACCCTAAAACCCTAAACCCTAAAACCTTTGTCACCTTCCATCTCACTGCGCTCAGCAGGGGCCGCAGCGGGTTCGCGAGGCCCTGCCCAGGCTCATGTGGAGGTCGAGATTTGGGGCTGGGGGCTTAGGGCCTTGGGGGTGTTCAGGGCTGGCTTAAGGGCTTCTTCGGGTTTAGGGTTTAGGGTTTAGGGTTTAGGGTTTAGGGGTTGGGGATCAGAGTTTAGGGCTCAGGGTTGTGGTGTTTGGGCTTTCGGTGCTGAGGAGCTAAGGATCTGGCGGTGGGGACGCAAAACACCAGGAACGGCTTTAGTCCTTTGGGGTTTACTGCAGCACTCCCAGGCCGGTGTGAACCCTTTAAAGCTCTTAACACCTTCTTGAAACGCGTTAAAACTCTTTAAAACCCTTTTAGACTCTTTAAAGCCTCTTAAACCCAGGGTTGCCTAGCACAGCTCCCTACAGACCGGAAGCCTCAAATGTTCAAGCACAACGTGAACCAACCCTACCAAGCCCATGACAAGACCTTACAGTCGTCAGCCTTGGTTCAGGGTTTAGGGCTTGCGGTACAATTACGACCCAACATTCGTGGGCAAAGCGCGTTTACGCTTCCAGAGCAAACAACAATTGAAATCAGCTGCGTGGAGAATATTAACCCTTGTATTTGCAAGTGCGTTGGGATTCTCTGGGTGGGTATGCTCCTAGCTCCACTGCTCGACCCTAAACCCTAAACCCTAAACCCTAAACCCTAAACCCTAAACCCTAAACCCTAAACCCTAAACCCTAAACCCTAAACCTCGCAAAAGCCCTGCACCCTAAGAAGGGCTCAGGAGCTCACGTGCCGGTCAGCGCCTGGCAGGGAGGAGTTGGCTGGTCCAGCCCCTGGAGGGCGCAGACCTTGCCGTTTAGGGTTTAGGGTTTAGGGTTTAGGGTTTAGGGTTTAGGGTTTGGGGTTTAGGGTTTAGGGTTTAGGGTTTAGGGTTTAGGGTTTAGGGTTTAGGGTTTGGGGTTTAGGGTTTAGGGTGTCCAGCCCTGGCGCAGACCTGGCCGTGGGCCAGCGTGTAGCATCGCTTTCCCTGGTTTAGGGTTAGGGTTTAGAGTTTTTTCGGACACGGACTTGGTGGCCCAGTAACCATATTCTAATAAAGGCACCTTTTTGGGGTTGGTTGCTTCATACGGGAACCTTGAAGCAAAAAGGGAAAAGGGTGCCACTGGGCTACTACCTCCCTCTAGACCCCTCCCTTAAATAATCTTAATAGTATAGAGAGGGGTAGTTGGGGAACCCATGTGTGTGGTGGTTAAGGAGCGTCACCGTATGCCCTGTTTAGGGTTTAAAGCTCAGGGTTCAGGGTTTGGGGTTTAAGGTTTTGGGGTTTGGGGTTTGGCAACCCTGTAAACCCTGTAAACCATCAAAATCCTGTGAACCCTATACAAACCTTTTACACACCCTCTTTAAAAAAACTCTCTCAGCCCGCTGTGAACCATAGAAACCATGTATACACCCCCTACAGGGTGGGGCCCCCTAGTTATAAGTAGAGTTATAAGGGCCCTAAATTGGGTTATAAGGACCCTAAGTTAGGTTATAAGTCCCTTAACTACAGTTAGTATAGTAAGGGGGCCCCACCCTGTAAGGTTTACAGAAAGGACTCGCAACAAAATGAACATCGCCCAAACCACTGCATCACATTGAAAAACTCCGCCTCACAACAGTCCCCTCTCAAGGTTTAAACCTTAGGGTTTAGGGTTTCGGGTTTAGGGTTCAGGTGGTTTGGGGTTTAGGGTTTCAGGTTTATGGGGTTTAATATGCCCTGAACTCTAAACAACACCGAAGGAAACCGGGGCTGTGCGAGGTCGCTGACCGAAACAGCTGAACGCTGAACCCTAAAACGCCCAGGCTGCACCCTATACGGCCCCTTTAAAGGCAAGAAGCCCCCACACACCCACCCACCCACCCACCTACCCCACCGCCAAGCCCTGAAGTTTTATAGTTTAGTGGGGGCTTAGTGTTTAACTAGGGTTTAGGGCTAAGGTTTCGGGTTTCGGGTTTAGGGTTTGAGGTTTAGGGTTTAGGGTTTCGGGTTTACAGGGATGCGGCACCCAAATCTGCCATATGGCTATGTACATGGGCCGCTCGGTTTCGGCGTGGCCCAGATGCAAGAGTCTCCCAGGTGTTCACAAGCAAGGGCCCCCTAGTTATAAGTGGAGTTGTATTAGCCCTAAATTGGGTTATAAGGACCCTAAGTTAGGTTATAAGTCCCTTAACTACAGTTAGTATAGTAAGGGGGCCCCACCCTGTAATTTCGTAAACCCCCAGTTCGGGATTTGGTCACTTCGATAGCCCCCTTTTTTTTTTTTTTTGGGGGGGGGGGGTTCCTTGAAAGGGCGACCCTTGCACCCCAAACCCTAAACCCTAAACCCTAAACCCTAAGCCCTAAACCCTAAACCCTAGACCCTAAACCCTAAACCTAAACACCAAAACGGGACCATAATTGAGAGAATTGACCATGTGATATTTCAGGTTTAGGGTTGGTGGGGTGCAAGCTGTCCCTGGCGCTGTTCTGGCTTCCCCGGTGGTCTACAGCCCTAAACCCTAAACCCTAAACCCTAAACCCTAAACCCTAGGGTTTAGGGTTTAGGGCTCAGGGTTTAGGAGCATTGACCACAGTGGCTGGGGGGCTGTGGGTCATCTCAAACCTGCATCTCCCCGTCGGCAGCGAAAAGTTTGCATGGCCATTTTTAAAACGGGAGTAGGAGGGAGAATGCTGACCGTCATTTCTCCTACACTTTTTGTTCTACAGCAGTATTGAGGTTATAAGGGATGTTGGCAGAATGTCTCCTGCCCCTTGTTGTTCTAAGGGATATACGGGATGATGTTGGTAAGCATTTCTCCTACAGTACACGAATAGGGTTCAGGGCATTGGGGGCGGATTCCCAGGGTTCAGTGCTGCATTGGATTCTCAGCAAGAGTGGCCAGCGAGCCTGGGAACCTCTCAACCCCAAACCCTAAGCCCCTAAACAATGAACGTGAGTCCAGAAGCCTCTTTTGGACACTGTGCTTGACAAAGCACAGCACTTGAGCTTAGACGGTGAGTTTTCTCTGGGGTCGGTTCCCCATGCACAGGGCAACCACGACGAACTTTCACTAAACCCTAAACCCTAAACCCTAAACCCCTTCGCAATTCCTTGGGCCCCGGCGCCCCAAGCTTTTGCACGGCGAGGACGACGCAGGTCACCAGTGCCATGTCCACCCCCTCCAGGGGAGATGTAGGGTTCAGGGCTCAGGGCTTAGGGTTTCGGGTTTAGGGTTCAGGGTGTAGGGTTTAGGGTTCAGGGTTTGGGGTTAGGGGTTTAGGGTTTAGGGTTTCAGGGTTTAGGGTTTAGGGCTCAGGGTTTGGGGCTTAGGGCTGGCTTACGGGTTTTAGGGTGTTGGGGTGAGGGTCGAAGTGGTTTAGGGTTTAGGGTTTAGGGTTTAGGGGGGTGCCGCAGGGCTTGAAGGCGCAAGTTCTTGCTGATGTTGCTGCAGAGCACTTGTCGAAGAGCAACACGAGTTCAAACTCTTGCTATTGTTATTGTGGCTTAGGGTCACTGGGTGCCAAAACCCCGAACTGTATTTTGCCACCCTAAACCCTAAACCCTAAACCCTAAACCCTAAACCGCAGGTTGGGTGCGCGCCTGCTTCACCCAAAGTGCCGAAGCATTGGGCACTGCGCCGCTGGGAGCTACGGCAGCCTGGGCCATGTCTGGGAGGAGAAAACCTTGCACCCTGCGTCTGTCTGAGGGTTTAGGGTTTAGGGTTTAGGGTTTAGGGTTAGGGTTTAGTGTTTAGGGTTTAGGGTTTAGGGTTTAGGGTTTAGGGTTTAGGGTTTAGGGTAGTTATATACGGTTCGGGGCTTGGGCTTGGCCGTGCGATTAGCTTCTTGTACGCTTGGAGTACACAGCTTGGCGTCCGCTTGCCCACCTCATACTCAAATGAAATTCTGCTACCAGCTCTTCAGGGCCAAGCCTCTGCGTCTCTACCCCTCTCTCTCTCTCTCCCTCTCTCTCTCTCTCTCTCTCTCTCTCTCTCCGTCTCTATTACTCTTTTATTCTTCATTTCGTTCTGTACGCTGCTCTATCTCTCTCTCTCTCTCTTTTTCTCTTTGCCGCTCTCCCCATAGCTGCACCTTATATACTACATCCACATGCAGCTCAAGTCAGGACTGCCTGATGGTAGCTAGGCAAGCCAAGCCCCGCGCTGCCGTCTTATCGCTCGCGGCGATGACGTCGCCCTGGCGACACGGGGGGGATGGCAGGGTGAGCCGCTAGTCGGACGGTGCACCTTTAGGAGTGCAGGGCCTGCACCCCAACCCCCCCCCCCCCCCCCCCCAAAAATTCGAAAGAAATCCCTGGACGTGGCAAGTTGGGAATGTTAAAGATCGCTTCAGATTGCCCAGAATAATCTTCTATACCCGTGAACCCGAAACCCTACACACACACACACACACCCGATGCTCTTCAGACGTAAGGTGCCCTTCGGTGCGCTGCCTGCGCATCGGTCATGCGATCGATCTCCACGGACCCCACTTGCGTGAAGATTGTGATGGCTGGGTCTTGTGACCAAGCCTGACACTCCGTTGTCACACAATAATACTTGGAGGTTCATGGTACTTAACAACCCAATCATCTGTACTTTTAACCCAGTTATAACCATGTTGGGGCCCTCAACAGGCTTATAAGTGCAGTTATAATTAGGTTGTAAGTACCATGAACCTCCAAGTACGAATGATGAGGGAAATAAGAACAGTAATGACAATCATGATAATGTTGATACTACTGCTAACAGTGACTAACATCGGAAACAATTTGATGGTAAGGAAAAAAGTGAAGAGATTGATCATGACAATATACAACAAGAATAACGATTGCTTAGGGCTATAGGGTTCAGTGTTGAGGGTAAGGGTTTGGGGTCCACTTGGAGATTGTCATAAGGAATTATGGCCAAGAAAAAAAGCGTATTGGGGGGTACCTAAGGAGCTTATAAGTGGTTAAGAAGTATGGCGAGGGATGCTTAGGGTCGCTTCAGGGTTTGGGGATTCTCCAGGCAATGAGTCTCAAGCACAATATTGGTTTAGGGTTTAGGGTTTCGGGTTTCGGGATTAGGGTTGAATTCGGCTTCCTGCATCCGGCGTTGAATCTCTGAATTGCCTTACTACACCCGAAACCGCAAACCAACCTGAGATCCTAAACCCAAGAATTCGTGCTCGGTATTCGGACGGCGGTCTTTCAGGTTGTGGCGTGATTGGAGGCTTAGCTTACTGGCTCTTAACAGGATAAGTAGGAACTAGGCACCCTACATGTTGATACTACCTTGAAGGGTGTTCCAGGGGATTCTATAAGGCATGTAATGTACCTCATTCCATGTTTCCCTCGACAGAGCATCGTAGAATGTTCAGGGTGCGAGGCAATGTCATGTTCCCTATAACGTTGGATTCTGATAGGTGGGGTATAAAGGGCTTGCCCCTATTTTGAGAAACAATTCATAAGACCTTTTTCTGAGCCTCTGCAGTCCTACGCAGCTCAGACACCCTCTCCCTCCCCATCCTAAGCACTCATGCCGGAGCGAACCTTAGCCACAACCTGGAAGCCCCTTCCCTTCAACTGCCCTAGCACTGTGTGCAGTGAAACATGTATGTACCTATATATACATACACATACATACACGTGAATCAAAAGTTTCTGTGCATGCTCGGGTTCAGGGTTTAGGGTTCGTGTTTAGAGTTTTGCGGGATAATGAGTGGTTAGTCCTCTATATTGTGTAACCCATTCTAGGTTGGGGCTGCATGGTCATTTCATTAGCAAGGCTCCGACCAGGAATCTTATTCCTCTGGTTGAGAGAAGCAATCATTTACCCGCTTCAAAGGGGCCAGATGCAGACCATGATTGGCAATTTCTAGGGATCCTAAACCCTAAACCCTAAGCCCTAAACCCCTAAACCCCTACACCCCTATGTAAACCCCTAAACCCCTAAACCCCTAAACCCCTAAACCCTCAACCCTAAACCCTAAATGACAAGTCTGAGGACCGGGCATTGATTATACTTGACTCGCTGGCATAGTAGACAAAAAAGGTCCTGGGGCCAGCGATTTGTTGTGGGTTCAGGTCTTGTTCTCCTTGCGGGCGCAAGCAACAACAAAAGCAAACTGCGCAGCCCTAAGCCCCATACCCACATACCACTGCAAGCCGCACCTCCGAAACCCTGGACCCTGAAACAGCCAACCCCTGGGGCGGAAGGCATCAGGGTACTCATAGGTATTAGCAGAAGGTACATCCCCAGGTATTAGCAGAAGGTACATCCTCCACTACCCCACCTCACCCCCAAAGAATGGCGATACATCCCTCACTAACGTCCCTCAGATTGAGATGTTCCCCCTTATACTAGCAGTTCTTAGTGGGGATTATAGTAGGGGCTACTATAATCCCATTAAGGATCCCATTAAGGACTGCGAGTACCAGGGGGAACATCCCAACCCTCAGATCCAAACTGCTTTTGACCCAGAAGAAAAGCGTCTCAAGACGACTCCCCTACTCGGGCAGCGACCCCTGCCCAGCGCCAGGAATGATCCATGCCTTGGCACAGAGACAGGGAGTTGGAGAGGGTTTAGGGTTTAGGTTTTAGGGTTTATGACCCGAGTGAGCCAAAGCCTAAACTCAAAAAAACCTAAGCAAGCCCGCCTCGGAAGATACAAAAAACAAATGCCATTTTGCTTACCGGGGACGGGGGGGGGGTTGGGGGGTTTGGAGGAAACCTTAAAAAATGGAATTTAAGGTTCCGTTTGGGGGTTCGGGCTTTCAAGGCCAAAAAGGGTCCGCTGCATTCCCCGGGTCTCTGGCGCAAGGTTCCTCATGGGGTCCGTAGGCGTCCACTCGGTGGAGGGCCACTTGCCTGGCCAGCGTTGAGGGCTTAGGGTGTAGCTGCCGGGCTTTTGGTTTGAGCGTGGGGTGATGTAAGGTTTCGGGCTTATGGGCACGTAGGCTGCGTCAGTGAGTGTGGGGTTTCTTGTTTAGGGCTGTGGGGTCAAGGCTTCAGGGTTCAGGGCTTAGGGCCCTACATGGAGAGATGTGTGGTCATAGCTTAAACCCTGCACCCCAGTCCTCACTCGAAAACCTGGGCCCTTCTACCCCAAAGCCACAAGAAGCTTTACATATGGCTTGCTGCACTTTCAGGATTGGGAGCCAGTTGGTCTTGAGGGTTCAAGGCTGCGTGTTCGTGGACAGAAGCCCTACACTCAAGCACTCAAGCACTTAGGATGATCGGGGCACTTAGCAAGTGTGGTTATAAGTATACTTGGCGTAAGAAGGGCCTCCCCCAAAAGCACCCTTGAGATGAAACTAAGCTAAGCCCCTATCGAAACTAAGTGCTGGCGTACAAAACCCTGTATAATCATACTATAATATATCCCCCAAAACCCTGTTCTAATTAGTAAGGCCCCCATATTACAGAACTTGAAGCTCAAGGCACGTGGCACGTGCCTTCGCGCCCTTGGCTGCCCGTCCCTGATGGGCCTTGGTATATCTTTGGGGGCCAACAAGATTCGTGTCCTTTGAAATTTGCAGAGGCAACGCTGAAACTTAAACCCTCAACCCTATACCCTAGCCTTGAAACCCTAAACCCCTAAGGTTAGGGTTTAGGGTTGAGGGTTTAGGGGTTTTCTGCGTAGGCCTGAGGATTTAGGGCTGGAGGCTCAGCTGGGAAGACGGATGCAATAAGGTCGAAAATGCCTGAATTCTACAAGGACGGAACATACTCTACACCAACTCTCTTCCGAATCTTCACGCTCCAGCCTTCGAAATATCACACGCTCTGCACACACAACCCCTCCGTCCCGCTACTTTTTTGAAAATACTCGAACCATAAGGCTCTAAGGACTCTTTTTTCGGACTTTTGGGCCCAAAAGGCCTTCTTATTGTTGGGGCCAATCTGAGCCCGAAGGGAAAATCTTGCAATAGTCCTGCACAACTCCGGCACTATTCCCCAAAGCAGATCGGCGAGATCTCCACCCCGCCAAAATCCCAAAGGCCCCAGCTACACCAAGACATGCCCCAAACAAATCTCTAAATGCCCAACAAGCACGTACCCCGATGACAGAAACTATAAAAAAGAGGTAGGGCCCATGCAACCCACGACCCCCAAAAGACATGAGGATCGGGGCACTTAGCTCGCAGGGTTTTCAGTACCGTCATCGGGGTTGTAAGTATTCCAAGTTTAGTTACCTTGCTTGTAGCCCCACGACGAACCCAAAAAGGCGTCTTTTTCCTCGATGCCGACGGATTGACTCGGGCAGTCACCCCTTCTCGGCAGTAGAAGGGACTCTCCAGGCAGAGAGAATCAGATAGGGTTTCGGGTTTATGGTTTAGAGTTCAGGCATTTGGGGCTTGAAAACGTAGGTTTGGGGTTTCGTGGCGTCAGTGCCGTTAGTGGGTTGAGTGGCGGGGTTTGGGTGTCTAGGGCTAAGGGCTTCGGACTTGTAGGTTGGAAGATCAGGAAGACGAAGGGCTTAGCAGCCCAAAACCCTCAACCATGTCAACCCCAAACCCGCAAGCCTAAAAGGTTAAACTGTGGGATTCTAGCCCTAAGCCCTAAACCCTAAACCCTACACCCTAAAACAGGCCCTCTTTAAACCCGGTAGGAAGGTGTTAAACCCAGTAGGAAGGCTTTTAGACAGGAAATCTCCCAGCATGGGCCCTCCAAACCCTAAACCCTTGACCACCTTAGGGTTTAGGGTTTAGGGTTTAGGGTTTAGGATTAAGGGTTTAGGGTTAAGGGTTTAGGGTTCATGGCTCGGTTCAGAGGCCTCAGAGGTTGGGGCTTTGGGTGTTTTGAGAGTCTGTGTCTACCCGAACCCAGAGTCTCTAAACCTCAAACCTTAAGGTTTACAGAAAGGACTCGCAACAAAATGAACAACGTCCAAACCACTGCATCACATTGAAAAACTCCGCCTCACAACAGTCCCCTCTCAAGGTTTAAGCCTTAGGGTTTAGGGTTCAGGTGGTTTGGGGTTTAGGGTTTAAGGTTTATGGGGTTTAATATGCCCTGAACTCCAAACAACACCGAAGGAAACCGGGGCTGTGCGAGGTCGCTGACCGAAACAGCTGAACGCTGAACCCTAAAACGCCCAGGCAGCACCCTATACGGCCCCTTTAAAGGCAAGAAGCCCCCACACACCCACCCACCCACCCACCTACCCCACCGCCAAGCCCTGAAGTTTTATAGTTTACTGGGGGCTTAGTGTTTAACTAGGGTTTAGGGCTAGGGTTTCGGGTTTCGGGTTTAGGGTTTGAGGTTTAGGGTTTAGGGTTTCGGGTACAGGGATACGGCACCCAAATCTGCCATATGGCTATGTACATGGGCCGCTCGGTTTCGGCGTGGCCCAGATGCAAGAGTCTCCCAAGGAATTCTCAGGAGATCTGGCGCGGCTGCACGTTTAACTGCCTTTTAGGGGATCCGAAGTACGAGTGCCCTTAAGTTTGGGCCCCTTGCAACAGAGCCCTGATAACTTATATACACTATACGGTGTGCCCATACTTCGGATCCCTATAAGCAAGCGCAATTGACCGCACTAACGGCCCATATGGTTCATGTCTTTGCTCTCACAACGATGGAGCTGCCCTCCTCGGACAGTGACAGGATGCTCCTTGTCAGATCGGAGTGCCAAGCGCGGCAGAAAGCTTCGTGGGGTCTTGTCTGCATGTAGGGCTCAGGGAGCTACCAAAAGGGGCTTCCGAAAATAGGGGGGGGGGGGGGGGGGGGGGGGGGGGGGGGGGGAGGGTTTCCTACACACAAGGCATTTTGGGGTACAATACTATATGGCGGCTGCCCCGATGTTGGGACAGACCCACAAAAGGTGGGTGGGGGGGGGGGGGGGGGGGGGCAGCTTACTTCAGCTTCGAGAGCTAAGCCATGGACTCGAATCAAGCCCCCACATGGAGGTTCATACAAGCCGATGATAACCATATAACCATACAGGGTGGGGCCCCCTAGTTATAAGTAGAGTTATAAGGGCCCTAAATTGGGTTATAAGGACCCTAAGTTAGGTTATAAGTCCCTTAACTACAGTTAGTATAGTAAGGGGGCCCCACCCTGTATTGGGGTTCGGTTCAAGGGCTTCTGAGTGGGTCACTTGTGTTTAACTCCTCGACTTCCAAGTCTTTCGAAAAAACTCAGCCTCTCTAGCCTTCTGCCCCGAAGCTAGCGCATGATGACGAGGATTCGAGGCTTAAGAGCTATAAGGCTTGAAGGGGGGTTTTCGTTCAGGTCCGCCGACCGAAAAAAGAAAACCCCAACCACAAAATCCTGAAACCCTAAACCCTAAACCCGAAACCCTAAACCCTAAAGTCTAGGGGTGTGCGACTCCTTTTGCGGTCATTTGTGGGTAGGAGAACTCGACGGAGCCACGGGAAGAGCGAGCTAAGCCCCTAAAACCGAAAACCCGGAAGGATTCTTGGACCTTAGGACATCCCAACTCTGCTCCACACCCTGAACCCTAAAAGCCCAGACCCTAGAGGCCCTAGAGCCTAGAGCCCAAGTCCTAAGCCCTAAGGCCTAAGCCCTAAGCCCTAAGCCCTAAGCCCCAACCCAAAACCCTAAACCCTAAACCCTAACAGCCAGGCCACGGGAATTTCTCCAGCCAGGCCTTGCCAAGCTTCACGCCATGTTTCTTCCTGGGAGAACACTGCCGGGGACTACTTGGAGGTTCATGGGACTTACAAACCAATTATAACTGCACTTATAACCCTACTTATAATGCCCCTAAAAGGCCTTATAGGGGTTGTCCCAATAATAAGTAGGGTTCGAAGTACAGTTATAAGTGGTTATTAAGTCCCATGAACCTTCAAGTATTGTGTGCGGGCTCAGGTCTCAGGGTAGCTACGTGGTCCCTTTATATGGTCCCTTACCTCCGTTCAAGGGTTCTGAAGTATGGGCCCTTGGGGTTTCTAGGGTATAAGGGGTCCCCATTTCAGGGCCCATATTGAGGGACCATGTGACTACCTTTAGAAAAGTTAGCATCCCAGCTTGCCAAGTTTAAACCCTGGGCCCTAAACCCTTCACACCCTCCCCCCCCCCCCATCCCCCACGCCTGCCCAAGCACCACAGCATGCAAGTTGCCCGAGGTCGTTCCCAGAAACCCGAGACTAAAACATCAGGAGCCAAAGTTTACGGATGGTTTTTAGTTCTTAGCTGACTTCGGGAACTAGGTACCTGAAACCCGCCTACATAACGTGTCATGTCACGGCAGGGGACTTAGCATGGACTTAGCAAGGGGCCATAAGTAAGACAACTATATTCATAATTGCTGATAAGTCCAACTAAGCTACTTCAAACCCTGCTTACTAAGTAAACCCTAAACCCTAAACCCTAAAGCCTAAACCCTAAACCTCCAAGTACATGCCCAATCCCTACTGAGAACCGCCAAGTTTAAGGGGCCAAAGGCCCACACCCTAGAATGACTCTGCCCCAAGTCAAGACCTGCAACCCTCAACCCTAAACCCTAAACCCTAAACCCGAACCCTAACCCCTAAACCCTAAACCCTAAACCCTATAAGCCCTAAGCCCTAAGCCCTAAGCCCTAAACCCCAAACCCCAAACCCGACCCAAGGGGCTGCAAAGGCTTCAACACCTTCTTGCATCCTGCATCCTGAGCTGCACCAGATGGGGCAATGTAGGGGCTCAGAGTTAATGGGAGCGCAAGGGTTCCTAGGGGGTTTTAGGGGGGGGAGGGGGGGTTATAGGGGTTCATGGGAGTTTGAAAGTGTCTATAAGTCTCCAACTGTGCTTTAGAGCCTTTGAAATTATTTATGAATAGGTCCCCTTAAAAGGGAAAGAAGGGAAATGTAAAATTATCCTGAAGCACTACCCAGATAAGGGTTTGCAAGGGTTTATGACAATGACACGGCCATGTCAGCCCCACTCGCTTGCCACCCCAGAAGGCCACCCCCCACCATAGGGTTAGGGTTTAGGGTTTAGGGTTTAGGGGTAAACAACAAGTTTTATTGCATAACTGAGCATATCAGTAGTAGTGAGATGATGATGATGATGATGATGATGATGATGATGATGTGTCAATACCCGGGCTTCTTGTTCCTCAATTCCCAAAAGATACGGTCTACACAACGACTGGTTACCAAACAAAACCCAGCCCCTAGTGCGCTAAACCATTCCGTGTCTCGAGAACGCCGCGAAGCCAAATGCATAAGCCCCTAGCCCAGTACAATGCAAACGTTAGCAAACCCTTCAATGCTGACCCTAAACCCTGAACCACAAGCCCGCCTAAACCCGCTTAAAACCTAACCCCAGGGTTCGCCCTAGGCCCAATTAGACTGGAAGCCCTTCAAAGCCTAACCCCCCGCCTGGTTGAGCTCGTTGACGCTCACGGAGCCACCTGGGCGCCCTCGGGCAAGAGCTGCAATAGCTTCGGCCACCTAGGCTTTAGGGTTTAGGGTTTAGGGGTTTAGGGTTTAGGGTTTAGGGTTTAGGGTTTAGGGTTTAGGGTTCAGGCGGAGACGGGGGCCTGGGGCTTCATGCTTCATGTAGGGGCCTCAAAAAAAGAAGAGGAGTTTTTGCGGGGATACTCAATATATACAGGGTGGGGCCCCCTAGTTATAAGTAGAGTTATAAGGGCCCTAAATTGGGTTATAAGGACCTAAGTTAGGTTATAATCTCTTAAACTACAGTTAGTATAGTAAGGGGGCCCCACCCTGTAAGCATACAGGGCCCATAAGGGAATCCTACTAAAAAACTATACTGCCACCGACCATCTTACAGGGTTTGTAGGCATACTATTGAGGTTTATATTACCCCCCCCCCCCCTACTCAATACATAATGATACAGGGACCATGAGGAGTCCAATTCAAAATTCTTCTACGACCCCCCATGATTACAGGGTTTGTAGGCTTGGTCATAACTTAGGGCTGAGGCAAGCAGAGGCTGGTTTACCTGCAATGGCTCGCCTCTCCACCACCCTCTGAACCCCTGAAGCTTGCGCGCCACACTAAACCTAGACTCTAGTTCGCAATGCCCCGAAGCCCCAAGGACAAACTCTGGAACCAAAGCACCAAGATCCGAGAGGCCCAAGCATATCTTCCCAAAGAAACTCTCCTCCAACAGCCCACTTTAAGGATCTTCCAGGTTTAGGGTTTAGGGTTTAGGGTTTAGGGTTTAGGGTTTAGGGTTTAGGGTTTAGGGTTTAGGGCTTCGCGTTTAGGCGTGGGGAAGCCACCTCGGCGTCCGCGGGCGCATTCGCCGCCTTGGCGCGGGCTTTGCCACGCTGGGACTCGGCCTTCGTAGACGCCTCACTCACGTAGCTGAAGGGGGTTTAGGGTTTGGGGTTTAGGGTTTAGGGTTTGTGGTTTAGGGTTTGGAAGGTCTGTAGGTTTGAGGGTTTTACGGCTCGGGGCTTTGACAAGGGTGTTTTGGTTTAGGGTTCCAGGGTTTCAGGGTTTCTTGGTAGACCAGCAACCATATTATGATAAGGGCGCCCTTTTTGGGGTTGGCTATAAGGGAACCCAGAACCAAAAAAAAGGGTAAAGGGTACCACGGGGCTACCAAGGTTTGGGTCTTTCGGGCTTTTCGGGTTTAGGGTTTGGGGTGTAGGGCTTACAGTGCCTTGGGCTGGCCGTCGCTGTCGGCTTGCGTCGCGGGGGCCGCCCCTTTGTGGACGAGGGTGCTGAGGTTCGGAAAGAGTTGCCAGGGTTTAAAGGTCAGGGCTTAGGGTTCAGGGTTTAGGGCCCAACCCTAGCCCCTCTAACCCCAAACCTCAAATGAGAACAAAGGACTACGCGTCCGCTCAAGGGTCTGAGTAGGACAAGGGCTAGTTGTGGGTAGTTCTGGAGGCTTTGGTTTACATGGGATAGTTCTATTCTTACTCATAACCCGCTTGCAAGTGCTCTTATAGCCCACTTGCAAGTCCTTAAAGTACCCTACTACGGTTCCCATTGGGGTATAAGCACACTTCTAGTTGGGTTTTAGCTTCTTAATATGTACTACGACCCTTCAAGTAGTTCTCCCATTAGGGTCCCTTTTTGGGTCCCCTAGAAAAGTACGGCACCCTTAAAATGGGATCCTCCCAAAGGGACCCAAACCCTAAACCGTAAACCCGTACTAAAGTTATAACAGTTATAACCTTCTTGAAATCACTAGAACACGACTGAGGGCTCCCCCAATGGCCCTTCAAGTGACGAGGAGGAGGATGCGTCTAAACCCTAAACCCTAAACCCTTTGCCCTCAACCTTAGGGATATCTAGCAGCGACCATTAATCCGGCCCTAGCATACCTTATGAAAGTCCGTATAGACCGAAGGAGTCCCAGTAGCCCCAATGTGCCCCTAAGGTCACAGACAAGGGTCCATCCCTTGAAAACAACCCTAAACCCTAAACCCTAAACCCTAAACCCTAAACCCTAAACCCTAAACCCTAAACCCTAAACCCTAAACCCCTAAAGATTCGGCCTCCTCCCATGGAAGCGACCAGAGCTGCCTGGAGTGCCACGTCCTCGGCCAGGTCCACCGCCAGACCTGGCTCCTCTTGCTTGGGGGACTTTCTGGGAGCTATTAGGGTCGGAGGTAGGGTTTAGGGTTTAGGGTTTAGGGTTTAGGGTTTAGGGTTTAGGGTTTGGGGTTTAGGGTTTAGGGTCTAGGGTCTAGGGTCTAGGAACTAGGGTCAGTTAGGGATTAGGATTTACCTCGACCCACCGAAAGCGCCCATAGGGAATGCCCTAGAACCCCCAAAGTGGACATGCGAGCCATGACTCTGCGTCTAGGCAAGGGCATAGGGAAGTTCGGGGCTACTCGACCCCCAACCCGCAGCAAAAAGCATACTGAAGCAGTCCACCTGGTTACCCCACCAATCGTAAACCCTCATCTCCAAAACTCAGAGTGAAAAAATAAAAATAAAAAATATATATCAAGTCGAAGACGGAAATGACCACTTTCTTAGGGCAGCTACATGGGGCCCTGAGTACGGGCCCTTCATTGTCCAGGCCTTGTATACCCTTTCGTACCCTATGCAAACCAAGGGCACACACCTCAGAGCCCTTCACAGAATGTAAGGGACCACACCAAGGGACCATGCAATTACCTGTAGATACATGTCTTGGAGCAGCAGGGGCACCCCCTCCCGCAACGAACCACCCTGCAGATGAATTCATGAACTTTGGCAAGAAAGCCCTGAACTATACCCTCAGGCTCCAAGGACAAGGATTTCAAATTCTTGGGGGCCCAAAGGCCTTACATGTTGTGAGCAGTTGTTTTTCAAGGTTTAGGGTTTAGGGTTTGGGGGTTTAGGGTTTAGGGTTTCGGGATTAGGCTTATTTAAGGGCTAGATTTCAGCCGAAGGGATGGGTGCTTGGGGCCAGGCGCCTGGCCCTGCTGCTCAGCCAAAGAGAGGGCGATGGCTCTTGCAATCTGCTCCTCTCCGAAGGGTTTAGGGTTTTGGGTTTAGGGTTTTAGGGTTTAGGGCTTAGGGTTTAGGGTTTAGGAAGGTGCAGCTCGTAGTTTAGGGGCCCTAGGAATTTTCAATAGGTTGTTGGTATGTTTTGGGGGGTTATGATCGTATGGTTTCTTCTGGTTTATGCAGTTTATAGTACAATTTCTTGGGAGCATTGGGACCATAAGGGAATACGAATAGGGACTCTTCCTACGCCTAAACTAGCCTTGTTGTAAAGTCTCAGACCCAGTCACATTTTGAGTTCCCTGAGCCCGGCGTGGGATATCCGGAGCTCCCATAGTTGTTCTGCCTCACGGTCTTTGGACTGCGGGCACCCCCTAAACCCTGAACCCTAAACCCTAAACCCTAAACCCTGAACCCTAAACCCTAAACCCCAAACCCCCGGTCCCCGACAATGATATAGAAGGCACTTCTAAGCCGTAAGCGCGGTTGCGTAACAGGATGTGGGTTGGCAGCTGGAAGGATGCACGTCCGCATGTAGGGTTTAGGGTTTAGGGTTTAGGGTTTAGGGTTTAGGGTTTAGGGTTTAGGGTTTAGGGTTTAGGGTTTAGGGTTTAGGGTTTAGGGTTTAGGGTTTAGGGGTAGGCCGCTTCATCTTGGGGTGTCTGGGTCTTGCCAAAAAAAACCCTACTTGGAGGTTCAGGGTACTTATAACCCAACTATAACTGTACTTCTAACCCATTTCAAACCAGAAAGGGCTTGCAAGTAGGTTTAGGTAGAGTTACAGTTGGGCTATTACGTACCATGATCCTCCAAGTACCACGTTAGTGTGTCTGGGTTTCGCTTGGGTGTCCCAAGCAAAGGCCCGTTTAGGTAAAGTCCCTGGCACTACAGCTCCGGCAAGGCACTCAAGAGAGCGGCACTTCCATTTTCCCAAAATTTGAATGGGTGGGCGAGGAGCAGCTGGGGTTTAGGGTTTCGGGTTTAGGGTTTGGGGTTTGGGGTTTGGAGTTTGGGGTTTGGGGTTAGGGTTTACGGTGGGGGGGGGGGGGGGGGGGCATACTGTGAAGGAGGGTTTGGGGGCGTACGCTTGATGTGTGTTCCCAACTCATGTTTATACATCGCCTAAGGCCCCTCGCACCCCGCAAGTCTTCCGGCGACTGGTCCAACAGGATCCACTTAACCGTTCTGAAAGGCAAGCAGAAGTAACATTGTTTTAGTGTGTAGCGTAGGGTTTAGGTTTGAGAGTTTAGGGTTTGGGGCTAAGTTACGAGTGAAGGGAGTGGTACACATTTGCTTCCTACTTCCTACATCGTAGCACTATATGTAGTGCATACTTGAGCCTTAACGGGGATCTACGGGTACACTGACCCTGAAAAATTCCCACCCCACCTCCCCCCCGGGCACCTCCTCTGATGACGCCGTTGCGTTGAGCTCGGAGCATCTGCGGATTTCCTCCTTGCAGGAGTACAATAAGGTTTAGGGTGGTAGGGTACTTGAAGGATCAGGGGATTTAGTAAGTGGCGTTCATGATAAAGCTCTGTCCGTAAGCCCCCCTACTTCTGAGGGCGGTGCGGAACACGTACGGTAACTATACTTAGAATCACTTCTGTCCCCAATTCAGGTACATACAATCCTACTTACGAAGTGCCCCGAACTTCCAAATCTTGAGGTTTGGGGTTTATAGGGTAAACCTAGGTGGCGGGTGAAGGGGCTTAGGGTTTAGGGTTTAGGGTTTAGGGTTTAGGGTTTAGGGTGTGGGGTTTAGGGCCACAAGTTCCAAAGTCGACCCCATGGATGGGCGACCGTGCGAGGTTTTGGCCATGTCCGGATCCAGCACCACTGCGGCATCCAACACGTCAATGGACCCCGTAGTTCTTAGGGTAGTTACATGGTCCCTTTAAGATTTGGGCCCTTTAAAAAAACAATGGACCCCGTAGTTCTTAGGGTAGTTGCATGGTCCCTTTAAGATTTGGGCCTAAATAAAGGGGAAGGGACCAGACGAAGGGCCCCCTGGTGCCAACCTTCGAACTTAGAATCTAAGTGGCGGCTTACAAACATATGGGGCCCAAGTTAACTTAGGCAGGGGTCCTCATCCCAGTCCACGGTGGAGGCAAACCTGGAGTGTTGGTTTTGCGGTAGTTAGGGATTTAGGTTTAGGGCGAAAAGGACTTAGGGTTTAAGGGTCAGGGGCTTAGGGGCTTAGGGCTTTCGGTTGAGGGATACCAGGGTCTAGGGTTTAATTAGGGCTTTAGAGGTTTAGGGTTTTGAAGGGAGTTGGAGTCTTAGAGTTGGGGTTAACTCGTCGCAGCTTGCTTTTTTCAACATGGGAATGCCAGTCGAGTCGAGTCGCATGCAAGGGCCCTTCAACCGAACCTCGAGCATTGAAACCTTGAAGACCCTCTACCCCTAAACCCTAAACCCTAGACCCTGAACCCTAAACCCAAAACCCAAAACCCTAAACCCTGAACCCTAAACCTCTAAACCCTAAACCCTAACCCTAAACCCTAAACCCTAAACCCTAAACCCTAAACCCTAAACCCTAAACCCTAAACCTCTCTATCATATGAAGTTTTGCAGCTGTGGCTGCGTGGTGCATGGATCGATGATTCCAAAGCTTCCAGTTTCGAAACCCCCAAGCCCACAATCCAAAACCCCAAGCCGGGCCCTTACATTTTTTGGGGTTTAGGGTTTAGGGTTCAGGGTTTAGGGTCAGGATTTGGGGTGAACACCCCACCCCCCCCCTCCCAACCTTCCCCCCCTTCCTTCCAACTGGATCTGCTGGCCCATGTGTTTCAAGCTAGGCTCGGTCCAACATTTCGCCCTGCAGCAGCTGCATAGCCACCGCCGTTCTTCCTTCCGTCGACGGTGGCCTGACATAAAGTAGGGATGTGAGTAGAGTTTGGGGTTTAGGGTATCCCCACAAGGACACCCAACGCATACCCCCACCGATATTTGCAAGGAACCCTATGTACTCTCACCGACAACAGTATGTATAGCATGCTTCCTTTCAGAACTCCGTAGGTCCTTGGTGTTTGAAGGTTTCGGATATATGATTGAGGTTCGGAGTACAGGCCTCCAGGCCTCAAGGCTTTAAGGATGTAGAGCTGTGGGCTAGCGTTTCAGGTTTAGGGTTTAAGGGGTCTCAGAACTGGTCGACACATTGAACACCAAAAAGGCTGAACGCGTTTGCGGGCCGGGCCTCATCCACACAGAATCACACGGCACTATCCATCTCTGAGTTTAAGCATGAAACCGGGCTTGGGGCGTTTACCATTGGAGCCCTAAACCCTAAACCCTAAACCCTAAACCCCAAACCCCAAACCCGAAACCCGAAACCCTAAACCCTAAACCCTAAACCCTAAACCCTAAACCCTAAACCCTAAACCCTAAACCCTAAACCCTAACTCACCTGCAACATATTTCGAGCCAGGGGTCCACGAAGCCCACTGTGCCCTGCTCCTTGGCTGCTGTGGAGGGATGGGCCCGGAACCCTTTTAAATGGGTTTAGGGTTTAGGGCTTAGGGTTTAGGGTTTAGGGTTTGTTTAGGGTTTAGGGTTTAGGGTTTAGGGGCGAAATGTTTTGGGCGCATCGGCTCACGAAATGCGAGACTGCCGTTGTTTTTTGGACTGCTGGGCTCACTATATGTGAAGGGAACCCTGGCGAATCTCCCGGCATGGGTTGCCAAGAAAACCCAGCCCTTGCCAAGAATCGACAAGTGAACGTTAAACTCAAAAACCCGAAACGAACCCAACACTAAACCACAAACCCTATACATGTCCAAACCTTTACCCTATAGTGTAAGCCTTATAAACCCTATAAACCCTATGCGATAAAACGCCATAATCCCTTCTCCCTCCCCCCCAACGTAATTAGACCCTAAACCCTAAACCCTAAGCCCTATAATTTCCCCTCCCCTCCCCCCCCCAAAAAAAAAAAGAAACTAAAACCAAGGTTCGGAGCTGGCCACCAGGGCCATGCAAAGCGCGAGCTTGCCGGGCTCCAGTTGCAGGTCCTCACCGAGAGTGGCTTCAGGGTTTAGGGTTTAGGGTTAGGGTTTAGGGTTTAGGGTTTAGGGTTTAGGGTTTAGGGTTTAGGGTTTAGGGTTTAGGGTTTAGGGTTTAGGGTTTAGGGTTTAGGGTTTAGGGTTTAGGGTTGAGGGTTGAGGGTTTAGGGTTTAGGGTTTAGGGTCCTGAGTCCCAAAACCTGAACCCTAAACTGCCCTAAACCCCTAAAAAACAGCCTGACATAGGGGTTTAAGGCTTTAGGGCTCCTCGGGTTCAGGGACTAGGGTGTATAGGCCTTTTGGAGCTTTTGGGGCTTGCAGGGTTTAGGGTTAATAGGGTTTAGGAAGTACAGGGTCCACACTGAAAGGATGTAGGGCAGTTTAAGGATTGAGTTAATGTTGAGGTTAACTTCAGGAACAAAATGTTGATACAGTGTATCTTCGGACAGACCTTACAAATCTACTTGTGGTGTCCTATAGTACTGTGGTAGAAGCCCTATAAACCCTAAACCCTAAACCTCTAACCTCTCTAAGGTTTAAGGTTTAGTTCTTGACGCCGAAATCCAGAAGAGCGCGATAAGTGGACCCTTTGGGTTTGCAGCAGCAGTTCTCCGAATTGTGGTTCCGTTTGGGGTTCCTATCGCGGCCCTCTAGTACAGAAGGACCATCTTGTAAGAATATACCCCATCCCACGCCCCCGCAACCCCCCGCACCCCTCGCACACCTAGCACGGAAGAGCTTAATCCTAAACTTTAAACCCTCAATCGCGTTGTTGCCTGTGCTTGGGGGTTGGTCAGCCCATATCCAGAGGGCGATACATGCTAAACCCATCCGGAAAGTTTAGGGTTTAGGGTTTAGGGTTGAGGGTTTAGGGTTTAGGGCTTAGGGTTTAGGGTTGAACTGCACGAAGAAGCGACTGCTGGGGTTCGGGCCACTTCGAACAGCTGCCATGGGGCCAGATCTTTGGACCTGGATGTGGTATTTCCGGATGTTGTTTTTGTTGGGATGGCTTAGGGCTCGGGTTTAGGATTTAGGGGTTGCTGGCTCTGTGTTTTTTATTGTGGGGGTGGGAGGGGAGGGGGCTTTAGGTCTCTACATCGGGTTTTTGCAGGGTGTTCAGCTTTCTTTTTCCTTTGGGCTTTTGCCCACCCTCGGTGCAGGCTTGTCAGATCCCGCCGAGTATCCCTGGAGTATCCAGCCCCAGAGAAGCCCGCAAGAGCCCCACCGAGTCTCCCTAGAGAGCCCACCCTCAAAGAATTCCGCGGAGAGTCCCCTAAACCCTAAACCCTAAACCCTAAACCCTAAACCCTAAACCCTGAACCCTGAACCCTAAACCCTGAACCCTAAAAGGGCAGGGATGCTCGATTTGGATGCAAGTATTCTTAAGCTCGAAGGACATTCGTCTTCCTTACCCTACTTGGCATTGAGAGGTTTCAAAAGGACCAAACAAAGCCCATTATACAACAACAAACCATGTGTCAGACAGAGGGCAGGTTTGGGGATTCTTGGCGGAGGGGCAAAAGCACCAACACTTTGGGGCTTGGGTGTGGAAGGCGGGCAAATTCCGCAAGTGAAATGCACCTGCATGCAGGAGAAGGTAGAAGACTCAAAAACCTCATTCCTGTAAGTGCTGAGCCCCAAAGTCTACCCCTAGACACCCGCCTAAGTCCTTACCCTAAATCCTAAACCCTAATCCTAAACCCTAAACTCTAAACCCTAAACCCTAAACCCTAAACCCTAGACCCTAAACCCTAAACCCTAAACCCTAAACCCTAACCCTAAACCCTAAACCTTAAACCCTACACTCCCCCAGGCCTGGGCCCAAAAACCCAAGACCCTAAGCCAGGCTTCCACCGCACGTACCGGGGTCTGCGTCTCGAGTTCGGGCAGTTGCGGCTGGCGTGGCCGCTCTGCGCACACAGCTGGCACGGGAGCCTCAAGGAAGGCTGAGTTGGAGGTTGCAGGGCCTCTACCTCAAGAGACTAAAGGAGGGACCCTTATAAGGGACCTTAGGGGTTGTTTAGGGGTTCTTTAGGGGCTCCGTAGGTATATAAGGACGGCAGGAGGTATACATAGGGGTTATTTCGGGGAAGAAGATTAAGGGTCCCTTCTAGGGGTCCCTTCTTATACTATACCCCTTAACTATACACCCTAAGGGTCCATGTACCTAAACAGGGATACAGCACCTCCTCAATACTGAGGTACATGGACCCTTAGGGCTAGGGTTTAGGGTCTATAGAAGGACTTTCCTGATTCCGCTGAAAATTTCTGAGCGACTACTGAGACTAAATGCGTAAATCCAAGACTCTTGCCCAAGCCCATCACCTAAACCCTAAACCCTAAACCCTACACCCTAAACCCTAAACAAAGCCTAACCAGGCCTGGCATCCTTCATCGTCGAAAACCCCACAGGCAACCGAGTATCTTTTGCTCCAAGGCTGGTGGAACTCTCTTGGCGGTAAGCCTGAGATGCAGATGGCGTGGGGGTTTAGGGTTTAGGGTTTCGTCTTTAGGGTTTAGGGCTTAGGATCTATAGAGCTTAGGGCCAAGAGTTCTGGATCCAAGGGTTCCGAGTTCCCAGGCCTCTAAGGAATTCTCGCCATTCGGGACGTAGTTCCACCGACGACCCCCATTGCAGGCTTTGAAGTCGCCCTATGCATTGGCGCAGCTCCTTGTGCGTACCGTGCCAGGGAATCTGCCTGACCCACTGAGCATGGGCATCATGACCATCATGACCAGCAGGCTGCGGAACCCCAAACCCTAAACCTTCAAACCTGCTGCTCACTTCTGCTTTCCGTTGACTCAAGAAGACTCATGGTCCGAGCAAAGGTTCAGGGTTTTCGGGTTTACTTTTGCTTCTTTCGTTGGTTCTATGTTCTAGTTATTCGTACTTTTTTGGAGGGGCGGTTGAAGACTTTAGGGGTTGCTGGTATGTAGAGATCTAGGGTTTACGGTTTTAGGGTGCTAGGCCTTTCTGGCTTTCGCACTCAGGGCAAGATGTCCACGATGGTATCGGTAGGATATATCCCTAAACCCTAAACCCTAAACCCTAAACCCTAAACATCTTTCGGTCGGCTGCAGGAGTTCCGGAAGTTGCTGGTCTTGTGTGTGTAGAAGTTTCGAAATCCCTTTTGTGTGTCACTCGTTCTTCCTGACCCAGGAATACAAGAAGGGAACGCTTGGCTTGGAAGGAACCGAAGTGAAGTTGCACAAGAACGAGCTCAACCCCAAGCCCACCATACCCTAAACCCTAAACCCTTATAAACCTTTAAACCCGTAAACCCTGAAACCCTGAAAGCCTTCAACCTTTAAACCCTTAAACCCTTAAACCCTCAAACCCTCAAACCCTCAAACCCTTAAACCCTTAAACCCTTAAACCCTTAAACCCTTAAAACCTTAACCCCTTAAACCCTTCAACCCTTAAACCCTTACACCCTTAAACCCTTAAACCCTAAGCAAACGGAAGAAGGGTGCCGCAAGGGATTCTGGGTCGCGTAGAGTTGAGGGAATGACGATCCCATACACTCCAATTCTAAAGAAGTCGACCTCCCGACAACTGGGCCGGCCCCCGAATCATGACTTTAGGGTTTAGGGTTTAGGGTTTAGGGTTTAGGGTTTATAAACCCTAAACCGTAAACCCTCTAACCTTTGAACCTCTTAGACTCAGGATGCAGGATTGTTGGCTTCGTGTCCCCGGCCGGGGAGCAGTCCCGTCGCGCCCCTCGCCCACATTGCTTTGCCAACAACCTGCAGACAGCTTCCGCCACCCAAAACCCTAAAACGCTTTTTCATTTAACTTTGAAACCTTACAACCCTAAAGCCCCAAACCCTGAAACCCAGATGCCTTACAAACCCTAAACCCAAAGTCCCAAAACCTTAAAAGCCTTATTCCTAAACCTTCATCCTGACTCTCTTTAGGGTTGAAGTCAGTGTTTAGGGTTTAGGGCTTAGACCCGAAAATACGCTTGAGCAAAAGGAGGTGGCAACAGTAGCACTGGCTCAGGAATTGAGCTCCCATCGCGTACTTGGTGGCTTGGGAAGATGTTTGTTTCCGGAAGGCGGTGGAGTTGCGGACCCCACGGAACCGCCCTCCCCATGACCCCACAAGCACCAATATCCGTCCAGCCCACAGTCAGCGACGTGTGTCAGTGGGTCGCAAAGAGCTCTCCAAAGAGAAATGGCATTCCCGACATAGCCTCGGTTACCTTGAAGAATCAAATCCCCTGATCCCTAAGCGCTAAAACCCAAAGGCCCCCCCCCAAAAAAAAGAGAGAGAGAGAGAGACATATATATATATATAGATATATATATATATACATATCATATGTATATATATATATATATATATATTTATATTTTGAGAAATCCTAGACCTTCTATGCAACCAAGAATGGAAAGTTTGAGTGTCCCCATATGAAAGGATGCAACTCGGCTCCCTGCCGCTACCTGAAGTGGTTGAGGGTTTAGGGTTGGGGTTTAGGGTTTAGGGTTTAGGGTTTAGTTTTTAGGGTGTAGGGTTTAGGGTTTGGGGTTTGGGGTTTAGGGTTTTGGTTTAGGGTTTAGGGCCTAGGGCTTAGGGTTTAGGGTGCCGCTCCCCCGCAGCCTGGAGGAGAAGCGGCTTGCCGCCGCCTCGGTGACTCTTATCTGGGGTTTTGAGGGTTGAGGGTTGAGGGTTGAGGGTTTAGGGCTAGGGTTTAGGTGTTCCTAAGGTTTCGGGGGCAAATGGGTCCACTGTTTGGGCCACCGAATATGCCATGTAATGTAAGTGGAGTTTGCTGTTCCGAGCTCAGTCAGAAAGGGGAAGGGGGCTTTGGTACATTGGCACAGTACGTAGAAAAAACTGGTGTCTGCATTTCGGCATCTGTTGCGCAGAGGGTCTTAGGGCTACCCGAAACCCGAAACCCTAAATCCTAAACCCCAAACCCTACTTGACAGGGGCCTTTTCCAAGAGCGAAAACAAGGCCATGTGCTTTGGGGGTGTAGGTCTTAGCTGCTAACGGAGCAGCGGATGTGGTGGCTTTTTCTGATCCGAGAGTGCCCGCATTTTGCGTTTTAGGGTTTAGGGTTTACTTGGAGGGTTCATGGGTAGTTCGTAGAACCAGAGGCCAACCCCTACTCCCCCCAAAGCACCTTATGGCTTGGGGCTTGGGGTTTTGAATCCCAAGCACTGAACCCTAAACCCTACAAACCCCGTTTAGGGCTTCAAGGGTGCCTTAAACCCTAAACCCTAAACCCTAAACCCTAATCGCTGAAAGTGTGTAGGGCTTCAAGAGTGGAAGGCCGTAGGAATCCTACTGTTACTATTTGGGGGTTTATATTTGGGGTCCCTGATTTTCGCAACCCTAAACCCTAAATCCTAAACCCTATATAAACCCTAAACTCTAAACCCCAAACCCCCAACTCCAAAGTGGGTCTCAAGTGGAGCACAGCTGCCACCGTGGCCACTTCGCATGTGGGCGATGGACAAGAGCGCCACGCCATCGAAACGCTTTTGGATCAGGAAGATGCCCTGGGTCTGGCTGAGAAAGTCCTGCCTAAGTGGTTTTTACTACAAGGAGGGGCACCCTTACTATACTAACTGTAGTTAAGGGCCTTATAACCTAGTTTAGGATCCTTATAACCCAATTTAGGGCTAATATAACTCCACTTACAACTAGGGGGCCCTTCATTGTAGGGAATGAGGGAATGTGGTACCCTGTACGATCCCTCTCAGGCTAATGCACTAGGTGACTACGGAGAACCAGTAGATCCACTCGCAAGAAAGCAGCACTCGCACAACAGGCACAGGACTTCGCCTTGTACAGGATTGCCACACATGATGCTGCAGCCTTTGTCTAAGTTACGCGGCTCCTTGCTTGTAGGCTTCATTTGCGCATAGCCGCAGGAACCGGGAAGCGATCTTGCCCGAGCTCACCCACCTCTCTCATGTTGGCGGGGGGCTTCCCCAGGAATGTCAATGTCGCTCTATGGCGCGAACATCCAAACACATACTTTTTTCAACATTAACTTACCTATGTTGAGGGTCCTTACATTAGGCTTTATAATGGCTTCGGTTCCCATATTGTTTGGACATACCTGTACTGAATTGGACCCCAACCCCTCCTCTTTCCCCAACCCCTGAACACGAGACCCTATAAATCTTCAACATCCCGCCCGGTGACCGTCTGCACTTCCTTGACGCTGACGCTCTCCTGTTTAGGGTAGGGTTTAGGGTTTAGGGTTTAGGGTTTAGGGTTTAGGGTTTAGGGTTTAGGGTTTAGGGTTTAGGGTTTAGGGTTTAGGGTTTAGGGTTTAGGGTTTAGGGTTTAGGGTTTAGGGTTTAGGGTTTAGGGTTTAGGGTTTAGGGCCAGTGTTGAATGATAGTTTTATTGGGCTTTTGGGGTGCAGGCCAGGGTTTCCCTAAGGGTCTATGTAGCTCATTGTTGTATACGTTGGCCCCAAAGTCTCTATATAGGCCTTAGGAGGTGCGTTTAAGGCAAGGCCCAAGTATTCCCGATTTAGGTACATGGACCCTTGCAAGGAGGGGCCCCCTTACTATACTAACTGTAGTTAACGGACTTATAACCTAATTTATGACCCTTATAACCCAATTTAGGGCTCTTATGACTCTGCTTATAACCCAGTTTAGGGCTCTTATAACTCTACTTGTAACTAGGGGGCCCCTCCTTGTGGGGTTGTTGCCTTGTCGGCAATTCTTGAAGACTCGAAGCACCGACCCTCTAACGCATTCGCAGCGAAGACTGGCTTGCAGCGATGTTCTAAACATGTAAATTTAGCACTATATATATATACATAAATATATATATATATATATACATATATATATATATATTTGTGTATATGTGTTTATATATATATATATATGTATGTATGTACTTATCTATTTATTTACACTGATACAGTATAACACCACTTGAGGTTCTATAAATACTCCTAACCTGTCCGGCAACCCAAACCCTGAACCCTAAACCCTAAACCCCTGAACCCCGAAGCCCCCCCAAACCCAAACACCTAAACCTCAGAACTCCACAGCCCTAAAGCCTAAAACCCTAAACCCTAGACCCCGAACCCCTAAACTTTGTAAACCCCAAACCCCTAAACCCTCTACCCCTAAACCCGCCACACCGCAACCCTAAACCCCTAAACCCCAAACCCCTAAAACTTAACCCGGAACCCTAAATCCTCAACCCCTAAACCCCTAAACCCGCCACCCCTCAACCCTAAACCCCTAAACCCCGAGCCCCTCACCCTCAACCGCTAAACCCTTGGACCCCTAAAGCCCTAAACCCCAAACCCCATAAACCCCAAACCCTTAACCCCTCTACCCTTTCCCCCTAAACTCCAAACCCTAAAACCGAGCCCAAAACCCCTAAACCCCGCCTAAACCCCTAACGACTAACCCCTAACCCCTAAACCCTAGCCCTAAACCCTAGCCCCAAACCCTAGCCCTAAACCCTAAACCCCTAAACCCTAAACCCCTAAACCCTAAAACAAGAAATCGTCGTCCTTCGGCCCCAAGCCACGTGCACCCGGGAGAGCCGCGGAGCGCCTGAGTTGATCCCTCAAAGGGTTTCGAGTTCATGGGGTATTCAGGGTTTAGGGTTTAGGGTTTAGGGTTTCGGGTTTAGGGTTTAGGGTTTAGGGTTTAGGGTTTCGGGCCTGGGTTTTGGGTCTTGGGGCTAAGGGTTTCGGGTTTAGGGCTGGGGTTTGGGGTTTGAGGGTTTAGAGTTTGGGGTGACATGGCTTAGAGCTATAGGGCCTAGGGCTTCGGGGTTTAGGCTGGTTTAGGGTTCAGGGTTCGGGGCGTGTAGGGTTTGGGGGGTTCAGCAGTGAGGGTTGCACTTAGTCCGAAATATCCTAATTCGGCTAGGAGATAACTCCAAGACAATAACCCATCATAATACCTAGTACGATCGTCCTCAAGAAACATGCAGATCGGCATTTCATTGGGGGGCAAGCTAGCCCTAAAGAGGCCCCAAATCCGATGCGGAGTTGCCTGAACCCTGAACCCTAAACCATATGGAACTTCCCGTGATTTCCCCAAGTCCTGAAGTCTATGGGGAATTCGGGAAACCGTGTGAACCCTAAACCCTATAGACCCTAAACCACAAACCCCAAATGACAAACCCTAAGCCCTAAACCCGAAACCCGAAACCCCAAACCCTAAACCCAAACCCTAAACCCTAAACTCAGAACTGCAATTTTGCAGTCAGGGAGCAGTGCGGCTGCTGCAGTGCGCTCGAGCGCGGCGGCAAAGCGTCCGGAGGCCGGCTGCACCCTTGGGTGTGATTTTGGGGTTTAGGGTTTAGGGTGTAGAGTGTGATGGAGTGTGTGTGTGTGTGTTTGCTTTAGGGACCTATTCCCCCAAGAGTCCATAAAAGGGGCGTAGAGCGACAAGCTAGGGCAACAAAATATACTACACAGGTACACGAACCCTTGGGCTGAAGGGTTTAATAGGCCCGCTACTGGGTAGTTCTTCTTTTAACTTACAACTATAGAGGGTCGGTGTAGTCTTACAAAAATTTAGGGGCCTGTTTCATTAGTTTGGCATGTAAGGAGTTGATGTCTCTGGTTTGGGGCTTTAGGGTTGGGGGTCTTGAATTAGGAACTGTGATTTCGGTAGGTTCTAGCATATACAGGCGAGTGCTATAGGGGGATTCACTTGGCATTTTATTAGGCTGCTGTATCGGGAGGGTTTGTAGGAGAATGCGAGTGAAGGGTACTTACAGTGGTGTCGAAGTCGATCCCCGATGTGGCTTATCTTGCACCTTCGCATGTTGGAGGATGCATGCAGCTGGCACGGGTGCGTCTTCATACACAGCTGACACCTCCCAGATGTTCACTACGGCAACAGCTCCAAAATCCCTAACAAGCCTAACGCCCGAAACGCTGAACCTCTATACCAAAACAACCCCTGGACCCCAAACCCTTAGGACGCGACTGCATGTGAACTTGCGATGAAAATGCTATCGATCCGGGGTAATAAGATAAATAACTAATTATTTAGGCTGCAAGGATAAAACTTGGAGGTTCATGGTACCTTTAACCCAATGAATAGCTGCACTTATAACCCACTTATAAGCCCTCTAAGTGCCCTACTATGGCTGTAAGTGTGTTGTAAGTACGGTTATTATTGGGTTATGAGTACCATGAACCTCCAAATAACCCCTAAACCCTAAACCCTAAACCCTGAACCCTAAACCCTAAACCCTAAACCCTAAACCCTAAACCCTAAACCCTGAACCCCTGCCCAGTCACGAAACGGGATGGGAACAATGCAGCCGGAAGGTCCAGGCCGATGCCTCCACAGGCGTCTGCCGCGGAAATCTCCGGGTTTATAGGGGCTTAAGCTCATGGTCTAGGGCTTATAGGGTTTAGGGTTTAGGGTTTAGGGTTTGGGGTTTAGGGTTTAGGGTTTAGGGTTTAGGGTTTAGGGTTTGAGCTGAATTAGGGTTTAAGATTAAAAACGCTTCTGTGTGCAGAAAGCCTGAAAACCCTGAAACACCCCTGACGCCCCGAAGGTTCGGGCTCTCTGGGTATAGACGTCGGCGTACAAGAGTTCTTCGTGGATACAAGAGACTCCCAAAAGGACATACTTGGAGGATCGGTGGACTTAGTAAGAAGAAATAAGAATTTGTTTTTTCGTCCCCAGCCCCTAAATCCCTAATCCCTGAACCCTGATCCCTAAACCCTAGACCCTAAATCCCAAATCCCTAAATCCCTAAACCCGCCTCGGGACCTGACACATCCAAACCAAGCGGGCCCGGTCCCAGAACAAGCGGGCAGAGGAGGAATTTCCCAGCAGGAAGGTCCACCTGAGAACGTTCGTTGTTGTTTGTACATTTTTGTTTTCCTTTTTCGGGGGGGGGGGGGGGGATCTTGGGATTCAGAGGTTTAAGGTGTCTAAGGTTTAGGGTTTAGAGGGGCTGAAGAATTGCGAGACTTGCGGTTTTCAAGTTTCAGACTTTAGGGCTTGGGTGGGGGGGGGGGGGGGGGGACTTTGAGTCGGTTGGAAGAGGATAGCCCATGGCCTTGTTTTCGCTCTTGGAAAAGGCCCCTGTCAAGTAGGGTTTAGGGTTAGGGTTTACGGTGTTTCGGAAGGAACTGCAGACCTGAATGTCCTAGGTGCTTGCAAGGCGTGTTCCTGACTGTAAATGTGGGTTGAATGTTGCAGGCGTCTGGGCTTTGAGAAGCTCAAAACCAGGGTTCTAGGGTTTAGAGTTTAAGGTTAGGGTTTAGGGTTCAAACCCTAAACCCTAGGTCCCACAAGGCAAAAGCATCAAACAAGCAATCCCTGCCTAATAACCGAATCCAAAACCCAAAAAAAACCCAGTTTATAAAGTTCACAGTTCGAGGCGTTTGGAGGTTGAGGTGATAAGCTGCCTGCTTTTCTCTTTTGTCATATTGGGGGTTCTATAGGGTTTAGGGTTTAGGGCTAGGGTTTAGGGTTTAGGGTTTAGCGCTAGGGTTTCGGGATCAGGGTTTAGGGCTTTTGGGGTTTCGGGTTTAGCCGGGGACACAAGCTACAGACCTCAGACTCTCGGGTGCTGCGGCGACTCCGGCTACTTGAGTCAAAGCTCACTTTTTCACCCTTGAACCCAAGAACTTTAACAAAGAAACATGGGACCATAAACCCTAAACCCTAAACCCGCCATAAACCCTAAACCCTAAACCCTAAACCCTAAACCCTAAACCTCAAATTGCCGAACTACTGGAACTCAAGCGGCCCGGAGCCCTAGGCCGGCCACAGCCCTGGGCTCCGAAGGGCTCTAATTCAGGTTTTAGGGTTTAGGGTTTGGGGTTTGGGGTTTAGGGTTTCGGTTTAGGGTTTGGGGTTTGGGGTTTAGGGTTTGGGGTGACCCAAACGCCCAGAGCCTGGAGCGTGCTTCGCGCGCTGCTGCCGCCTAGACGTCCAGCAATGAGGCATCCACACCTCACTATACCCCACACATAATCCTGAGGGTTTAGGGTTTATAGGGCGTAGGGTTTGCTGGAAATCTCGTGCATCGCCCGTAGATGCTTACGTTGGGGTTCTCTAGATCTATAGGTTTCATGGGTTGATGACGCTTAGGATAGTTCACAGGTTCTGCTAAGGACAGCAGCACACATTCCCGGTGCAGCATGGCTGCAAAATGCGAGCACATAAGCATCCCTGCTTGTTGCCGTGCATGCATGGAGCCTCCTTAGGGTTCTGTGTTTAGGGTTTAGGGTTTAGGGTTTAGGGTTTAGGGTTTAGGGTTTAGGGTTTAGGGTTTAGGGTTTAGGGACCTCGCCGGTCAACTCCCAACGCCAACGCCTCCTTGCACGCAATGCCAGCCCGCAGAGCTCCAGTGCGGATGAGTGGCCTTCCCTCCCAGCAATGCTTTAGTGTGACTGACGTTCCTCAGCGCCCGTAGCAGCTGCCGACTGATCACACGTCTGTCTGCCCCCAGCGGACGCATTGGCACATTGCTCCGCTGTCATACGCCATGACCGCATGCGTGTTGGCCTGAAGGGCAACAGCAGCTTCTTGGCAGCAAAGCAGCCCCACAAACACGCGAAATTATAATGAACAAAACACCCAAAAGACAAATTAAAATTAAATTAATTAGCAAAATTTGGGTTTTTAATGCGCTTACTAAAAGGGCCTTAAAAGTAGTATTAAAATGGGGCTAATAATAATATAATAAAATGCCCCATTATTAGTAGTATTAATAGTGCTTACTTTCTCCCTTATAATTCTATTTCAATTAAAAGTAGTGAAATGAACATGAATGCCCCAATAATAGTATTAAAGGCCCCATTATTATATTCTTCGGGGCCGCTACATTATTAGTATTAATGGGGCAATAAGGCATGAAAACAGCTATTTTATTAGTATTTTGTAGGGGTAAAAGGGCCTTATTATAAAATTATTAGGGCGTGCATTAATTTCACTCTTTATTCATATTATTATCTTCATGCACACGCCCTATTATTAAATTAATTGTAATGCTGTGGAAATAGAGAAATTAATAGGGGCAATTTTAATATTTACAAAGCCCTATTAATTTACTAATTTGCTCTTTTTAGTAGTTTTGTTCACTCACTTCTTTCTAATAATAGAAAATGAAGAGTGAAACGAATGAAAAGACGAATAAAATTCCAGAAATTAAAAGATTTGGAAATGCAAGAATTATTGATGCGCTTTTTCCTAATTTAATTCACTTCTTATAATCTTTAATCAAGAATTTATTATTAAGATTTGTACTAAGAAGAGAATATATTAAGTGAACAAATGAACGAAATTAGTGTATTTTATTGCGCTCTTCACTTCGTTCATCTCTTTATTATTGAGGCAGTAAGTTCTCTATTCACTTTGGAAATCCTGCATTAATATTGTAAGGGTTACAAATGAGCTTTTCTGGAATTCTTTTTTCCTTATAATTTTATGGATTTTTCTTTCTCTTTCTTTCATACATCTTTTTACTCTCTTTTTATTATTCCCTTTCCTTACAAGTTTATTATCCTCGCGGGCCATTATAATAATACTTGTTGGGCCCGTAGTATTAGTATTATTCTATTCACGGTATTACACTCATGACTCCCTTTACTTCCATCCCCTATTGACTCCTTACCACATAGAATTAGTATCAATGAGCCCCACCTGTCAGTCTTGCCCATGAATCCGCCCTTGAGACCCAACCTCTGTTTCCAAGCCTGTTGTTACCATGTGATTGACAGGTTGACTTAGAAACCGTACCATCATGAGTCTTTCTACGTGACAGGAACTCTCTTGACAAGGAACCCACAGCTGTCACCCTTTCCCACATCTGTTAACCGTTCACACCCTTCCTGTCATTCACCCGGGGTTTTTATACAACCCCAACGGGGTTCGACGGTTTACGGTTTAGGGTCTAGGGTTCGAGGTTTCGGGTTTAGGGTTCATAGGTGCGGTCCCCCAACCTCCCCGAAAAACACCAAAAAACCTCGACCACTTTAGGTCATAGACACTTGGGGCTACACGTTTTGGGAACCTTCAACCTTAAACCCCACAGCCCAAACCGTGTAAGTTTAAGGGCTTCGAGGGCCTTAGGATTTGAGGATGAAGGGGTCGGGGATTGCATGTTCGGGTCCTGGATAGCGCAGCGCAGCTCGTCCATGCCCTCGTCGCACTCCTGTGAAAGCAAAAGGTCGATCCATTCGAAAGGCCGCTCTAGTGAACTTATTCATCTGGCAGCCGTGCTGCACGAGCTGGAGAAGCTCGCGGCGGTAGTTGTCGAAGTTGTCCTGCCAGGACTGGCGCTCGACGGACTGCCTCGCCAGAAGTTTCTAAAGCTGTCGAGTAGGACGTGCTACCCAATGCCATGCCTACATCTCTCCATTCCTGAATCAATATACAGGCTGTGTTTGGTCTGTGATCATGTTGTGTTTCGTATTGTGAAGGGATAAAAAAGGGCCACTGCATGCGCCTCTTGGGGGAGCCATTGTGGGTTTGGACTACTCTGTGGAACCGTTTTTGTGCGCCTTAAATTTGTTCCCAATGGCCCCTCCTCTGGGGGTAGCCACTTGGGGGCCTTACTAGGGCAGCTGTATGCTTTTTGGCAAGTCTATTGGGTTGAATTTGTGCCACAGTGACCGCCCCCAGGTGCACGAATTCTTTGTGTCGATTGAATTTCCCAAATGACCGCGCCTCTCGCGGGAGCTATAGCTATTTTGGGGCGTTGCTAGAGCAGCTTTTGACTCTGCAGAAGATTCTTCGAAGGCCTTTTGGGTTGAATTTGCGCCCCATTGACCTCCCCCTGGCTTGCCAACAGTCAAGAGGTAGATTTCTACTAGAAACTGTCCCAAAACCCATAGCCGGAGGTTCCAAACCCCACAAAAAAGTCTTCGCTGAATGGAAAAGAGGTGGATTTCAAACAGAAACTGTCCTAAAACCCATAGCTTGCTCTACACAGCTGCAGGAGCCTGTGAAGATTCTGAGCCTAGCGCTCCAGCAACTCTAACCACAGCTTCGACAGACGGGCACTCAGGAGTATACTCCCGGGACTAGGGAATGGCCAAAATTGTGCTGAAGAGGGGAGGCACATCTCACTAAACCATTGCTGGCAGCGTCCGTTGCGGCCCGTGGATTCTTTAGTAAAGTCAGGTTGTTATAGCTCTGATTCCTGCAAGGTTCGCGGCGTGTCTGTGGAGTCTTCCGGACATTGGTTCGTCAGGGCGAGACAGGGAGAGAGAGGGACTGTGACAGTCAAATTTGACTAGAGTATTGGCCCTACCCAAGAGGCAAAACCCGCATGTTGCCTCTGCACACCGTTGGCCGGGTGTGGGGCTGCATGCTTTGCTGCCCAGAAGCTGCTGTTGCCCTTCAGGCCAACGCGCATGCGGTCATGGCGTAGGACAGCGGAGCAATGTGCCAATGCGTCCGCTGGGGGAGACAGACGTGTCGACAGTTTGCAGCTGCCACAGCGCCACTGCCATAGCGGCCATAGCGCCAATGTCACACCAAAGCATTGCTGGGAGGGAAGGCCACCCGTTGAGGTATCAAAACTGCCGCGCAGCTGCCGTGCATAATTATTCTTTCGTAAAAGTCTCCAGGCTGTTGCAACTCTGCTTCTACCAATAAAGGTTCATCGAACATCTGAGGAATCTGCAAGGCATTGTTTCGTCGGGGCGGGACACAGAGAGAGAGAGAGAGAGAGAGAGAGAGAGAGGCGGCGAGAGAGAGGGCGAGGGAGACTGTGATAGTCAAATTTGACTAGAGTGTTAGCCCTACCCACGGGAGGCAACGGCCGCATGTTGTCTCTGCGCAGCACAAAAGTGGCTAGCGACTGTTCACACGCTTGAGTGCCCCAGCGGGCACATTGGCACATTGCTCTGCCGTCAAAAGCCATGACCGCATGCTCGTTGGCCTCATCCCTCTCTCTCACAAACACACACGCACCCTGTCTCGCTCTCTCTCTCTCTCTCTTTCTCTCTCGCTCTCGCCCAGCCGAAATTTCACATACGCGCACCAAATGAGACGGCCAATCCAAAAGCTTTCAGCAGAAACTGATCTGCAAGAGCCACGCCTAAGTGCGACAACGTTCCTGAAATACCCCGTGGCGGCTTCCGACTTTGTCACACCCTGTCTGTCCCTATATGAAACCTAATGCACCCTGTTCCAAAAGACGCACTACACAGTCTAAAGACTCACGTGAGACCCTATTCAACCCCAGGCTGTGAATGAATCCATACCCACGCGGCTCTGATTGGGCTTGTAGCTCCACAAGCAGCAGGCTCACATCGCCTGAGCAGCATCAGAGCGGTGTTGCGGAGGTGGTTGCTTCAGGGCTTTGGTCCTGGGGCGTGAAGTCGTTCGAGTATTTCGAAAGGTGCAACTCCTACCTGCCATGGTGACCACTACATGCTGGCAAGTCCCACACAGACACCTTTAACTAGTCTTCTTGCCTTTCTTTGTACATACTTGAGGGGCCAGCCGATCACTGCCTTCAGGTTAAGTTGGTTTAGGGTTTAAGGTTTAGGGCTTCTAGTCAGAGAGCTTCAGCTATCCATGAGGACTACCCTAAACCCTAAACCCTAAACCCTAAACCCTAAACCCTAAACCCTAAACCCTAAACCCTAAACCCTAAACCCACAAAAGCCCGGCCCCGGACCTCGAAATCAGGGGTTCCGGGGCATTTGGGTTAAGGGGTTCAGGGGTTCAGGGGTTCAGGGGTTTAGGGTTTAGGGTTTAGGGTTTAGGGTTTAGGGTTTCGGAGTAGTCTGCTTGGGTACTACTTGCTCACAAAGCCATGCTTTGAAGCCTGTTTCCTTGCTTACGCGGAACATCCTGCGCTCGATTTGGAATATGCGATCATAGTCTGCCATCAGCTGGGACCTGCTGTCGCAGAGTAAGCCCACCTCTGCGGGGCACGTGGCGTCACTTACAGTTCTGGCGAGAGGGTAACCAACAGCAATGTCGCGACTTTCCAGCTTGAACACAGAATCCAAATCCAGTATCTCAGCAGCTGCTTCTTCGTCACCACCTTCGTATATACCAGACTCTCTCGCATGCATCTGCGCTACGCCACCATAAGCGCGGAGATGTGGGGAAGGCAGCGCGGGATAGCGAGAACGCCACTCCTCGGCACTCACTCGGGCATCCGCTGCATCAAGGAAGGCATCAATGGCCGTATAGCCCACAGCCCTCTCGGCCACATCAAAGATCATGTCGATCCCCGTGAAGCCTTGGTTGCACAGTAGCCATGCTTTTATAAGGGCACCCTTTTTTGGGGCTGGCTTGGCTACTGTTATAAGGGAACCTTGAACCACAAAAAGGGGAAAAGGGTACCACTGGGCTAGCAAGGAGCGGTTGCAGTTTGCCTCAATCAGGACCGGGCCCTTTTCGGGAGTCATCTTCACCTCGACATGCGCAGGGCCATTGCGCATGCCAAGTGCAGCGAGCGACTCCATGGCATAGGTGGCCACGGCTTCCTCGGGCGAGCCTTGCTGAATCGGCTCTATGAGCACACCGAAGGCCACGAACTCAGCACCATTCAGGGGCCTGACGTCATACTTGAACACGCCCATGACGGCCATCGCGCCATCACGGACGACAATGTCAACCGCGTACTCATCTCCGGCGAGGTGCTCCTGCACCAGGACTGGCATCGACTCTGCACCCTTCGGCCGGCTGCGAAAGATTTGGTGGACAAGTGCCTCAGACTCTGCACGCTGATTCCCGAAGTCCAGAAGTGTCACATTGTTGCCTGCAGACCCACCCAGGAAGGGCTTCATCACAGCCTTTTGCGACCGCTCAGACGCAACGAAGCTGTGCACCTCAGACTCTGAGCGCGCCAAGGCCCACCTGCAGGAGGTGAGGCCTGCCTAGGATGGCCCTTTAAAGCCCTCTGAAAAATATTCCTATAAATATGGTCCTCTTAAACCTTGATAAGGGAAAACACGACATGTCCCAAGGGATTGCCTAGCAGCCTCTTTCAAGACAACTTGCATCAAGTGCTTGTTGCGGCGAGCCTGCTCTAGACGTGCATCAGATGCGACGTCGCCCGTGCCAGTCAGACCCGCCAAGCCGAGCGCTTCCTCGACTATAGGTAGAGCATGAGGATCTGAGAATGCCAAGACTCCCGAGACAGAGAACGGCAGCTTGTTCAGCCAGTCCTTCAAAGCAGGCCCTAAACCCTAAACCCTAAACCCTAAACCCGAAACCCGAAACCAGTCCTTCAACGCAGGCCCCCTCGGCGCTGGCTTGGGATGTGGAGGCGCCCAGAGCTCTGCTACTGAGAGCCGTCGGGCCGCAGCCTTTTCCTGAAGCAGGGCTTTAGTGCCTCCATAGCCATCCACCAGAACAACACCACTTGGCTTAGGCTCCTCTGTTGACCATGGCAACCATCCCAGTGTGCTCCTACCTCCTCGGCCTCTTCGGGGCCGCAGGGAGAGCCTACTGTTCACAAACGTAGAGGGAGTGTCACGTATGCCTCCTGATTGCGACCAGGGTCTTGAGAGGAAGGCTCTGCATACCAGGACAAGAAGAAGGCTCCCAGCAGGTCTCAAGCGCGGGCTGCCGCCCATGCGCATCAACAATCAAAACCTGGAATGCTAAGGCAACCAGAGGAATCTACAGGGAACCTGCGGTTTGCCTACATGCATGAACGATTCCTATAGCATCCTCACAAAGTACGGAATCCGCCACTGCTGCGATATGTGGAAGTCCGTTTAAAGAAGCAGCCCAGAACATGGGACAACCGATTGAAATGCTACCAAACTACCCCAAACAAGTTTTATCGAACATGATTCTTCCTGAAGTTGCTTCCGAAACTAGGTTTCAGCAAGAGTAGATCTTGAGCCGACATTGCTCTGCAGAGAGAGGCCTGGTAGGACAATTATTGTCGACAGCTCTACAGGGCAACTTCTCTCCACTTCTGAAACACGGTCAGACTTACCCTAAGGGTCCATGTACCTTATTCTTGTATACTTAGACCCCAAAGTCCCTATATAGGAGGTACCTTAAGGCCCGAGTATTCCCTATTTAGGTACATGGACCCTTAGGGTTACCTAAGGTGGACGGCCGTGTACAAAACAACCCTGAGGCTCCATAGTACTGCTATGGAATCAGATAACCCCCAAAAAATACTAGGGCTTAGGGTTAGGGTTTAGGGTTTAGGGTTTAGGGTTTAGGGTTTAGGGTTTAGGGTTTAGGGTTTAGGGTTTAGGGTTTCGGGTGTAGGGTGTAGGGATTACTTCCAGTGGACCCCTTGTAAGGCAGTAAGGCCATGACATGATGTGACTTGACGGAAGGCCTACTGGGGCTCAAAAATCTGCAAAGCGCGGCTCAAACTTCAACTAGCATGTCGTGGGTTGATTTTTAAGGTACATACTTGGGCCTGAAAAAGGGTTTAGGGTTTAGGGTTTAGGGTTTAGGGTTTAGGGTTTAGGGGTTAAGGTTATGGAAGGGCCTCAGAGTACCACCCGACTCCTGGAGAATTTCGGCAGGCCCTGGAGCTATGCCTACAGATGCCTACAGCTACCCCTAAGCCCTCTAGAGTTTTGGGGTTTAGAGCTTGGGGTTTAGGGTTTGGGGTTTAGGGTTTGGGGTTTAGGGCTTGGGGTTTAGGGCAAAATCTACCCTGGAAGACCCTGTGCCCTGAAACCCCAAGCCTGGCTGATAGAATCTCTTCCGGTCATCGCGGGCGAAGGTGCCGCGCTTCCTTGGCATCTTTGTCGGCTTTCGTCCCCCAAGCCCTCAAGGGTTTCGGGTTTACGGTTTACAGTAGGGTTTGGGGTAGGGGTTTAGGGTTTAGGGTTTAGGGTTTAGGGTTTAGGGGTTAGAGTTTAGGGTTCAACTTCAAACTCTACAGGCTGACATCCAGGGTTTACGGCCAACCGGGCTTTGAAACCCACGCCATGAATCCAGCGCCAGATCAGACCTAGCTTCAACTTGGAGCAAAAACCTTATTACCCCCTGACGCTGAAGGACACGTGCCTCCCATCAGTGAAGGATATGACGAGCTATGCACTGTATGGCGGCAGAGCAGTCGACACCAGGCTCCTATAGCACATTCCGGCCGCCCTCAGTACCCGACACCCCAAACACAAAATCCCGAAACCCTGCTAGCCTGACACAAGACCCTAAACCCTAAACCCTAAACCCTAAACCCTAAACCCTAAACCCTAAACCCTAAACCGTAAACCCGGAAAGCAAGGGTGCGACTGTCCTGAGCCACAACCCAACCCTCTTGCACCATAGGTCCATGTACCTATATTATATACTTGGGCCTTAAAAGGGGTTCCATGTAGCAGCTTTAGGGCACGGGTATATACTCTATATACCAATTATAACTGCACTTATAACCCACTTATCAGCCCTTAAGCGCCCAAATATGGTTATACATGGGTTATAAGTATGGCGATTAATATTAACTGTATATAAATGTACATGGACACCTGGGGTAAGAATGGCAGCTGCATCACCGGGACGGTTCCCTCTGCAGCCGCGCGTCGTGGGCTGGATCGCGGACATGCAGAGACTCGTCGCCTCCGCCACCGTCTTGAAATAGGGTTTACGATGGGTTTAGGGTTTAGGGTTTAGGGTTTAGGGTTTAGGGTTTAGGGTTTAGGGTTTGGGGTTTAGGGTTTAGGGTTTAAGGGTACCTTATCGGGGTCCTGACTATAAAGGGATCCTACTATTTAGGAATCTATATTGGGGAACCCCGAAATCTCGATAAACCTAAAAAGGCCCGATGGACCCTATAATTTCTACAAGCCCTGCAAACCCTATACTGTAACACCCGCAAACGCTATAGGCACACTAAGCCCCCCCAAAAAACCCTGCAACCCTAGAAGGCTGAGCAATTATAAGTCCCAGGCTGTCTACGGTTTTCATATGACAAGACAGAAGTGAAACAACATAACGTTAACGTCGAGTGGTTTGGGAGAAGGACAACTGGTGCGGGGGGTGGCGAGGGTTAAAGGCGCTGCCCCAGAAATCAGTCTGTATGCATGTCTAGTATATGTAGATATAAATACATATATATATATAGATATATAGATATACAAACACGCATATGCATCTGCACGTATTTACTTATGCACGTACATGTAGATGCATGATGTTTACATAGACACATACAGACACACCTGCATACGTTATATACGTATACGTATACATAACGTACGTGGGTGCTATATTCAAAACGATATTTAGGATTCTGTTTCTTGCGGCCAGTGTTCGGGGTACAGGTGAGCTCTGGAAGTGTAGAGCATTTAGTATTTCGTACAGGTAAAAAGCAGTCTGAACGCCACACCGGCCCTAGATTAGAAGCAGCAGCGCCACACCTCCCCCTCCTCACCCACAAGCACAAATGAGAGTAGCTGGCCCCGTGTAGAACCCAAAGCCCAAAGCCCATTCCACACACATTCTCGTCAAGAGGATTTCGCCAAAGGACGTCAGCAAGCTCGAGGAAGTAGGCAAAGCGGCACAGCCTATCGGCGTCTGGCTGAATGGGAAACCCAAGCCTACACCCTCAAAACGCAAGCCCTACGCCCTTTAAATCCCTGAAGCCACTGAAGCCGATAAATTAAGGCATTTTGGGTAGACTATGCTTTAAGAACATAAGGGATGATTTGACAGGTAGCCCTGACGCCTAAACCCAGAACGCCCGAACAGTGTGCTCACTACACTACACCCACTACTATAGGGGCCTCAATAATTACAATAGGGGTTTCGGGTTTTGGGGGTTCTTTCATTTTTCTTATGTAGGGACCACAGGGGAATTCCATTCGAAATGATTCCGACCCCTATAATATCTTTCTGAGTCCTAAGCCCTTGACCCCACCTCGTCTCATCAGTCTTTGCGCAGAAGGAGTTCCTGGCTTCGAAGCTGGTAAGGTCCTAAAACGGTTTAGGATTTAGGGTGTTTGGGGTTTAGACACAAAAAGCGCCATCATCTGGGGCCTGTACAAAAGCAGGGGCCCCAACGTCCACCTGGAGGGTCGCAATCCTTCACTAAACCCAAAATCCTAAACCCCAAACCCCAAACCCTAAGTCCTCAACCCCAAACCCCAAACCCTAAATCCTCAACCCCAAACCCCAAAACCCTAAACCCTAAACCCTGAACCCTAAACCCTTCTCACCAGGGTGCTGAAAGCTTCGGCTGTTCCAGGAGGGGTGGGCGAAGCAAACGTCGACGACTTGGAAGGCCATCAGGAAGTGCATGAAGTCCTCAGCCCTAAACCCTAAACCCTAAACCCTAAATCCTAAATCCTAAATCCTAAACCCTAAGCCCTAAACCCTAAACCCTAGACCTCACCTCGAAAAACCCCGACAATTCCTCTAAGACCTGATCTCCTAAATGCCCAAGCTTCTTTGAAACCCGAACCCTATGTGCTTCCAAGCATCTAAGTATGATCACCCTGGTAACCTATATGCCCTCAACCCCTAGACCCTACACCCCACAAAACCCTTGCCTAAGCCCCTGCCTAAACCCTAAAACCCCTAAACCTCTAAAACCCCTAATTCCCTCAACCCCTAAACCCAATCCCCTAAACCCTGAGCCCCACAAACCCTGTAGGAGGTCCAAGGAGGTCTTGGGCGCTGACCCAGGTGCCCATGTACCCACGCAGTATGTATTTGGGGCTCTAAAGCTTGGGTTTAGGGTCTAGGGTTTAGGGTGTAGGGTTTAGTGCTATATCGAAACCCCCTTAAGGCTGAAGTAAAAAAAATATATAGATGTCTGTCTGCTACATGGGTCCTTGGGGTGAAATACTCTGGGGGGGGGGGGGGGCCTCCGGAACCTTTGGCTTTACAGGGCTTGGTGGAACTAAGTGTGAAGAAAAAAATCTCAGGGCGCATAGGGGTTTAGGGTTCAGGGTTTGGGGCTTTGAGTTTAGGACCCTTTCTTCTACCTCAAGGCACGAAATGACTTGAGGGAAGGGGCCCCCTCGAAAGCTGCCATATCCCTCAATCATTGATTCTTGCCCTCACGGAGAACCTATAGTCAAGAATGGCAGAGTCTGAAGAATTGCTGCCTAAACCGCTCACAACTCTCGAAACACAGTATCGTGGCATGGGAGCTCGTTTGCCTCCAAACAAGAGCCCTTCAAGCTTCGCGTGTACATATATACGTATATACATATATATATATACACTACAAAAATCTCTAGCATAACTACCATCAGCATTTACTACTATTAATATCTTTCGAGCATAGAGCAAAAACGGTGAAACCCTGCACCTTTAGCCCTGCGTCCAGGTCTCCATCCAGAAGGTGCCATCATCAGAGCCAGAGCGCCCGAGGCGCGTCTCCAGAAGCCTGGGTCATGGTTTAGGGGTTTAGGGTTTAGGGTTTAGGGTTTAGGGTTTAGGGTTTAGGGCTTACGCATGTAGGGCTCCAGGGTTTTATAGGGCTCTGGGGTTGTTAGGGTTCTAGGTATAGGGGCGCGGGGATATGGGGGCTTAAGGCTGAAGGCTTCGTCGGGTTTAGGCGAAGTTGAGGGCTCCCCAGGTTTGTGGTTCACAGGGGATGAGGGTCGAACGTTCACTGGTGGTGTTTAGGGTGAAACATTTGCCCGCGAAGAGAACTAGGCCATGCCTCTTCTTAGCTGCACTGTATAGAAGCAGTCGAAGTTGGCTAAACCGAAACCCTAAACCCTAAACCCTAAACCCTAAACCCTAAACCCTAAACCCTAAACCCTAAACCCTAAACCCTAAGCGTTAGGTATGAACAAGATCCTTGTTGAGCTGACAAAAGTCAGCTGGCTGTCGGGAGGAGAGTAGAGACCAGAAGGCGGATCAAGATCCTTGGCTAGACCCAGGAGAAACCTAGGAATAAACAGGGTACCCTTTTTGGTTCTTAGGGGATTATAGGGGAACCCCTCCCAGCTCTTAAAAAAAGGAAATAAGGGCCTACTCACGATCCAGTTGGCCTGTTAACTGAGTCCCAGAAGCTCCGTCCAAAGCACGGAATTATCAGACCACTCGCCGTTCCACTCGCCCATACCTTGCCAGCCCACACATAGCCAGGGTTGAGGGTTGAGGGGTTGCGGGCTTAGGGTTTAGGATTTCGGGTTTAGGGTTGAAGGTTGAAGGGTTGCGGGTCGGGGGTTGCTGTAGGGGCCTTGACATGAGAATAGGGGTTTGGGGTTCAGATGGCAAATGTTTTTTTGGGACCAGAAGGAATACTATTCGTAACTCTTCCGATCCTTACATTAGTCATCACTCGTCCTAGTCCTCCTGCCGCCATTCTTTTGACACTCCCTACAAAAGGCTCGGACGAAATGAATCAAATTCCGACTGCCACCACGCCCAACAAGAACCCACTTTCTGACCTTCGGGTAAACGAAGCTCAGTTCAAGCTCTGGGATGACCTTAAACCCTAAACCCTGAACCCTGAACCCTAAACCCTAAACCCTAATCTCACCCTCCTACCATCCAGGACCTCAATGCAACTCGAGGGACTCACTAAAGGAGGGACCCTTCTGAGGGACCTTAGGGGTTCGCTTTGAAGGGCGCCCGTGCTCCACAGTCTGATTTCGAAGGGCTCTTCGGTGTGGGGGGGGGGGGGGGGGGGGGCTCTTTAAGACCCGAACTTCATTCAAGGGTTCAGGGTTTAGGTTTAGGGTTTAGGGTTTAGGGCTAGGGGTTATGTAGGGGCTACTTAGGTATGTGGGGACTGTAAGGGGTTCGATGGGGATGATATCGGAGAAGAAGATCAGGGTCCCTGCTGGGGGTCCAAAAGCAGACAATGAAGAATTACAATAAGGTTCTGGGGCTTCTTATTGTAGACATATCAGGGGACCAGAAGAAGGGAATGCTATTTGTAGTTATTCCGACCCCGTATGCCTCATTCTGGCCAAAGGTTGACTGAGCATCTCTGTCTAGCAAACCCTCAAACCCTGTTCTGGGTTCTAGGCCGCCTGGCCATGTGGATTCCGAAGCTTCAGGAGCTGTATGGGCTCGCTGCCACCTTTCAGGGAGGGCCTCAATCTCTGCTGTATCCGCACAAGGACATGGTCGGAAAGTTTTTGTCAGTATTGGGAAGGTCCTTTCTGCCATGTGAGGAGTTGTTCCGTCTTAGTGTTTGGGACGTGACCATGCTTTTTGTCCTGCGACTGCGCAGCAGCCTGCCAGGCCATGATGAACAGAACCAGGCCTTGTAAAGGGGCCATAGGAAAATTTTACCATGAGGAGAGCCTACGCGGAGTTGATTTGTATGGATTCTTCCATGCGAATGTATGTGGAACCAAAGCGTTCAGCCTCCAAGCCAATCCTGGCTAACCTCCTAGATTAGCCGGAAAAGCCTGTTCCGCAACCCAGACCATAAACAAACCCTTAGCTGAGAAATAACACCTGAGCCCTAAACCTAAACCCTATGGCTCTAGGTCTCACATGGTACGTGCTTTCCCACAAAGGAGCACCTGAATGCACCTCTAACATGTTATAACCCCCATTCGAGGAACCCATCAAAAGCCGTAACCCCTGAACCCTACGCAAGCAACCCGCAGCCCTAAACCCTGAACCCTTATAAGCACTAAGCCTTCAACCCTAAACCCTAAACGCTGAATCCTGAACCCTTACAAGCCCTAAACCCTAAACCATAAACCGTAAACCCTAAACCTAAACCCTAAACCCTCAACCCTCAACCCTCAACCCTAAACCCTAAACCCTAAACCCTAACCCCATTCCACGTAGCAACGCCCCCCCCCCCCCCCCCCCCCGGCACACCGCAGCGCAAAGGTTCCGGAACATCACGGTGGTCAACCTCCTGGAGGTCCAAGATGCTGTACCTGGGTTTAGGGTTCAGGGTTTAGGATTTGGGGTTTAGGGTTTAGGGTTTAGGGTGTAGGGTTTGGGGTTTGGGGTTTTAGGGTTTAGGGTTTCGGGTTTTGGGGTTTGGGGGTTTGGGGGTTTGGGGGTTTAGGGTTTAGGGCGTAGTGCTCAGAGTGTTTACAAGATGTGTAAGCCTCAGCCCGAAACACTGCAAGCATCTGCCATGTTCGGGCTCAGCTCGCTGTATCTCTATGCAGTCTCGGGCGATCAAGACCCTGGTAGGATTTGTTATTTAGGTTTAGGGTTTGGGGCTTGGGGTTTAGGGTTTAGGGTTTGGGGCTTGGGGTTTAGGGCTTCTTTTGCTTCCGTAGCTGAAAGTGTCTTGCGACCCCCCCTGAATTCACAGGGTGAGCCTTATAACTCAACCTCATGGTTTAGGGTCTGGGGCTTATAGGGTTTAGGGGTAGTAAGTGTGTGTGTGTGAGAGAGAGAGCCTCCTAGAAAGAGTGCAGCGTTTGTACATACCCAAATCTTGCAAGGGAAAGTACTTGCCTACAACGGACCTAGATCTAAACTGGGATCCCTTTTTTCGTCCTTGTTGCGACAGTCTCGACGACACCAATCAGGACCAGGCCGGTGGCCCGAGCCCTCAACACATAAGCCCAGTAGGGCTTAGGGTTTCGGGTTTAGGGTTGATAAGCTTTTGGAAGTTTAGGGTGCAGGGTTTTGAGTCTGCTTCTATAGTGCCAGGGCGCGCATGGTAGCCTCAGCACAGGATGGAGGGGCTCAAAATCTGAAGGGAGTTTTAGGGTTTAGGGTTTAGGGTTAGGGGGGGTGGGGGTTTTGTTGTTCTGTGTCTGACTGCCCCGGGGCTAGCCCGAACAATACATGCATACGATTTCGTGCTTTTCACTCTGCACCCTACGGCACCATAATCTAACCAAGGGTTGAAGGGAAGAATATCGGTTGATGAAAGGACGGCCTAAGGCCCAGAAACCCGAGGTGGCTCTCGTCTAGTTTCACAAAGGCCTGCAGAACACGTTCAGAGATGCCAACCACTCTGAACCCCAAACCCGAAACCCTAAATTCAAACCCGAAACCCCCATCATACCTTAAAATGCAGTGAGGACCAGGCGCCGCCCTGACCCCCCCGAGAGCCCGGAAAAGCCAAAGCATTAATTAGGGTTTAGGGTTTAGGGTTTTAAGGTTTAGGGTTTAGGGGTTAGGGTTAGGGCGGAGGACCTCAGAGCCTCAGGAACTATATAAAGGACTCAAAGGGCCGGACTTGAACCCTGAAGCCTGCAGCCTTGAGCTTCCATCACAGGGACCAGACTTAGGAGTATAGGCATAGCTTGTGGTGCCTAAGTTCATCATGGTACCCTAAACCCCAAACCCCAAACCCCAAACCCCAAACCCCAAACCCTAAACCCTAAACCCTATAACCCTAAACCTGAACCCCAAACTCTAAACCCTAAACACCGAACCAAAACCTATACCCCTAAACCCTACTTGGAGGTTAGGGTACTTACTAGCCCAACTATAGCTGTACTTATATGCCTCTTATGTATAAGCCCCATTGAAGTACCCTAATGTGAAATACAACTGGGTAGCAAGTACAGCAATATTTGGGCTACTAACTAGAAGTACCCGAAACCCTAAACCCGCAAACCCCAAACCGCAAACCCGACCCTCAAACCCCTGGACCCTAAACCCCCAAAGCCCCAACACCTAAACACCCCGAAGCCCTAGACCCTAAACCCCCAAAGCCGTCCACGAACCCCCAAACCCCCTAAACCCTATAGAAGCTCCATCACAGGCCCCTTAAGCACGCTAAGGTGGTTGAAATTGGAAGTGCAGCTTTAATTGGGTTTGTGAGTTCCCGAAGTACAGGTGCTGTAACCCTCAGCCCAAAACCCCAAAACCTAAACCCCAAAACCACCTAAACCCTCTAGAGGTTCTAGCCCTAAACCCTAAACCCTAAACCCTAAACCCCAAACCCTAAACCCTGTAGAAGTTCTGTCACAGGGGCCCACCAGGCCCACTTCTGCGAGCTCCGGATGTCCAGCGGTGCCACAGCCCATGGGCAAGCCCATGAGGTGGTAGCTGACCTTGAGTAGGGTTTAGGGTTTAGGGTTTAGGGTTTAGGGTTTAGGGTTTAGGGTTTAGGGTTTAGGGTTTAGGGTTTGGGGTTTGGGGTTTAGGGTTTAGGGTTTAGGGCTTAGGTTTAGGGTTGAGGGCTTGAGAGTTTTGGGGTGGAGACCTCAGTGGTGGTTTATAAACCAACCCCTAAAGCCCTATAGGGCTTTAGGGGTTGAGGATCTACGGATCAGGGTGCCTCCTGCTAGAAAACAGCAATCCCTCCTTGAAGGTTTCGAGTCCCAGGGTATAAAGCCCCAACTTCTAAACCCAAAACCCCAAAACCCAAAACCCAAAACCCTAAGCCCTAAGCCCTAAGCCCTAAGCCCTAAACCATAGGCCGCCCGCGCCAGGCGGCGGCCGGCACAACTGAACGCTACCGCTTCGAGATCTGCTTGCTTTGCCAAGCAGATCGAGCTTGCCACACCTGATGCATCCCTGCTAGCCATAGGGCACAATGTAATAATGGATTAACCCTAAACCCCCGACGCGCGACCCCGGCGGGGGAGGTCGGGCCTAAGAAGCCGTTGCGCCCCTGCCAGGCTTGCCCCCGCCAGGGTTGCCCCCCGCCCGCCAGGTTGTTTCCTGTCAGGGTTGGCCCCGCCAGGTTTGCCCCCGCCAGGGTTGGGTTGCCCTTGCCGGGGTAGGGTTGCCCCCGCCAGGGTTCGCCAAATGGCCCCCACCAGGGTTGCCCCCACCAGGGTTGTCCCAGCCAGGGTTGCCCCCGCCAGGGTTGCCCCCGCCAGCGTTGCCCTCGCCACGGTTGCCCCCGCCAGGGTGACAGGGTTGCCCCCGCCAGCCTACTTGGGTTGGTCCCCGGAATTGGCCTCGCCTATTCAGGCTTCTTTATGAAGGGCCCTGCCAAAGTTCTCCATATGTATATATACATATATATACACACATACGTTTATACCTCACTTTGCCCCCGCCAGGGTTGCCCCCGCCAGGTTGCCCCCGCCAGCGTTGCCCCCACCAGCCCCCGCCAGGGGTTGCCCCCACCAGGTTTGCCTTTGCCAGGGTTGCCCCCGCCAGGGTTGCCCCTGCCAGGGTTGCCCCGGCCAGGGTTGCCCTCGCCAGGGTTGCCCGCGTCAGGGTTTGTTTCAGCAAGGGTTCAGGGTTGCCCCCGCCAGGGTTGCCCCCCCGAGGGTTGCCTCCGCCAGGGTTGCCCCCGCCAAGGTGCCCCGCTAGGGTTGCCCTCGCCAGGGTTGCCCCTGCCAGGGTTCCAGGGTTGCCCCCGACCGCCAGGGTTGCCCCCGCCAGGGGTGTATCCGCCAGGGTTGCCCCCGCCAGGCCAGGGTTGCCCCCGCCAGGGTTGCCCCCGCCAGGGTTGCCCCCGCCAGGGTTGCCCACCGCCAGGGTTGCCCCCGCCAGGGTTGCCCCCGCCAGGGTTGCCCCCGCCAGGGTTGCCCCCGCCAGGGTTGCCCCGAGGTTTGCCCCCGCCATGTTTCTAAGCTACATTTTCTATCTTCTAATATTCCTTAAGGAATCCCACTAATAATAAAATAGCATTTTTCCTTTCATTATTAGTAAAGGTTTCTATGGAAAGATATTAATTCTCTATCTAGTTCTTCTTCAAATTCATTTCGGCTTCTCTTCTTTCTCACATCCAGATAATGCATTAGAAGCATGTGGATTACTTACTCCTTTACATATCGTACCTGAATGGTATTTCTTATGCCAATATGCTATGTTAAAAGCTGTACCAAATAAAAATGCAGGATTCATTCTCTTATTTACTTCTATCTTCATCCTATTTTACTTTATGAGAAGTCTTTCAATGTCATTCTATTTTTAAATTAAGACGTCCAGTAGATTTAACGGTTTCTATCGCAACCCCGCCGGGTTGCCCAGTTTTACCCCTGCCAGGGTTGCCCCCACCATGGCCCCCACCAGCGTTGCCCCCGCAAGGGTTGCCGCCGAGTTAGGGTTGCCCTTGGCAGGGTTCCGCCAGGGTTGACCCCGCCAGGGTGACATTGCCCTCACGTCGCCTACTCAGGAATTGTGCACCTTCTCTGCGACGGCCTCGTCCTCCTCGCGCGCTGGCGAGGCTTCGTCGTCCTTCTCTATGAAGTGTTGTTTTGTTGCCGAGCAGGGCTTCTTGTGCCATATGGGCCCCAGATGCGGGAAGGGCCCTTGCCCGTGCCGGGGTTGCCCCCGCCAGCGGGGTTGCCCCCGCCAGGGCTGCCCTTGCGTTGCCCGCCAGGGTTGCCCCCCGCCGGCCCTTGCGACCCCGGTCGGTGGGGAGGCCGGGCCCAAGACGCGCGACCCCAGCATAGGAGGTCCTGTCAACAAAGACCAAGCTGGGCCAGAGAAGCCCTTGCGCCAGCGGGTGGCCGGGCCTTCCGCACTTGGCCCTCGCCATTCTGCCATATGAATGAGCTTGGGTCCGGAATTGGGCTTGAGGGTGTCTTAAACACAGTATGGGTGAAACAGATTGTCCCGCTCCCTGTTGATCCAGGAAAGTGTATAGGCTCAAGCAACAGCAGCAGTCAACACGTCCCACCCCGGCCAGCGGGGAGACTCGAGCCCCTTGATAGGGGGGCTGTGGAGGGTAGACCGCTCTAAACCCGAAAAAGGCGGTAGTTTGGGTGGCTGGGGTGGGATCCGCTGCACCGAGGTGGCCCGACCCGCCCCAGGCGCGGGTCGGGACCGCGGCACTTTGGAACACCCTAAACCCTAAACCCTAAACCCCTAAACCCCTAAACCCCTAAACCCCTAAACCCTAAACCCTAAACCCTAAACCCTAAACCCTAAACCCCAAGCCCATGTAAGGCAGCAAGGCGGCCAGCTGCTCCCACAGCTCCCCGGGCGACTCCACTGCCTCGAGGTCGATGCCTGAGAGCTGCCGGTTGTGAGTTCGTTTAGGGTTTAGGGTTTAGGGTTTAGGGTTGAGGGTCTAGGGTTTAGGGTTTCGGGTTTGAGGGTTTCGGGTTTAGGGGTTTGGTTTCAGCTTCGGGACGTAGGGATTTCGGCTGTAGGGCTGATGGTGTTCGGGTTTGAAGGGCTTTTCGGATTTAAGGCTTCTGGAGTTCGGGTTAAAGGCTTTAGGGCTTAGACTTCAGAGAGTTGAGGGTTTCAGGGCCTCAGGTTCAGAGGTGGGGCTTTCAGATTGACAGGGTCGAGATGAGGGCAAAAACACCAAGATACCGATCAACATGGCCGAAAGTAGACCCTAAACCCTAGACCCTAAACCCTAAACCCCAAAACCCTCAACCCTCAACCCTCAACCCTAAACCCTAAACCGTAGCCCTAAACCCCAGGGCGGGAGGGGCTTTCTGGGGCCTCCCAGCCATGGCACTTTCGCAAGGTGCCCCGGTCAGGTCCTGCAAGGCCTGCGATTTCGGGTGGGAGGTTGGCTTATGGGGCTCAGGATGCATAGGGTTTAGGGTTTAGGGCTTAGGGCTTAGGGCTTAGGGCTTAGGGCTTAGGGCTTAGGGCTTAGGGTTTAGGGTTTAGGACTTAGGGCTTAGGGCTTAGGATTTAGGGTTTAGGGTGGAGGGTTCAGGCCCTAATCCTACTTGCTCCTAATAGGGACAGGAACGAGGTAATTACCTACAGAGTCCCTCATAGTGGGTTTTCAATAGGGGGCTTTAGGGGTTTAGGGTTTAGGGGCTTAGACTTTAAGGTTTAGGCTTTAGGGTTTAGGGCAAGAACCACTAAGCCTGATGTTTCCGCGCTGCGCGGAAGCTGCCTCGGCCACAGACCCGCCGCTGATGGCCTTGTAGGAGCCGTGGGCCTGCCAAATGGGTTTAGGGTTTAGGGTTTAGGGTTTAGGGTTTAGGGTTTAGGGCTAGGACATGTTTGGGTGCAGGGCTTCCACCTCTCTAGGGTTTCGGGGCGGTTGGGGGTTTAGGTTTTGGGGTTCGGGGGTTTCGGGTTTCGGGTTTACGGTGTAGGGTTACAGAACCCAGGCTTAGAGGTTCAGGGTAGTTAACAAGCCAGTTTAAACTATATACTTAGTAGCCACTTATCAGCCCCTTAAGTACCCTAATCGACAAGCACAGGTATAATTGGGTTATTAAGTAACCCTGACTGGGGGCTTGTTTAAGTCTTGAAACTCAAGGGTTCAACCGCTCAAGGGCTTCAGGGTTTGGGGGCCAAGCGGCCTGGTTCGCTGACAGTGCGCATCAAGGCTAAGGGAAATACCCCCTACACGCCCTAAACCGGAAAACCTAAAAACCTAAAAACTAAAAGCCCTAAAAAACCTGAAACCCTCTAGCGCCAAACCCCATGCAGCCAAACTGAAAATGAAGAGCCATGCAGGACTGAGGTCAAAAAATGACCGCCTTCAACGCCGCAAGCCCTGAAGCCTTCGAGAACCTTTTCTGCTGACTTCTCCAGTAGCCAAGGACAAAACGGTTGAACTTTAGTATTCCCTCCATCGAAGGGTAGCTTACGTGGTCCCTTAGTATGGGCCCCTTAAACGGGGATCCCTTATATGCCCCTTATACGCCTCATAAAACCCAAAAGCCCATACTTCGAAACCCTGTTAAAAAAAAAGGCAAGGGACCATTTTAAGGGACCGTGAAGCAACAACACCATGAGATTCTACACAAGGAAACCCCGCAAGTTTGAGGTTCAACTATCGGCTAAAATTCAGCAAGGCATATGACATATTAGCGCACTCAATACTAACTTTAAAGTTCGACTGTCTAGGCAGAATTACCTAGAAAGTCTACTATCCCTAGACCCCAAACCCCAAAGCCTAAACCCTGAACCCTGAACCCTAAACCCTAAACCCTAAACCCTAAATTTAAACCCTAAACCCTAAACCCTAAACCCTAAACCCTAAACCCTACATCCTAAACCCTAAACCCTAACCCTAAAACTCAAAACCCCTTAACCCTAAACCAAGCTTGTGGGATGGCCTTGGCATAAGCCTTCTCCAGCACAGGTACCCAGAGCTGGCTGTCCTGCTGCTGATTTACGGTTTAGGGTTTAGGGTTTTGGTAGGGTTTAGGGTTTAGGGTTTAGGGTTTAGGGTTTAGGGTTTAGGGTTTAGGGTTTAGGGTTTAGTGTTTAGGGTTTAGGGTTGAGGGTTTCGGGTTTAGGGTTTAGGGATTGGGGATTAGGGTTCAAGGTTCAGGGTTTAGGTTGTTGAGGGGGTTCGCTGATTTAGGGCTTAGTTTGTTTCAGGGTTCAGGGGTTACGTAGTTAGGGCTTACATAGTGTTGAGAGGTTCTAGTGCAGGGCTTAGAGATTGGAGTGCAAGAATGCATCGTCTGCGTCATGGGGCGTTAAAGCCACTCCCAAAGAAGCGTAGCAGGCTAGACTGTGATAGCTTTAGAGGGAGGGTGGGGGGTGCGGGGGGTGCGGGGGGGGGGGGGGGGGGGGGGGGGGGGGCTGGTAGGGTTTGTAGTTGATAGCCCAGGTCCGAAGCGTGGAACCTATATTCTAAACCCTAAGCCCTTAACCTTAAACAATAAGCCCTAAACCCTACGAACACCCTCAAAAACCCAAAAGCTGTAAGGCAGCAACCGATGGCTGTTGCAAAGGGAATCGCGCAGCCAACCTCGCCCCCACACTAAACCAAGCGGTTCAGGTTTAGGGATTAGGGTTTGGGGTTTGGGGTTTAGGGTTTAGGGTTCGGAGTTTAGGGTTTAGGGTTTGGGGTTAGGGGTTTGGGGTTTAGGGGTTTTGTTTTCCTACTACCTCGAGACCTTGCAAGCAAACATAAAGAGCTCTCTTGTGCTTCAAGGCTATAGCCTGGGAGCCTAGGCCCTAAACAAACTCCAACGGCTTCAGAGGTCTCAGCCTAGAACGCCCTAAGACCCTAAACCCCAAACCCCAAACCCTAAACCCTAAACCCCAAACCCTAAGACCCTATCATGCTATACAAAGCAGACCCTAGAAACGCAGGACGAGGAGGTGCTGAAGTGCAACGACAACCAAAACGTACAATTCAGGTTCAGGGCTTCGGGCTTAGGGTCTATATATATATATATATATATATATATATGGGTGGTTGTCAAAATTACGGTCCCTTTTATGATAATACGGCACCTCATATTTAGGATACCCCAAAAGGGATCATAATTTTGACAGACACCCATATATGTCTCTCTCTCTCTATATATATATAAGGGTTCGGGCATTTAGAATCTTAGGGCTTAGAGCTGAGGCTTGCGGCTTGCTGATGGCCTCAAACCCTAAACCCTAAACCCTAAACCCGAAACCCTAAACTCTAAACCCTAAACCCTGAACCCTGAACCCTGAACCCTAAACCCTAAACCCTAAACCCGAAACCCTAAACCCTAAACCCGAAACCCGAAACCCTCAACCCTAAACCCTAAACCCTGAACCCTAAACCCTAAACCCTGAACCCTCAACCCTAACACGAAAGCTCTTCTTAGCGTCCTTGGCGCGGCTGAAGACCAGGCCGCTTCCATCCGGGCGCCGCTGGTTGGCGGCCCCGACACAGGGGAGCTGGTCGTCTACCTCAAGGTGTAGGGGTCGGCTTTTCAACCCTAAACCCTAAACCCTAAAGCCTCAAGCCTCAAGCCTCAACTTAAACCGCTTAGGGGACTAGGTTTAGCTGGGATAGTCCATAAAGTAGATACTTGGACCCTCTAAGCAAGGAACGCCTTTAAGGCCCAAGTATGTACCACACTTGACATGGATACTTCGGGACCACATGCAACCCAGGCTCCACCACGGATGTCCACTTGCCGTCAAGAAACAGCTGAACCTGGGCAGGGAATGAGCCACTTTTGTTGAGGCTTTGTACTTTCCCTAAGGGTCCATGTACCTCAGTACTATATACTTGGGCCCCAAAGTCCCTACATAGGAAGCACTTTCAGCCCCAAAGATCCCCTAGTTTTGCTTTATTTGATTCGTTTGGAGGGGGGTTCTAGGGTTGAGGTTCGGTAGTATCGAAGCTCCGATAGGAGTAACGGAGGAGCATGACGGCCTCATTTGCCTTCAAGAAACTTTATAGCCCAGCAACCATATTATAACAAGGGCACCCTTTTGTTGGGGGCCACCCTGGAACCACATGAAACGGTAGAAGGGTACCACTTGGACTCTAAGGAAAGAAAGCGAACTCCAGCTGAGTTGAGCCCAGGAGCTTCGTAGCGTCCGGAGCGCTGCGTGGCTGTCTGCCAGCGGAGGGGCGCAATGCCGTAAACCCCAACCCCCAAACCCTAAACCCTAGACCCACAAGGGTTAAGGGGCGCAATGCACGTCCCAGAGTCTGCGTGATCGAAAACACATGGGGGCTCCCGAAACTAGGGGTACCTTATTGTAAGGGAGTCGTACTATGTGGGGGACCATATCAGGGTCCCTAGTTCCCTAAACCCTAAACCCTATAGTTTCGTAAACTCCCACATCCCACAAGGGCAACGTCATCAGCAATCGTGAAAACACAAGCTGCTCCCCATCGCCAACAGCTGTGTGGGTTCCTTCTGGGGCGTCTTACCCCCTATAGGCTTTCGGGTTTAGGGTTTAGGGCTTCGGGGTTAGGGTTTAGGGTCTCCAACTCCAAAGAAGCACCAGAATGAACATGCAGCCTGAAACCCTGAATAGCCCTAATCCCTAAACCCTAAACCCTAAACCCTAAACGAGCATTGCCTCGCCACGGAAGAGTCTCAGGACAAGATCGGGCCTGCAAGGGGGCTTAGGGTTTCAGGGTTCAGGGTTTAGGTTTTTTTTTGGTTTTTCAGGGTGTTTTTAGGGTTTTTTTAAGGGTTGTTTAGGGTTTATAGGCTTTCTAGGGTTTAAAGGGTTTATAGGGTTTAGGGGTTATTAGGGTGTATAGGGTTGATAGGGTCTATAGGGTTTGTAGGGTTTCTAGGGTTTCTAGGGTTTATAGGGTCTATAGGGTTTATAGTTTAGGGTTTAGGGTTTCGGGCTTAGGGTTTAGAGGTTTCGGGTTTTGTTGGCGTGCCCCAGGGCTGCCTCGACTGGATCCGAGACCGTGCAACGTAGCGTTTAGGGTTTGGGGGGTCAACCCTACATGGAGGAAGCTATGGGCCCCTAAACAAGTTCAGCTGAGGGTTTAGGGTTTAGGGTTTAGGGTTCAGGGTTAGAAGTGAGTCCAGGTGAACCTAAACACCCTAAACCCTAAACCCTAAACTGTAAACCCTGAATCATGAGCAAAACCATGCCGTGGCTCAAGACCTCAAACTTCTGAACCGCAAGGGGACCGCTTCACCCTCATACCCTAAGACACCAACAGCCCATAAAACATTGAGGAATACACATGCCCTTTAGGGGTTTGGGTTTAGAGTTCCTCAAATGGCTGGAAAAAACATGTGGGCCATTAGCAACATGAGCCACGGGGAACTATCCGAAGACCGAAGCCAGCACCAGAGATAAGGGTTTCCCTAAACCCTAAACCCTGAACCCTGAACCCTAAACCCTAAACCCTAAACCCTAAACCCTAAACCCTAAACCCTAAACCCTAAACCCTAACCTGGCACTTGGGCCGTGGCCTCTCTGCAACCACCGCCAGCGCTGAGAGGAACCAGCAGTCGCCAACTGCGCCCTGCGCTCACACAGGGTGTAGGGTTTAGGGTTTAGGGTTTAGGGTTTAGGGTCAGGGTTTGGGATTTAGGGTTTAGGGTTTAGAGTTTAGGGTTTAAGGTTTAGGGTTTAGGGTTTAGGGCTTAGGGTTAGCGAGCTGAGGATGTCATGCGAGTTGGCGCGCCTTGAGTGCCAACATGGTTCAAACCCAACCTTCCTAGGCCACGTTGTATGACCTGCGCACACCTGAACCCTGAGCAACCCTGAGCCCTAAACCCTAAACCCTAAACCCTAAATCCTAAACCCTAAATTTAAACCCTAAACCCTAAACCCTAAACCCTAAACCCTAAACCCTAAACCCTAAACCCTAAGCCCTAAACCCTAAACCCTCACCCTCCCCTCATGAACACGCCTGAAGCAGGTCATCGGCGCGAAATCCGGTGTCCTGAACCTGGGTTCAGGGTTCAGGTTTTAGGGTTTATGGTTTAGGGTTGAGGTTTTTCGAGTTTTAGGGTTCTAGGGCTTTAGGGTTTCAGGGTTTTAGGGTTTAAGGGCTTTGGGGTTTTAGGGTTTCAGGGTTTTAGGGATTTAGGGCTTTCGGGTTTTCGGGTTCAGGGATTCGGGCCGGTTTGGAGGTGAGGGGCTTGTGGTTCTACGTGCCCCCGTCACCCAAATTCAGAACAACACTTGTTTTAGACACACTCGGGCTTGAAATACACACCGTACATCCTATGGATACTCTGAGCCTTGGTAGTCCACTAACCATCCACGTCAAGTAGGGCTTGCCATGAGTCCGTCTTCTGTGGCTTGACAACTGTGGTCAAGCACAGTAAGATATACCAACATACTGAGCTGCTAACCCTAAACCCTAAACCCTAAACCCTAAACCCTGAACCCTGAACCCTAAACCCTAAACCCTAAACCCTAACCCTATAAAGCCCTATAGACGACACTTAACCAGCAAGGCTGCCAAGCAGAAGTCCGGATGGCGCTGCCACCACACTTGGGAGGAGAGCCGCTCGAGGTGAGTGACCCACCTTCTGGGAGAGGGCTCGGGGGGGTGGGGGGGGGGGGGGGGGGGGGGGACGGTTAGGGTTTAGGGTAGGGTCTAGGGTTAGGGTTTAGGGTTTAGGGTTTAGGGTTTAGGGTTTAGGGTTTAGGGTCTAGGGTTTAGGGTTTAGGGTTGGGGGGCGGCGGGGTGGGAGGGGGGGGGGGGTGGGGGGCAGGGGGAAGAGATTATATCATCATGGCAATGAAGGTTGTTGTCATGACGATTATGACTGTTATCGTGAATATCATATTATGTGGTTAGTGTATGGCCATGTTGGTTATCATGACTGCTTATGATTGCTTTGATGACTTAGGTTATGAAGGTTATGGTAATATGGTTATTGGGATTGTTCGTATGACTATTGTAAACATGTGAATCATTACAGTATATATGATTCTTGTACCTGTTATGGCTATTAAGATTATTTTTGGTCATATGCGTAACCTGGTTGGAGTGATTATAATGGGGTTGTTATGACGATGAAGCAAATATTCCGTTCCCCTGAAGGCGCTGGGCACATATGGGGGGGGGGAGCCAAAACTACCAGGGACTCGAGCTACCGTTGAGGATTTAAGTACCTCCTCATTAGTATGTAGGATAGCTGTAGGCACATTAGTAGTTGGTCAGAATACCTCTTCTCGAAAGACCCTGACACAACACAAGGAGCCCGCCCAACTTGCTAATATAGGGGCCTGAAGAATTAGAATAGGGTTTTGGGGGTAATTATGGTATAATTACAAAGGGACCATAAGGGAATACTATTAACCCTAAACCCTAAACCCTAAACCCTAAACCCTAAACCCTAAACCCTAAACCCTAAACCCTAAACCCTAAACCCTAAACCCTAAACCCTAAACCCTAAACCCTAAACCCTAAACCCTAAACCCTAAACCCTAACCCTAAACCCTAAATAAGAGCCCAGCGGGTGTAGGGTGTAGGGCTGTGGACCTTGGAGGGCCGACACGGGAGCTGCAAGCAAGGACACCGGGCTCGAAAGCCCCAAAGGCCAACCCCCCCCCCCCCCAAACCCTAAGCCCTAAACCTAAACCCTAAACCCTAAACCCTAAACCTTAAACTCTAAACCCTGGACCCTAACCGCCCAAAAAAAACTTGTCCGGCCTGAAGAAGTTGCAGCCCTGCTGCCTGGTCATGGGAGAAGGTGGGTTTAGGGTTTAGGGTTTAGGGTTTCGGGTTTGGGGTTTGGAGTTTGGGGCTTGGGGCTTGGGGCTTAGGGTTTAGGGTTTAGGGAACCTTTGGTTCCCTTGATTCAATGCTCCGCATCTTGCACGGGGAACCAGGCTTATCATAGAATGGAGACTTGGGTAGGAAGCCCGGAAAATGGGAAAGCACCTCACTGATTGAGGGTTTAGGTTCGGAGTATGCTTCGGGTTGTAATCGGCTCGGGCTTGATGCAGAGGTGTCCGTCTGGAGGTTGAGGGTTTGGGGTTCAGGGTTTAAGGTTTAGGTTGTATCCTAGCAGTCCTTAATAGGGACTATAGTACCCCCTGATTCAAGGACTGCTAGTATAAGGGGGAACATCCCAAGGCTTAGGGCTTAAGGTCACGAGTCTGATCCTGCACAAGAAGCGAGAGGGCTAGCAATGGCGTTTGCCTTAAGACTTCCGGTTTTTTGGGTTTAGGGTTTAGGGTTTAGGGTTTAGGGTTTAGGGTTTAGGGTTTAGGGTCCCCTCTCTCCCAGACCCTCAGGCCCCCGCCTTCCACAATGCCAGAACAGACGGGAACGACTGGAGCCTGACAAAGGCCGGGGAGGAAGGCTTGGAGTTGGGAGTTGTTTATGGTTTTTTAGGGTTTAGGGTTTAGGGTTTAGGGTTTAGGGTTTAGGGTTTAGGGTTTAGGGTTTAGGGTTTAGGGTTTAGGGATAGGCTTTGAGGGCTTTGGCTTCAGTCAAGCACCCGCAAGCCCTACACTTCCAATAGTCGTCTTCATTTCTCTGGGGTTGCATATAAACTACCACACCGTTTCGAAGTATCCTAAAGGAAACTCTCGCAAGCTCCTACCCTCACAAAAGTGCTTAAGACTATGGTAGTTTCCTCAAAATTGGGGTACCCCTTGACAACCCACCCCGCCCCATCAGAAGAACAAATCGCAGCAGATAAATGCTGAACTGTTTTCTTTTTAGTCCGTGCGTAGCTCGACATCGCACCAATCCGGCCGATGGGCAGATTGCTCCTGTTGTTCCAGGTCCAAGGACACGATTTCAGGCCGGGGCATGTCATCGCATAGCTTGGTAGCCCAGAAACCATTGACCCTGCTTTTTGTTGGTTACTAAAGGGAACCCAGAACCAAAAAAACGGCAAAAGGGTAATACGGGGCTACCAAGATAGGGGCCCCTCGGAGAACAACCCATCAACAAGTCAGGTTTTATCTGGTCTTGGCACAGCGAAGAGCCTAAACTCTGACCCTAAACCCTAAACCCTAAACCCTAAACCCTAAACCCTAAACCCTAAACTCTGACCCTAAACGCGATAAACCCTAAACCCTAAACCCTAAACCGTAAACCCTAAACCCTAAACCCTAAACCCTAAAGCCTAAACCCTAAACCCTAAACCCTAAACCCAAAACAAACTCTTGAACGCCGGCCACCCAGGCCGCTCCAAAGAAAATGCAATCCTCGGATGGTCCCTACTTCTTGCTGAGACTTGGGGGGGGGGGGAGAAGAATGTGCGAACTGTGGCTGAAGTCACGGACTTCAAACCTTCATAGAAACCTCCCTAAACCCCAAACCCCTAAACCCCACACCCTAAACCCGAAAACCTAAACCCTTCCTGACGTGCCTGAAGCCATGTCAAGGGTGAAGAGGGAGCGGTCCCTGAAATACAAGTGACTTCTAGTTGCTTAAGAACTCCCTAAACCAACTGTAACCTATGTTACCCGTATAATCAGGAGGTCTACTGTTTGTTTTTTGACAGGGTTCTAAAGCAAATAGTTCAAATAATAGTAGGTAACTGGCAAAAGGTGGACCCTTGACGAAGGTACACTGTGCAGGTCGGAGTCTGAACCCCTTCGCCCGACGCACCCTACAACATTTAGTATGGGGTTTACGGCGCAGGGCGTAGAAAGGAAGCCTACATTACCCTGCTTGGAATCTCCCCAAAGCCCAAAGCGCAAACCCTAAACCCTAAACCCTAGACCCCAAACCCTAAACCCTATGCGGAGCTGCAGCTGGTATTGTAGAAAGGAGTTGGTGATGGGAGTTGAAAAGGTCAACGTACCCGGAAATCCATTTTTGGCTCAAGATGACAAGGCACTTAGTGAGAAAAGGGTGCTTGGTCTTTTGGGTTTGGTTTGGTGTTGGTTGTTCCAGGGGATCAAGGGCTTCTGTTGGGGTTGACTGTTTTGTTCCCTGTCCTCCTTCGGTTGCCCCCCGTAGGTTATGAGCCCAAATTAGGCTTCCTGCGGAATAGGTAAAGATTTTTCGTTTGTTTAACGCCATGGACATGATGCGGCGTCGCTCTGAGCCTGGACTGTCGCCAACGGCCAATGAAGCCGAAGGAAATCGTGGTGATGGGGGTGAAGATCGACAACAAATGGTACAAGCGCTGACAGATGGTAGGGAGGTTGCAATGATACAACCAACGCCTCAGGTGGAAAACGAAGTGGTTCCGGTTCAAGCAGCAAATCCTTTCTGGAGCGAGCGGGCTCAAGAAGAAATGAGACTTAGGCAATCAAGGCCGGCAAGTCTTCCTGCGAGCGGAGGGGATAGAAGTGGTGAAGGTACAAGGAGGCCGCCTTCGCTGCAAGATCTTTTGGGTCAGGAACCTGCACCTGTTGAGAGACCGTCGTCAGGCTTAATAGGCCAGATGGAACGAGGTACTATTGGTGGAGTGCAAGCAGACGAAGAGCTCATTCCTGATGTTGGCGGTGAAGAACAAAGTGAAGATATGGCGGTGGTAAAGCGTGCGCTGAAAGAGTTGCTTGTGGAAACAAAGGAGCTGGGGAACAGGTTGCATCGGGTGGAGGAGAAAAGCTATACCTCTGCTGCATCTGGGTCAGCTTCGAGAGCACGGAGCACTGGAGTGGTGGACGCAAACGCTGCATATCCTCTAGGAATGACTCCAGAGAAGCAGTACCTGCCAGGACAAGTTTTCTACACGGATGGTATGGGTGGTTTTTGGACTGTGTTGCCTGATGGGACATGGCTGCCTATTGAGGGCTACGACCTGCCAAAGGGTTGTGATCTTCAATCCTTGCCTGGGTCCAGGAAGGGGGATGTTCAAGTGGAGGATGGAAAAAGAAGTGCCAATGATGCATGTAGCTGAAGGGAAGAAACCCTCCAGATTGCCTCCATTGAATTACCCCACGGGAGGTCCTGCAAGTGGTGGATATGCAAGTGGACCACCTGGTTTAACACATGTTCCGATTACTTCCGTGCCGTCAGGTGTTGATGGTTCTGCCGCACCTGTGGGGAACCAGCCCGGTTTTGTTTCAGCTCGGGAAACTGCAACGCAAGAGAACCCAGCAGGATCGGGTGGATATACAATGGTGGATGATGTTCCGTATCGGTGGAAAATGGTCGCTGGGAAGTTGGAATTAGAAAAGGTTCCGCTCACAGCTGTTACGCCTGGTATAGGACATGGACTACCTCAAGGGCCTGGTGGTAGGGTCAGTTTACCTCCTGGAGCAGTGGTGCCACGTGGTATGCCAATCATTGGTGATAGTTCTGGAACCGAACGTCCGGAGGCTCTTGGGAAGCATGTGATGAGCCTTCCAACTTTGGCAGACTACACACCAAGCAATCCGACGGCACTGGGTGATTGGATCGCAATGATCGAACCAATGTTGTCTTCGCTGACAGATACAGGAAGAGTGTGGTGGCAATGCGTCTACTCAAAGGCATATCAAGCGTATGCCAAATGGTTGAGTGTTTCTCCACTGGAAAGGTTGGGCATCAAGGCTGAGCTGGAAGGGCTCAAAGTGGTTCAAACTGTGCATGTTCTGTTGGAGCAGAGAGCGGTGTCTTTGCTGCTACAGGCAATTCCGGAGAGATTGAAGACCGAGATCGTTTCCACTCGAGTGTTGGGGTCAGTGATGATATTCTACAAATTGCTGACGGTCTACCAACCAGGTGGAGCAAATGAGCGCAGCACAATGTTGAACTTCTTGGTGCAACCATCTCCAGCAACCTCGATCTCAGAGGCCATAAAGGGAGTGCGTCAATGGGCGCAATGGCGTTCCCGATTAAGGGAGTTGAGAGCGGCCGAGCCGGACGCTACCTTGCTTATCAAGGGATTGGATGGTTTATCATCCGCGTTGCTGGCAAAACA